TGTATGTTAATAACAGGCCAATTGCCTACACATGAACAAAAACAGTTCATATGGGCGACTTATCTGACGGTCCCATTTCACTCGCAAAGAGATACACCGTCAAAAGTGAAAATGGACGTTTTTGAATTTTGTCTTAATAATGAGTAATTGCTCCACCAATCCTCAGACATTCAGCAATTTGTCGTGGCATGCTCCTAATCAACCGTCCAATCACGATTTGGGGCAATCTTACCCACTCCCCTTGCAGTGCCACGGCCAATTCTTGCAGTGTTGTCGGTTGACGTTGACGTCAACGAACACGTCTCCCGATGAAAATAAACGTAACACACTAAAGCAAAGATATGCTAATAAGTAAATCTTATGCAAGAACCGATCGGAATGCTAACATGGATAGATAAACCAGCACGCGTCAGTTTTCATCAACCCTTCCCTGAAGTGTCAAATTTGACAATGAACCCCTCCTACGTGTATGTGCAGCTCAGTGGTTCTGTTGGGGCGACAAGTTCTTCATCTGTGAACATACTCTCAAAGCATGTCAAGTGTCCAAGACTATTTACTATTTATCATATCACAACCTGCATAGGTACATGTATATCCCCTACTTTTTTTGAAGAGTATATTTTGCTGTCAATATCTGTTATTGGTAAAACCGATAGGTGCCATATCGGACCATCACTACAATTAGCATATTTACATGGAATAAATTTGGTCAAATAATATTGTAAATTAAAATTATGACAGAAATGCTGATAAAAGAGACTTTTTGATGAATTACAAATAGGTTCTACACATAATTGTTTTAAAACAACTCAAATTCTATGTCTAATAATTTTGAAATATGACGAGTTACAAGATTTTCTCCACATGTTTAGTAGTCGCCCTTTAATATCGGATTTATGAATCATATTAAATTTAAATATTGTCATTGTAAAAGGTGACAAATCACATATAATCACAACATAATAAACTATGATAACATGTGAATACTCGGAGCAGAGACAATTAATTGTCAGCGGTACTTATCTAAATTGATTTCATTTATTTATTTCAAAACCTGTTACGATGTTAATGACCAAAAGTGACAATTGACAAAATTTGTAAATATAAATAAATAACTATAGCTATAATATTGAATTGTTTATTGCACTATATATATCATAATACCTCTGATTTGGGCACAAAGCAGTGAGGCTTCTTAAATTCAACTAAATTATTTTTTTGTGTTTCCACAGTCAACATTTTTGGAGTTACTGGGTGTTGTTTTGGAGTTATTGGGTAATTCAACGCGCCCTACGTTATCATAATCATGATGCATAAAAATTGAAATGAATTCCGGTAGTCTTTCAAATAAATACACCTGCGGCGCCTTCATCAGGTCTGTGGAGAGATCAAAATAGTTTTTCGTTATATTGTAATGTATTATGCATTTAAAATAAGTTAGTTTTGTGGGAAGAATCAGGGTTTTTTTAAGTGAATTCCGGTGATTGTAAGTGAATTTCAGTGATTGTAAGTGAATTCCGGTGATTAGTCGGGCCCTCACTATCAGGGTTAATTAAATGAAAAAGAAATCTGAATATCACTTAAACATGCATTATGCAAGAGCAAAATCTGCTTATTACAAGTCTTTCTTTAGGCCAGAAATGTTATCTAAATTATCAATTAGACATTAATTAACTTATCCAGACCATAATAAACTCTCGATGTAGGCTGGATTAGATTCCCATATGCCGCTAACGGCCAAAGATAATTAAATCAGAAAAAGTGGATAATCGAGACTATGCTGTTTATATTAATGATTTTAGTAATGATAACCGAGACTATGCAAAAATTTCACTGGCTTCTTTCTCGGCTCATAGTGGATCAATTTGACTGAAATTTTCAGCAAATTACCTTTACACTATCTAGTTTTTAACTATTATAGCGAGAACTGCCATCTCTTTATCTTATCTCCCATAATGTATCTTTAATTAACAGGGGCAGATTAAAGGATCGGCCAACAGAGCTGACTCGTTCCGAAGGGCCCAATTTGGTTTAACAGCTCTCCTTCTGCACCAAGCATACACCATGCAGTGTGCTATAAGGGAAATTTTGCCAGATAAAAATGGACTTCTCTAATTATGACGTCACTCACATATGACTGAAAAGCACTTATTTTGGTGCCATGCCACACATTGACTGCATTTTGATTACATTATTAACGTCGATCTTGTATTTTAAAATTCCATAACTTTGGATCTAATTAGAATCTTTTGATGAAAAAAATTTTTTGTTGTAGCATTTTATGTATATTTTCACAAAATATTTAAAAACAATATTTCTGTCATTTAAAACTTTGACCTGAACTCTAATTGGAGAGTGCTGTTGCAATGGTTAATAACCTACTCCTTGGAAACAAAAATGACCCGTAAAATATCGGATCACTAATAATAATGAGATGATGGACATGCAACATATATTACATAATAAGTTTCTTTCAAGCTTTCTGACTTGCGAAAATGTTGATGACTGCTTCGAGATCAAGATCATCCACAAGCTTTAGGCGCTGCAACAGTGGCGTCAGCTGGAGGGTCTCCAGATATTAAGTGAAAAGTTATTTCATTTGTTGGATAAATTTGTTTGAAAGATATTAAGCAAAGCAAATGTTTGAAATTTAATTGTTCTTTAAATCTTAATATGACAGTAGTGGAACACACGAGGATGGCACCACGCATAATCCAATATCTTTAAGACAGACCTGCAGACGGGACAAGATACACAGACATTGCAAGTAACAAACAGCAAACATACATACTGATATACTATCAACTAAATTGATCCCGGGGCCTGGTAAATCCTGATAGCAAGTATATATTGAGGAATGTTGATATAAACAGGCTCCCATCATCATAACCCATCATCATAACAAACGTTTATGCAGTGCATTTTATCTTGAACAAAGATACAAAAACAAATGAGAACTTGGTATCGCTTACTTGGCCTGATGAATGATGGGGTGACGCATCTGCCTTACTATGAAAACCGGTCCTTTCTTCCGATTCAGAGCCCTTGAACTCAGGGGCCCTTGCACTGAAGTCAGAGTGGCCCTTTTCCCCAATTCAGGGGCCCTATTATTGGACTTGGGGACTCGCCATTGGACTGGGGGCTCCTGTCACAGGGGGGTCTATTAAAGTTTTCTCCCCAGATTCAGTAGTTTCTTTCAGTTTTATTTTTGGAAATTTTTATTAAAGGCTCAATACCACTCTTGTTGTTACAGAATAATATGTCCCAATCTTTATTCTGGTCAACAAATTGTACTATTTTACAGTATTCCAATTAATTGATGATACAAATTTCATCTTAACACACCTAATTTAAAAAATTGGAAAAATTCAACTAAATGATTTGAAAAGCCTAACGTAAACCTTTTCAAATGTGACTTGGATTTAAAAATATTTCCGAACCCTCTGGACAAGTAAAATAGGATGTAATGGATAATTTACACAACAGGTAGGACACTTAAACATCTACATGTAATACTTAGAATAAGGCTAATATTTATTTACTGGACTTCGGACACACCAACAGCTTCAATTTTCAGCACCACCTGGGCTAATGAAGATGGGCATAAGCTATGCAGTGTGCTATAAGGGAAATTTTTCAGGACAATGGCATTTATAATTCCACCTCCTCCCCTATGTTTCTTAATTACTGACAAGGAGAAACCATGCTGAAAAATCATGCGGAACTTTGAGTGACCACCAGAATCTCCATAGACTTCAGTGTTCAATTCAAGCTACATGTCTTTGCAACTTTTATTGAGCATCGCGTAGATTTTAATTGTATTACTGAAAAGGAGTTAAATATGTCACAATTATGGCATAAAATCTCCAATCTCGTGGGTTTTCTCCGGGTCCTTCGGTTTCCATCCACTGCTAAAGACCCCTACGCGCAAGCGAATTATTGAAATAAAATTAAACTATATGTTAGTCCCGAAATGACCTAGTTTGTGTCGAGTGGACGTTAAACCCCATCTCTCTCTCTCTCTCTCTCTCTCTCGCATAAAATCTTGAGGGGGGTAACAGCCTAGTTGTGCGAGGCCAGCGTACATGTATCGTTATACTGCATCATGATGTCAGTTTTGACTTTGTACATGTCCATCTACCTGGCTTTCCACATGAAACTTAGCATAAAAATTGAAATTTAAATCTTCTCGAAGTTCTCAATCACTTTAGACCAACATATCAACAAATAATGCATCTGAAAGGGAGAAAATAAAGTGAAAGAATAGATGGAAGGGAATTAATGTATTTTTATACGCCCACATTGAAATATTGTCGTCACTCCAGTTCGAACGATGTCTATATCGTTTCGATTGACTTTAGATTGATACACAGACAAACAAGTATATTGATTTTCAATGATTTTTGATAACTTGAACAGCTAAATTCACGATATTAAATGTTTTGTATACTGAATGTTAGCTTGGGCCAAACAAATTCTTATTATTTTCTAATAATTACTTAATGAGTTGTTACTCTTAATCAGATTTTAGTGTATTATAAATGGTTCATTACCGACAAGTGAAAATATGCGACAACTCTTGACTGCCCGGACGATTTATCTGCTGTGGGCGTATGTTTCGTTCCCTACCAACCTATCTGTTTAGAGTAAAAATATTGCATTGGACCATACATGATCAATGACATGTATAGTTTTATACTGTAGGTAAATAAGGTGAAAATATATGTAGTGCTAGTAGAGAAAAAAAAAATATATCCATGTATTTCCACGAGTTTGATTGCTTGGTACTTTTGAAAAAAATAAATGAGCAATTAATTAATATGTGTCATTAATTTATTTTGGGATTTCGGCGGGGGACATCAGCCACACTGTTGGCTTGTTTAATATTATTTTGGATGGTCAACCAATTTAATATTGTGATAAATTTTGCTGTTTATTTAATGGTTTTCCAATATCAGTTGTTTATGTAAACATTAACTGTATATTATATTTTAAAACAGAAACAACTGAAACAGATGGTTGTTGTATGTGGAGGTGGAACATTGACCTTTTTTGGTTTTTCTCTGTATAGAGGAGATGCAAAATTTTATGAAAATATGGTTATGCCTGCAATGAGGCTTCTGGATGCAGAAACTGCACATAATTTAGCTATAAAAATGGCGAAATATAAGTTGGTGCCAAGACAGAGTTTGGCTGATCCTCCTTTACTGGTATGTACAGAAACATGTTATAAGTTTACCATTAATTATCAGACTATTAAAGGCCAAACAAGCCAGATTGTTCACATTTATTTATCTCAAAAGATAGAAATATGTACTATTTTAATTTAAAGACTGTGGGACCCAATGCCAGGAATTGGGGGGAAAGGTGGTAATTTTGATGATATAAATGTTGATCATCTTATAGATTAATTAAATAATGAGCCTTTAATAGTTTATTAAAATTTCTAGTGCTGAACACTCTCTATATAAATGTATAGAATGCCTTTAGCTGTTTTACTTTGGGGTTGTAGGGGGTCCAAAATACATGTACATGTATACAATTTGAGGACAAAACCATGCGGTTTGAAATAGGCTGACAAAGGGTTATTTTTCAAAGATAATATATTAGTTTCTAACAGATGAGCACACCATAACTGTATTTTATGGTATCAGGGCCAAAAACTTGTACTTTTACATACATGTAGATAAAATATACAGTAAATTTTCACATATATTTTGTACTTTTTAAGCAAAGTAAATTATGGGGTAAAACATTCACGAATCCTGTTGGATTAGCAGCTGGTTTTGACAAACATGGTGAAGCTGTAGATGGTTTATTGAAAATGGGTTTTGGTTTTGTTGAAGTTGGAAGTATAACACCGGCACCCCAGGAAGGAAATCCTAAACCAAGAGTGTTTAGGTTGGTGGAAGATAGGGGTGTAATAAATAGGTAAAATTCCATAAACAGCAGTTTTAAATCTACTGGCATGAAAAACTTACATGTATATTCATAACATTTTTACTATCAATTGTAAATTATCTAGAAACTGAAATTTTAGTGCAGTTTTATGACAGAGACCTTAACTGATGTTTGAAAAAGCCAATTGATAAAACAATGAACTGGCCACTACAAAGAGGTAACTTGCTTGTAAAATGTAAGCTACAATAACAGTTATACCTTATTTAGTTTATGCCCTTGTCTGCCATTTAACATTGACAAAGTATCATTCATTATGGGTTAATAATATCGATCATAGATTTCAAAGCATAGCGTTAAACTGTTTCTGTATGTGTAAGCTAAAATAAACAGAAGCTGTAATATTAGTAGGTGCCACAAAAATATGTATTGTGACAATATGGAGAAGTTAACATAGTGATAAGTAACATTTCTTCATTTGTGTGCTTTTAGGTATGGATTTAATAGTGATGGTCATGAAGTAGTTGTTAACAGATTAAGATATAGAGAAGATGAACATGTGGTTTCAGGTTAGTCGTTATTGATTTGACAATTATGGTGTGATGTAGTGGACGATTTAAAAAACAAAAAAAACATAAAAAAAACAGCAATGAGTGCAGTGACCACCATTGGTTATGGGACCGTATTAGGTTCAGTTAGGTTCGTGGATTGTTGTTTATTTTCTTTTTGTCTGAGTTGTGCTTTTAGTTTTGTATAGTATTCTATTCTGTCATTATTTTATATACAGTATATCAAAATTAATTAGTTTTGTTAAAATGAATAAATAGATTATAATTAAAACAAAAATATCAATTCAATTTAAATTTCTACATGTATTTGATATCTCACTGGGAATCTTTTTTCTAGAATTAATAACCATTCCCCATATGGGAGATGAAAGAAATCGAGCAAATCTCAATTTTTGGACAGAACATAATCGTACATGGAGTGATCATAAAATGAAAAAAGGTACATGTAAAACATGTCATCAGATCATTATCATAAAAGGGTCATAAATAATTCTCTTAATTATTATTTTAGCGTCAAACATTCTACTTCCTCCAATGACAGATAATAGAAATATGCTTAACATAAATTTCTGGACTGAAACACCATTTAAGTTGCACAATAAAATAATAAAAGGTACATCCTTTTTGTCGATAGGATGGAGGATATGTATTGGTTTAGATTATTAGTGTGACCAAATTTTACTTCTGCCAATAATTGTAATTATGTGCTTTTTTTTGCCCTAGATGAATGTTGAAACCGATATTTGGTTCGGATCTATCAAAAATTTGCAAAAGATTGACAGATCATGTGCAGAACACTGTAAAATAGGGTCGTACTTGTACATTAAAACATAATAATAGTGTAGTGATTAAAACTGCTAGAAATAATCCTAAAAAATTGCACCATTTCATGAAAACCTTTTTCAAAAGCTGTGGAAGAATTTAATCTGTCTATAGAGACTTGATATTCTTTTGGATGCTGTCTTTATTTTTTGTGAAGAATATTTTGGGTTACCGGTATTAGTGTTGATGGAAACAAAAATAATATAAGAGAATAGGATTATATTGAAAATCTGTGTGAAAGGTAAAATCTGTAATTGTGAATAAAGTTTCTCCTATATATTTATGTGTGCTTCCTTTACACTTAGTCAGAATTATGTTTCAGAAAGAGGGATAATGGGCATCAATTTGGGTAAAAATAAATTTTCGTCATATCCAGTAGAAGATTATGCTCAAGGTGTGAAGAGGTTTGGGAAGTTAGCTGATTATTTAGTTATTAACGTGTCTAGTCCCAATACGCCAGGTTTACGTGCAATGCAGGGTAGAAAACAACTAGAAGAATTACTAGAAAAGGTAAATAAAATGTTTATGATTTTCTTACATCAGACTACCTTAAATCTGTTGATCATCATTAAAGGAATTCTGAATTCCTTGTAAACTGCAGCATTGTGAAAGTTGACTTTTTTTAAGGGTACATGTATATCAGTCCCAAAAATGGTTCAATCAGTTTTTACATAGATATGGTGAACTGAAAATTTTGCATCATTCGGCAGACGATAAAAACGGGTATACCAAAACTTTCCATTGAAAATCGATTTAATGTACTATTACTATCTGTCATATACATGTATGTAAATTTTCAAAGTTGATCTTCAGCACTGTGTTTCTTTATTTAATCATCTTTTTAGGTATCTGCAGAAAGAGATAAACTTAGATTAAAGGAAAAGGTACCATTATTAGTAAAAATAGCTCCTGATCTTTCTGCTGAAGACAAAAATGACATAGCAGCAGTTGTCTCCAAAAATAATGTAAGTAGTAGCCTACATTGTATTTATAATTTTACTTACTAAAAGATATATTTATTTAAACTTGACAACCTATTTACATAACCTTGTTTATAAACGATATCAATACTGCAATGAAATATAGTTATGGTCATGTTGATTTTTAGGTTTTCATAGAAGTTGTCATTCTATTTACCTTATCAAGCACAGAGCCATGGTGGATAAATGAGTAAGACACTGGCTCGCTAGCCGGGAGGTCGCAGGTTTGATCCCTGTGTTGGTCGAGAAAGTTTATCAGTGGTCCACGACGGAGGGCCTGACAAGCACAGCTGTCTAGTTGTTCGGATGGTATAGAAAACCGAGGTCCAGTGTACACGTAGGCATGCACGTAAAAGATCCCTTGGCAATTGGAATTCGATATACATGTAAGAGTAGGCCGTAGTGCCGCTGTTCGGGCAAGATTTACCTCATAGCACACTGTATGGCGTATGCCCGTCTTCATTAGCCCAATCGGAGCAGAAAAGTAGGACGTTAAACCAGATTTCATTTAATTTCATATCATGCACATTAATCAATTCTTATTACTTGTTATGTAAGTGCTATAGAAAATTTGATTAGAAGTGGCCAACAAAAACGAGAAATTTAACTGTTTATTATGGTTATATTCTTTGATTGACTCTCCAGTTTTCACTGCAGTGTAATGTAGATCAAGACTGGCAAATGTAACTGAAACCAGGGCTCAGTTACATAGTTAGATGTCAGCTATGCTTAATAAATATATTCTTTATTTAAGAGTGGTGTAGATGGTTTAATAGTTAGTAATACAACAGTTAGTCGGCCACCATCATTACAAAATAAACATAAAGAAGAAATCGGGGGACTCAGTGGTGATCCTTTAAAACATCTCTCTACCTCCACAATTAGTGATATGTATAAATTAACTAAAGGTATGGTTTATAGTTCATCCGATAATGCTAAATGTTATGGTGGATTTTTCCTTGTTTATTAATGTTTTAACTATTGATACCATTGCCTAGTCCGAACATTAACATTAATTGTGTACATGTATATATAGGAAAGGAGTAATCAACATAGCTGTAAAGTACACCTTTAAAAATTGTTGTCTGTATTTATGCTCAAAGGCTATAACACAAAATTAATGCTGAACAGGGTCAACTTTGTATAAAAACTATCAATTTAAAAATTTATTAGAATTTGGGTGTAATATAATTTTAAGAAAGAAATTGACCATATTGACATCATGCAGAATTTGTTACTTAGACAACATCAAGTTGTGCAAAGTTTTATTTCCATGTTGTTGTATTTTCCCTATTTGATGTCTAATGCCAAATTGTTTCCTCAAATTTATATTTTTTTCAGATGTATTATTATCATGACATGTTGCTATTTCAGGTAAAATACCTATAATTGGTGTTGGTGGTATCAGTAATGGTAAAGATGCTTATGAAAAGATAAAAGCAGGAGCTTCTTTAGTGCAATTATATACAGCTCTTATATATCAAGGTCCACCAGTTGTTAAAAAAGTCAAAAGAGAATTAGCACAATATTTAGAGTAAGTAGTTGTATTATTAGCCTATCATATATTATTGCTGATCATTAGCAAGTTCGGTCGGTTCGAAAATTTATGTGCATTATTCAACATAGTGAAAGGAAGAACCTAATTCAACATTTTTAGTTAACTACTCCTAAAGTTATGGCCATTGTTTCACTTTGAAGAATGTTGTGAACATTCCCAATTGCAAAGGTTCTGGTATGTGCATTATTCAAATTAGTGTAGTGAAGAACCCTTTTGAATTCAATGAAATTTTTTTTATTTAACTTTCTTGTAGTTTCATTATAGATATATATTTTCTGTTAAATTGAGGGGTCAACATATTTTGTTTGTTACAGATCTGATGGGTATAGTAATGTAGAAGAAGCCATCGGAGCTAATCACAGATGATAAAAACATTTGTTAGTGGATGGATTTTAACATTAACTACATCTGATGTATCTGGATGTTGATAACATTAGATTGTATCAGATATTCTACTTACGGTGAATACTTCAGAATTGATAATACAGTGAATACATAAGTCAAACTTTGCTCTGAACTTGGTAAGAGTAATAAGTTTGTTAGTAAGCAAGATATTCTTGACAGTGTAAGATATCTGCTCTTTAACATGAAAATAAATGATGCAATCGACTTTTATAAATATTAATAAAATTGTCCAGGGCCCCATAACCTGTATATTTTTGAAGATTGTAAAGTTTGAATGTTATCAACTAAGATGCTATATCATTAATTTAATGTTATTGTAAATTAGTATTTAAACGTTGACTGTTGTGAAACATTGAAGTTCTTATATAGGACTGTTCTATATACAATCAATGTGCTGGATTGAAATTGGACCTCTTAATTTACTCTATACAGTCCTACTCCTCCTAGTACTGCGTAAAGCATATGTGCCCGATTGTAGTGAAATTGGTGACGATTGCATTCGAAGAAAGCAGGGGACTATTAAAATGGGTTTGTCTGTCTGTCCCACTTTTTGGGACTCAATAACTCTGTTTCTAATTGAACTATAGTTCTAATTAAGTGAGATTGAGGACACTTGGTGTATGTCTTTATTACATCAAAACCTTGACTAAGTTCGATAATGAACATTTTCTGCTGAGGGTAAGCAGAGCGATAACCAATTTGATTGGTCTAGACTTTGGAACACAATGACTCTCCTTCAAATTGATGGAGTTCGATGATGAACATTGTCTGCTTACGGTAAGCAGAGATGCTTTGGAGCACAATAACTTTGGGTATAATGAAGCGAGAGCGATGAAACTCTGAATATAGATTCATTATATTGTTACCTTGACTAATTTCGATGGTGAGGAGAGAGAGAAATGGAGTTTAACGTCCACTCGACACAAACTAGGTCATTTCGGGACTAACATATGGTTTAGCAGTGATAGGAAACCGAAAAACCCGGAGAAAACCCACGAGGTTGGACAGGCGACCCTACTCCTTGCCACGTACAACCGGGGATTCGAAACCACGCCAGTCGACTCAATGACAGGCTTTATGATATAGCGCGTCGATGGTGAGGACTTTCTGCTTAGGCTAAAGAGCGTAAGCAGTTTGATTGCTTTTAATTGAGGTAGAATGTTTAAACTTGATGTAGATGTTCATTAGGTGAATGTCTTGACTGAGTTCAATGATTAACATTTCGAGCTGAAGCTAAGCAGAGCTAATCAATTTCATTAGTTGATGCTTTAAGATAATCTCGATTCTATCTGATAGAGAGTGATGAAACTTAGTGTTTAGTTTGATTGCTCGATACTTTTGAAAAAAATAAATGTGTGATTAATTAATATGTTTCACCTATTAATTTCGGGATTTCGGCGGGGAACATCAGCCTCACTGTTGGCTTGTTTCATAACAAGGAATTGTATTTATTGCAAGCACAATGGTTTTTCCATTTGTTGTCCACATTTGGCTTCATGATTGACATGAAACGTACGGGTATTGTTATATTAGTGAGATGAAGAATCCTGTTGATTTTCAAAAATTTAGATATACTATTCAAAAAAAGTAGGGGATATTTGATTTTGGGGGCATAATACTAAAATATGCAAATGACTACGAAAAAAGTCACTATAGAACCTAACAGAAGAAACATTTCCAGTTACATGTGACGCCCAAACGCACCAATAGCTACCGCATGGAATGCAGGTGATGCTTGGGATCATCATGGGGGTCCAGCCCAAGATTTGCACGACTCTGACTTTGAATGTTACAGTCATTGTGGCATTGAATTCCAGGGTGGAAACATCAGTTTAATTGTTTTAGTGACCAGAAAACAAATTTTGATATGCGTCGGCTTACCCAAAATGAAAGGTTACGTGCCCTTGGCATGCTACAGATCGGCACAACACAGGCGGTTGTGGCGCGGACGATGAATGTTTCTCAGTCTGTCATAAGCAGGCTATGGTCCAGATACCGTGATACACAATCTGTACAGGACAGACCACGCTCAGGTCGACCAAGGGCGACAACTCAAGCCCAGGATCGATTTATCCGTACCTTGGCCTTGAGAAATCGTGTCATCACAGCAAATCAGATCAGCGCTCGTCTTCAAACAGACACTGGTGTGAGAGTGAGTGGCCAGACGATTCGGAATCGACTGCATAGGGGTCACCTTCGCGCCCGACGTCCTCGCGTGATCCCTTGTTTGAGAGATCATCACATTCAGGCAAGACGTCGTTGGTTTGGGGATCGTCAACACTGGGATAATCGACGCTGGAGCAATGTGATGTTTTCAGATGAGTCAAGGTTCACTGTTGATTTTTTGGACAGACGTAAGAGGGTGTGGCGTCGTCGAAACGAGCGCTTCCAAGACGTTAACGTCATCAGACATGATCGATTTGGGGGTGGTTCTGTTATGGTGTGGGGAGGCATCACTGTTGCTGGAAGAACGGCTTTACATGTTGTTGCAGGGCGTGTTACAGGCCAGTACTACCGGGACAACATCTTGGCAGTCCATGTTGTGCCGTTCGCATGACGTCATGGCCGCCGTTTCATCTTCCAGGATGACAACGCAAGATGTCACAGGGCCAGGATCGTTACAGGTTACCTCCAACAACAGAACATCACCACATTACCTTGGCCAGCACTGAGTCCCGACCTCTCCCCCATCGAGCATGTCTGGGACATGCTTGGACAGAGGTTACGTCAACGTCAACAACGTCCTGCCAATGTCCAAGAACTTGCTGCTGCGTTGCAACAGGAATGGGACAATCTGGACCAAAATGACCTTAGACGTCTGATTAGGAGTATGCCACGTCGGATCAATGCTTGTATGGCAAACAGAGGAGAATTTACCCGTTACTGACTTGGTTGTGATGCTGTGGTAACTTTGCTGTTTGACCCCGGGTATCATTTTACCCTTATAATGGTCAGTCTGTGCCTTACTTAGTCTAACGATCATTTGGAATAAATCGATGAATGTGAACTTCATTTCATTTTGTCATTTGTTTCTTCGTCAGTTTCATTAGGTGACTTTAATAACACTTAAAAATCAAATATCCCCTACTTTTTTTGAATAGTTTATAACATATTTTGAATCATGATAATGCTCTGAAAGCTAAAGTTACCCATTGACTTTAAAGCTGCTAATTATCATTTATTTTTTTTGCCCACATTTTCATGTGGACGTATATTGTGGTCGCCCCTGTCCGTCTGTCCACAATTGTTTGTGAACAGTCTACGGGTCGCAATTTTTATTTGATTTCAATGAAACTTGAAATATAGGTTTATCACCCTAAGATCTCGGTTCCTTTCGATATTGGCATGTATCGGTCTGTAACTTCATTGATTATGGCCCCTGATTGTACGAAAAATCACGTTTTTAGCTTGTGAACACTGTAGAGGTCACAATTTTTTATCCGATTTGGTTTAAACTTGAAATGTATGCTTATAACCCAAAGATCTCGGTTTCTTTCGATATTCGGGCATATCGGAACGTAACTTCCTGGACCCTATAGAGGTCATAATTTTTATCCGATTTAAAAAAACATATTATTATATCACCGTTGCACCCTAAGGATGACTGAGTTTGAATTTCGTGAAAATCGGCCCAAAACTGACAAGACAAAATGGTCGCCCTTCAGTCTCAAATAGCGTAAAAATATGGTATATCAAGGTTGTGGACCCTATAGAGGTCACAATTTTACTCCGATTTGGTTTAAACTTGAAATGTATGCTTATAACCCAAAGATCTTGGTTCCTTTTGATATTCGTGCATATCGGAACGTAACTTCCTGAATTATGGCCCCAGATTGTACGAAAAATCACGTTTTTAGCTAGTGGACCCTATAGAGGTCATAATTTTTATCTGATTTAAAAAAACGTATTAATATATCACCGTTGCACCCTAAGGACGACTGAGTTTGAATTTCGTGAAAATCGGCCCAAAACTGACAAGACAAAATGGCCGCCCTTCGTTCTCAAATAGCGTAAAAAATATGGTATATCAAGGTTGTGGACCCTATAGAGGTCACAATTTTTATCCAATTTTGTTGAAACTTGAAATGTAAGTTTATAACCCAAAGATCTCAGTTTCTTTCGATATTTGCGCATATCGAATTGTAATTTCCTGAATTATGGCCCTTGATTGTAGGAAAAATCACTTTCGTTTTAGCTTGTTCTATATCCATCTCGCGAAAATGTGGGCGTATCCTGTCTGGCAGCCGCTGGTTAATCCCTTGCAAAATAAAAGTGGTTAATTCCATTGATATAATGAATTGAAAATTGTCCAACAAACATCACCCTCTGCAGACGATATACACAAGTCGGTGCCAGGTGTTAGGTAAAATCTTTTGATGGACCTCGTTTTAATGTAATTGAATCCAAGATAGTTGAATGAACTTTGATTTGTTATCTTAGATAAAATACAAATAATAAATTTGAGTACATGTTAAAGTGGATTAGGCCATGGAAAATGAGATTTTGTCTGGAAAATACGAAGGAGTATCAGTGGATTTAAATGCATTGTTTATGTTAGAAATTTATATATTCTTGTAAAAGCTTTAGCTACAGGTACCTAGGGAAGAAATGCAATCTGACAGCATTTATGGACTGCTGGATGACATGACTGTATGTTTTGTTGCCTGGCAACCCATATTTTTATGCAATGATGAATTCTTTTTTTTATGAATTTTTAATTTTGGAAATTAACAACATTTAGATGTATTTAAAAATAAATGAAAGCTTATATACTGTTAATGAAAATAATAATTTTGGTGGTTTTGTAAATTATTTATGACAGCATAAGACCTTTTCCCTAAATGACATCAAAATCTAACAAAATTTTGGTACCCCTCTGAGTTTGACAACATGCATTAGTTTAGTATAAATATACAAAACCGGATTGCTTTAATAGTGTCCGAGTGCTAATCATCATTGGTTTATTCCACCAAATAGGGAACATGAATTTGCTTATAAAATTGCATCAAATCTGAATTGGCAGCTTAGTTGGTAATACCAGTCTCATCCTGCTGTAATTATGTTGATCCCATTTAACATTTTTAATTCACTTAAATGTAATATGTAGCATCAAATCTTCAGGATGTAGTTTTTAATATAGATTTTGTCAGAATCCTCTTGACTTTTGGCAAAAGTGGTGGCTAATTAGGCCTGTCTGCCCTTTGGTTACTCTGTTTGCAAGGCAGTAACTTGATTTTTGTGAAATACACAAGTATTATTGGTAAAGTAGTCGATGAATTTCCTTTGGTGTAAATTGTTTTAAAATGCCAATGTTGAATGTAATAATGATAAAAAAATACTAGAAACTGAGATTTTAGACATTCAACTAAGTAAAGGGATTGATCTGGACTTCTGGGCTTTCATTTATGCTGACAGGCCATTTTCAATGATTCAGCTCATTGTTATTCATGTAATCAGTCACTGATTATTCTCATCTGTACTATATTATTAAATATATCAATGAATTGAGATGACAATGAATATGTACAGAGAATATAAATGTAGAACTGAAAAATAGAGAAATGTAAATCTTAACACATATTGGGACTAATATTAAAGATACATTATGTAAGATTTAGGTAAAGAGCTAGGCATTCTTGCTATAATAGTTCGAAAATAGATAATGTAAATTGAATCATTTGAAAATTTCAATCAAATTACTCTATTGCAAGCGAAGATGTTAGCCTTTGAAGGTTTGACAAGACGTGCAATAATTTCAACCACCATACTGGTTGTTCGGAGCTAAGTCTCGCGTCACCATTTTTAGCTTAAATTAAAATATGGCTGAACTGTTCTAATCTATTTAATATCGGAGAAATCTGATGCCATCAAGAGTTGATTATGGCCTGTATAAGATTATTAATGTCTAATAATTTAGAAAACATTTCAGGCCTAAAGAAAGACCTACAATAGGCAGATTTAGCTCTTGCATAATGTATGTTTAATATTCAGCTTTTTTTAATTATTTCACTTGCACACATGCTCTTCAGTAATTGGGGGAAACCAAAGGACCCATGAGGTTTGTTACAGATTGAAGATCTGAAGTGCATGTACACACTGAGCATAATCACCTCTGTTATAAGAATCACAAAAAATTCTCTAGATGATATTTATTTACATTCCTCTACAATAACAGTTTAAATATGTATAGCACAAATCAGATGTTCCAAACAATGTCAGTAATTATTAACAGGTTTTGTCTATTTAAATTTTATCACATAAATTAAGCTTATTTTGTTTCTGGTTTCAATTCAGATTCTGGTGGGGCTAATGCGTCTGCTTCTTCATTAGATGTGCGAAATGTATTAAAAGTTTCCCATGGTGTGGTATATTCAAACTTCCTAAATTCTTGTGTCATTTCAATTGGCTCTACAACACATCTCTTTACTTCTTCATCATACCTCACCTTGATAAATTAATATATTTCAAATTAAAATATAATTAAAAGGCACATGTCAATCACATTGCATTACAAACCACTTGAGATTTACACTATTGGAGACGTACATGTATTTTTATGATTCATAAATGGTATGTAAGAATGTGAATATCTTGGCAATGGCTTCATACATTTCTCATTTTTTTAATATAATCATTTTTATTTCAACATTCACGATCAAATCCTGTAAAACAAAATGCTATTTTAACAATCGGTAAGACCTTCAAAGCACTAATCCCTCTTTAGGATCTATGGAGCTTTACATTAAACGAGAGCATCGCTATTGCTTTAATATACGTCCGCATTCCTACTTTGACTCATATGATACTTTTTAAAATAAAGTGGGTGTGACAACGCCCCTGGGGGTTGGGACATGCACCAAAATAAATAGTTGCTATTATTCCAAGATGATCCATTCAGATTCAGAATTGCAGCCTGTAGACAACCGCAGAAATTGGGCGTGGCTCTGCCCCTAGGGGTTGGACATGGACCAATATAAATAGGTACAACCCTATGATGGATCATACGGAATTGGATCCAAATATGTTAATAATTGCAACCTGTAGATTATTTTCAGACAAAATATTAACAGAGGGGGCGGACCATTTACCAAAATCAATAGCTGTCATCCTTGGTGTATAAGGAATAAGCATACGAAGTTCCAAGATAATCCATTCAGAATTGTGACCTTCAGACGCTAAACACAAAAAAAATAGGCTGGGGTCTGGACATGCACCAAAATCAATACATAGTCGCCGCCCTCAGGCTATAAGGAATACATATGCCAAATTTGAAGATGATCCATTCAGAATTGCGGCCACAATACGATAACCACAAAAATTGGGCGTGGTTCTGTCCTTAGGAGTCGGGACATGCACCAAAATCAATAGTTGCCATCCTTAGGCTAAAGGAATACGTCCACCAAGTTCCAAGATGATCCATTAAAAATTTGGGCCTGTAAGCAACACAGACACACAAAGCAAAAATGGGTGTGGCTCAGCCCCTGGGGGACAGGCATTCACCAAAAACAATCGGATCATCCTTAGCGTATAAGGAATAGGTATGCAAAGTGTCAAAAGGATCTGTAAAGAATTGCGACCTGTAGGCGACCACCACAAAAATTGGTGTGGCTCTGTCCCAGGGGGTTGGACATGCACCAAAAATAATAGAGGTCATCCTCAGGGTATAAGGAACAAGCCAACAGTGAGGCTGATGTCCAAAATAAATAGATGACACATATTAATTAATCGCATATTTATTTTTTTCCAAGAGTATCAAGCAATCAAACAGATTATCACCTATACACTAAGTTTCATCACTCTCGATCATTGAACTCAGTTGAAGACATCAAGTTTAAACATTTTACCTCAATTAAAAGCAGAGTTGTTATGTTCCAATGGCTTGACCAATCAAATTGCTTATCTCTTGTTAGCCTTAGCAGAAAATTCTCATCATCGAACCTAGTCAAGGTAATGATATAATGAATCTATACTTGGGAGTTTCATCACTCTCACTTAATTATAACAAAAGTTAATGTGCCCCAAAGCATCAGCCAATCAGATTGCCTATCTCTGCTTACCGTAAGCAGACAATGTTAATCATCGAACTAGATCAAGGCATTCACCTAATGAACACCTACAAGTTTGAACATTCTACCTCAATTAGATTGAAGGAGAGTTACTGTGTTTCAAAGTCTCGACCAATCAAACACCTACATCAAGTTTGAAAGTTCTAGCTCAATTAGAAGGAGAGTTATTGTGTTCCAAAGTCTCTGCCAATCAAATTGCTTATTGCTCTGCAGAAAGGAAAGGGCTCATTATCGAACTTAGTCAAGGTATTGATGTGATAAAATTATACACCAAGTGTCCTCACTCTCACTAAATTAGAACTTAAGTTATTATGTCCCAAAGACTCAACCAATCAAATTGCTTATCTCTGCTTAGCCTAAACAGAAAATGCTCATCTTTGAACTCCATCGATGCATTGACCTAATAAACACCTACACCAAGATTGAACATTCTACCTCAATTAGGAGGAGAGTTATTGTGTTCCAAAGTCTCGGCCAATCAAATTGCTTATCGCTCTGTTTACCCTGAGCAGAAAATGATCATTACCGAAAGTAGTCAAGGTATTGATGTAATGAAACTATACCCCAAGTTTCATCACTCTCACTTAATTAGAACTAAAGTTATCGAGTCCCAAAGCATCAACCAATCAAATTGCTTATCTCTGCTCATCTTTGAACACCATCAAGGCATTGACCTAATAAACACTTACACCAAGTTTGAACATTCTAGCTCAATTAGAAGGAGAGTTATTGTGTCCCAAAAAGTGTGATGGACGGACAGACGGACGAACCTATTTTAATAGTCCCCTGCTTTCTTCGAAAGGCCGGGGACAATAAGTATGAAAAGTTTTCAAGATGTAGGGCTGTAGATGACACACAAAGAGAAAATGGGCGTAGCTCTGCCCCCGGGGGTTGGGCATGCACCAAAAACAATAGGGGTGATCCTTAGGGTATAAGGAATAAGTATCCAAAGTTTCAAGATTATCTGTTAAGAAATGCGTCCTGTATATGACAAACAACCAAATACAAAAAATGGGCGTGGCTCTGCCCCTGAGGGTCGGGCATGTACCAAAAACAATAGGGATCATCCTTATGGTATGTAAAGTATCAAGACAATCCATAAAGAATTGTGCCCTGTAGGCAACCCACATAGACACACACACAGGGGTGACGGCATAATACGTCCACATTATGAATGTGGATGTATAAAAAGTAGAACAACCCATAAGAATTTATGATTTACCAGACTTAAGCCTTGTCAAACAGAGACTAATTATTACATTATACACAACTGAGACTGCCAGACCAGCAGTTCACTGATCTCAAGTTGCATAATTGTAATCAAATGGGTGTCTAGGCAAAAATGATATAATTTAGAAAAATAACTGTATAGACTAAACCAATCAAAAACTTAGCTGTCTTGAATTTTATCATCTGTTGAGGACCTACTGATAATTGGAAGATGATCAACTACATGTAATCATGTGTTAAAAAGACTCTTACCTCAACATATCCTGATAGAGGGAAATCTTTTCTGAAGGGATGACCCTCAAATCCATAATCTGTTAAAATTCTCCTCAGATCAGGGTGATTTGCAAAGAATACACCATACATATCCCATATCTGCAAATTTACATTGTCAATTAGTCTGCTGTAAGATATTACTAAGAATCATCTATCATTCTTCATTTTTCAAAAAATGACTGTTATCAGAACATATAATTGACACAGAATTTGAAATTTTGATAGTTGAAATGGCAATGTACCGCTACCTTCACTCCCTTTTAGGAAGGTTGTTACTACTGGTTCATTCCATATCAACTGGCCTTAAACTAAGAAATCCGAAATTGTACCTCTCTAGGTTGGAAACTCGCTGAGATATGGCCATGTGAAATTAAGGAACTGAAACGGATCATAAATTCAGTATTTTTTTTCTAAGGTTTTCGGATGCTTTAAACTCACATTTCTAATAGGACTAGAACTCTCTAACTTTGTAATCTGAGACAACTTTTGGTGTAGATGATGAATTTAGCATCACACTGTCTGCGCCACCAGACGGCAAAATGTGGAACAAATGAACTATTCACTTTTATTGTCAGGATTTCCACAGCCTCTGGCAAAGTCACTATTGCATACACAACCACCAGAATTGGCATAGTTCATGTCAATTTGTCTTATATCAGTTTACAAAAGATTCCGAGCCAATGGGATGTAATCATTTTGGATATACATTGTATTGTTCTAATTTAATTTGCCTCCAAAATGAGTACAAAATGGTTAATACGCTTCACGAATTGGAATAATGGGTTTTGACGATCAGATTAAAATTATTTCTGAAAGACTTAGACCCCTCATATTTGACATGTTAGATCAACTCTTAACATAGAATAAGAATAAGGACTCTTTTGGGATCCAGGGAGTATCATTTCGATTTAGTTTTGCTTTAAAAACGGGTGAAAACTTGTTTTGTCTGCTTAGTTTCACTATCACTAGACGCCTCAAAACTACAGGCTGCAATTCTTAACGCATCATCTTGAAACTATAAATACTAATTTTTCCTTATACCCTACTGATGTTCCCTATTGTTTTTGGTGCGTGCCCACTGTGTCAGTTTGTCGCCTACAAGCCACAATTTTTAATGGTTTCTTTTGAAGTTGTGCATACTTATTCCTTATGCCCTAAGAATGATTGCTATTGTTTTTTTGTGCATGACCAACACTCCAGTGGCGGACAGCACGCCTATTTTTTCTTTGTGTGTCTGTGTGTTTTGATCATCTTGAAAACTTTTCATACTTATTCCTTATACATGTACCTTTAGGATGACAGCTATTATTTTTGGTGCATGCCCGACCCTCGGGCACAGCAAAGCCCATTTTTTTATGTTTATCGCCTAGGGGTCGCAATTCAGAATGGATCATCCTGGAACTTGACAGGGGTCGGGCATACACGAAAAGTTCAGAATTGCAGCCTGTGGAAGATAACACAAAAATCTGGTGTTGGCGTGCCCCTGAGGGGATGGGCATGCACCAACAATAATAACAGTCATCCATTGGGTGTAAGGAATATATATGAATAGTTTTCAAGACAATCCAGCTTTCTAAGCAGACAAAACAAGTTTTCCCCTGTTTTTGAAAGCAAAAATAAATTGAAACGATACTCCCTGCAGCCCAAATGAGTCTATATTCTTATTCTATTTGATAAGTTGATCTAAAATGACAAATATGAGGTGCCTAAGTCTTTCAGAAGTAATTTTAATCTGATTGTCAAAGCCCAATATTCCAATTTGTAAAGCGGAATAACCATTTGTTTCTCATTTGGGAGGCCAAATAAAAATTAGAACAATACAATGTAGATCCAAAATGATTGCATATTCATAATCTACGCAAACATTTACTCTAAATAAACACGTTTGAGGAGTATAGGTCATTTAGAAGTAATTTTACAATCAATATGAAAAGTCAACAATTTTGGTAACAGTCATTAAAACTTCATCACTGCACAGATTTCAAGTGCCAATTAAAAATATAAGCCATCAAATACACAAGATGGACTTCAATGTATGTTAAAGTAGGGTAATTGAAGTTTTATTATCAAACTTTTTCAGAATTTTAACCTCTGTCCCACATGGCCAAAAATGAAGGTGAAAATGGGTATATTTTGTACACTTTCAGTGTGCACTAAATTTCGAGACTGAATATTTGGAAAAGTATATATCCCATCGACTCAGAATCTTTTGTAAACTGATATAAGACAAACTGACATTAACTATGCCAATTTTGGAGGTTGTGTATGCAATAGTGACTTTGCCAGTGGTTGTGGAAATCCTGAAAAAAAAAGTGAATTGTTCATTTGTTCCACATTTTGCAAGAACAGTATGCATTGGACAATAAGTGATGCTAAATTCACCACAATCTACACCAAATGTTGTCATAGATTACAAAGTTAGAGACTTCTACTCCTATTCGAAATGTGAGTTTAAAGCACCCGAAAACCTGAAAAAAATTACTGAATTTATGAGCTAGAGAGGCATAATTTTGGATTTGTTAGCTTAAGTCCATGTACTATAACATATTTTTTAGAATTTTTTTGGAGCGGGTAATGTTCCCAACTATCCGCAATTTGGTCCACTTGACATGGAATGACCCTACTATCTTGATTTAATATTACATTAGACAAAGACCCTGTCATATTACACATACCTCTCTTTCATACCAATTGGCACCAGCAAAAACAGAACATATTGAATCTACAGGTGTTAATTCATCTGTGTATGTCTTGACTTTAATACGAGAATTATAACTCAGTGATAAAAACATATATACTATCTGTAAACAAAATGGACAACAAATAATATACAGTACACATATGTAACATTTCAGATAAAATGACATTATTCAGGCACTTTATTTTGGGGATGGAATAATTTTCCCAGTTTTCTTTTCGTATTCACTGAAAGGTTTTTTTTTCATCATTTAGTCAGTGCTGTAGACCCCCCGGCTCGTATGACTATGTATGTAACCATACTAGCGGTATGGTGCATTGATTCTTACCTCAAATCTATATTGTCTTGTAGGAACATCCACACCAGCTATATCTACTATGTTCAGGAATTGGCCATTATGATGATCTTTAAGAAAAGTTACGACTTGGACAATGCCTTCTGGGTGAATTAACAATTCCAATTCATCACCAGAAGTAACTTGAGCTGTCTGAATATATTTTGGCAAGCATTCTCCGCAATAAGCACCAAAATCAGAAAGGGTTTTTTTCAATACAGGATTTTCTGGTCTAACTGTAGCTGAAAAAAAAAAGAACCAAATTTGATCGCTCATCCTAACCTGAAAATAAAAAGTAGAGAGAGCAACCATCCACTTGCCTCCGACAAATTACATGTCAATGACTAGGATATGTCACTGTACACTTTGTATACTTCAATCCTCATCTAATTGCCTTCCAATAAAATCTTGTTTTCCTGTCCTCTTATGTCAAGGTCTACAATGTAAAATTGTGTACATTCCACACCTCTGAGCATACAGTGAGCATTCTCTAATCTCAGAATTAATAAATTTTAAATTGCATCCTCTTCAAATCAATATGAATCTATCAGATATTTTTAATCTCTGCATCCTTTTTATCTGTTTTACTAGCATGGAGAGTTTTAATAAGTTTATTCATTACAACATTGACAATTTAAGTCTAAATTTCTTACTTACGTTTAATACTCTCACTTTTGGTAACCTGAGTTGATTGAAGGCGACACACTGCTGATGCTAAAACTTGTCTCTGAAAAACTATTTAAAAAATAAAAATATTAAAACACTAATTTAGAATTTATGTTGGCGAAATGAAACAACATAATTTGTGCTAATGTTTTCACAACCGAAGTTGCTCTTCAGGCATTTATTATAAAATATATATATATATATATGTTAAAATATTATAAAACCAGTGTTGAAATCAGTTTGTGTTGTCATACCTTTTATCTTTTTATCGTTTACCGTGCAACAAAGTAGTGCAGCTTTACGATTGTGCCAATACTTTTGGATACATGTTTGTATGTTCATATGTGAAGTCTTAAACATACATTATGCAAGAGCTAAATCTGATTATTGCTAGTCTTAATTTAGGCTTCAGATGTTATAGAAATTATAAATTAGATCTTTATTTAAACAACAAGCCAAAAATCAACTCTGTAGACCCACGGATAGCTCGGCTACAGCTTGGATTTAAATAGGATTTCAATGATTGATTAAATTAAAAATGGAGCCATGCGGAGATTATTAACCATTACGTTGACGTCATCAGTTAGATCGAGGCTAAATGATAGAGTGTACGAAGCGAGGCCGCAGTTGAGCGATGCCGCATGTCAGTCAATTTGATTGAAAGTTTGATATATACGGCCTTGATATTATGTTGAGTTGTGGTTAAAATGAGAGTTTGGATGTTTGTATTATACGCTCTTTTGTCACTTGCGTTAACAGAAAAATTATGGAAATTGATAAACATCGCAGCTAACATCACCCCAGTTGAATTGCAGTCCCATTGGATCACTGTATAGTGTTTCCTATTTGTCTGCTTCGGGAGTCATGTAGTCACGTTTCAGTACAAGAGTACACGCAGGCTAACAAGAAGTCGGCTATAATTATGCCTCATTGATTTGGTCCATTCCTTTCAAACTTTCGCTTCTTATCTATATAATAAAAGTCTTATTTTTAATTTGTAGTAAAAATAAATGTGATACGAATTGAACTGCAACCCTGTCTCATGCCATTGAAAACGTTACTTGATAATCGAAATTATGTAGGTGGAGTTAACGCCTGTCAATCAAACAATCGGCCAAGGTGAAGATATATTTGACTACCATTTCTAGTCAAATATTACAACGATGATAACTTTGTTCAGAATATATTCTTCTTTCATCGTCTACTTTTGAACTGTTATAGCAAGAATGGCCAACTCTCTATAAAAATCTCAGATAATGTATCTTTAAGTTCTTTGCTTTTTATAAAGCAACTGTGTGCAGGAGTATTCATTCATAACTAAATATTGTTTCATACTGTATGACAGTTTCCTTCACAATCTTCTGCTTAGTTCTATATCTAAGGATTTTAAATTAAAGGGACTATCCCAGTGATGGGATTTTGCCCGTATATTCCGGACATGTCCGACGCTATTTTCCGAACGTCGTAAATTGTCCGACCAGGAATATGCCGAATCAGACATCGTAAATAATATTCAAAATTCCAAAATTAATATAGTGTACTGAGTGTATAACTACCACTCAACCCGATTATCGTTGATAATAGGCTGGATTGATTAGGTAATTAAGTGATCAACGTATTTATCGTTTTATACGGTCTATACACATACCTTGACTAACTACTTAATCTGCCTTGATTGACTGACTTAATTCTTTGTCGGACAAGTCATCAATTCAATCCTGAACAGAAGTCATTGCTTCTCCTTTGTCAGCCTATATATCAATCCAATAAACTTTATCTATATGATTAACCCGTGATTTCTCCATAGTCTCACGTTTTAATCTCCTTGATGTCGGCTGTAGACATTAGTCATATATGTCACATATCCTAATAGTATATAACACCCCAAATCAATATACATTGTGTCCGATAACTTGTCTGTTAAATGTATCGACTTATGACCCGAAAAATATGGTAATTTTGGGGGAATTTGAAACCGGTATACGGATGGGCAGTAGTCGGCACGCTTTCATTCTATGGTATTACGATGTCATGTAATTTTGTAGGAATATTATTGACATAAATTTGAATACCGTACGGGAATTAAATTTGAAAAATAACGAGGTGCACCTATTTTTTTTATTACGTATGAATTTGAATATTTTGTTGACACGTGATTCTTAATTGTGGTTTGAAAACGCCTGCTTAAATAACGATAAGAGTTATGTCCCTTTATTTTCGGGAAGAAAATGTCCGACAACTAAAATTTTGAAATCCCATCACTGGACTATCCCTTATTTGAACAGAGTCTCAAAAATAAAAGTCTTGAGTATGTATGAAATTTAAACGCCAAAATATCGAGATATGGTGTATTGACCGTATCTCAAAATTTAAGCTCAAAATATTGAGTCGTTTGGACGTGACCATCAAAACTGCTTATCCGGACACGTAACCCTTTTAAGATTTCGGATAATTTTTTCGTTGGGAGACCTGATAATCGATTCCCGTTCATTGAGAGGTCTATACAGTGAATGACCCAAATGCTGTACTTGATAATGAAAGGTACATTTCACCGACACATTATTTTTATACAGAAAATGTCTGGTTTTATCTTAGGTAGAGGATTTTCAGGGATTTTAAAACAAAATTAAACAGTTTTATTCTCAAAAAAATTATCGGGATTAGCCCTTTAAGCTTCAATGCATAAGCTTCTGTTGACCTCCTTACTGTTCTGATTGTAAAGAGAAGATCAATTCTAACTAAAACCAAACACCTCCAACAGACCAATTAGCAACTTTTTCTTGTATTAGCATGGGGGAAACAGAGGGTTTCGTAAATATTTGTTATGCATGTACATGTATAGTGCATTTGTATATTCTCTCTTAAAGCTTACTCGGGCCTACAGGTATGTGCCAGACCTCTATGTACATTTAAGTTAGCGACCCACATTAAGTGGGGTATTAAAAACAGCAGCAAAACCCATCCAGTTTTGTTTGAATAGATTAGCGTCTTTAAAATAATATTTATTTGAACATCCTAACAATTGCCTACTATAGCAACAGGCAATAATGACTCAAGTGAGTAAGCTAGATTAGGCTGACCTTAAAAATATCTTTGTTTCACCAAACCCGACCCACAATCGAGGAGAAGGGTCGGTAGGTCGGTTTTTTTTTCAGATTTTTTTTTAAAGTCAGAGAAATCAATACAGAAAACTTATTAGCTGTATACTACAGATTCATTAATTTTGTTTAATGAATTTGGGGTCTGACGTAAAAAGTAACGAACTGAAAGTTTTTATTAAACTTAAGAGCTAATTTGACAGCTTAATAATTTTCCGGGTGGAAACATTCGTCTTCTTTATTGGCAAACAAATCAATGACATCGGGATTTTTCGTGATGCCCGACTCGCACACGATTAGCCACGAACTTGAAGTGTGAAACTCCTTCAACACGTTTTTAACGATAGTGCGCGTTGTGCTTTCATTTTTCTCGAAAACGGATATTGAAAATATCGTCGTCATGTTTAAAACTACGCACCACAGACATAGAGGCAGAATTATTTCGTGGGAATGGACGTGTATTCGTCTGCAACCATTTTGTTGAGAAGCGACACCTATGACGCTTTCGTCTTGATCAACCAGTTTCAATAATGAATCAAACCATAGCCATAGTATAGGGAAATAACTCTCATGATATATTTCAGGTTGACACACAAAATAAAATAAAAAGATCGTGGAAAAGTGCAATAAAATAATTTAAGTCGGGGGTGGTTTTAGTTAGTCGGTCGCGTTAGGCGAAACAAAGATATTTTTAAGGTCAGCCTTATAGTAATCAAAACACACTTGTAGTTGTAGATAACATGTGCTGAAATAGAAAGGAATAGCAGCTTAAAAAATTACCATTCTGATTCTCAATGACAGATAACTGTCAAACTAGTATAAAAAAATAAAAGGTTTAGGGGACAGATCACTAGCGTGGGTGGTAAGTGGTGGGATGGCCTAGTGCTGTAGTGGTCTAGAGTGTCACGCTAAGATAATAAAAATGAACATATGACAACTTGTCTGCGATATCTGATGAAGCAGACGTTAAACACCAAGAACAGCAACAATCACTAGTGTCCATGTATGTTAATTTGTACTGCCAGTGCCACTTGCATTTATTAGGAATTTCAGGTCACGTGACATTAACGTGAGAGCTGACAGCCAGCGGCTAAAATACAGCCCACTTCAATCTACGATTCTGAATAACTATTTTATTTATATGCTGGACTGCCGACAACCAGTATCGCAGCGCAATTTGCGATACATATGAGAGAGAGAGAAAGAGAGAAATGGGGTTTAACGTCCACTCGACACAAACTAGGTCATTTCGGGACTAACATGGTTTAATTTTATTAACATAATTCGCTTGCGCGTAGGGGTCTTTAGCAGTGGGAGGAAACCGGAAGACCCAGAGAAAACCGACGAGGTTGGACAGGCGACCCTACTCCTTGCCACGTACAACCGGGGATTCGAGCGATACATATGCACTGATACGCTAAAAGTTTTACTTAAAATTATGAAAATAAACACTAAATTAGTGATCCAAGATATTGCTGAGGACGGAAACTCCCGTGGAAAGTGGCAATTCCTGGAAATCGGCACCGTCTCGTAATCCAAAGGGACCCAACTCCATCACAATACGGGCACAGACTACAGTTAATACCTCAACTGACTTTGACATAAGAAAATGTTGCTTGTTGTTCAGTGTGTATTATTAGATTTATAAATGTAATTTAAAATGCAGATGCAGTTTTTGAAAATTGAATTAATACAGTCCATTATAGTTGACAGCATTTAGTGTTCCATAATATTTGGGAAGAAAATATATTTGTATGGTCTGTTGCATAAAGGTATTATTTTAATTTATCAGGATTGTGTACGAATGATGAGTGTGAGATTAAAATATATACATTAATAAATCATAAATACATAAACATACAGTTTGGTATGCATAATAATATTGCTGTGCTGGCTATATAAACTTTAAATCTTTTTGTATTTTCAGTAGTATGGTAAACCTGTGTTTTGGTACCTAGGGGAGTGTCAGCTTTGGAAGAAAAATATATTTCATGTTGATTTATTTAATACAGTTAGCTACATAATATAATAAATATGATCCTGATTGATAAATAATTTGTTTGTTTTGGGTTTTTTTTTTTTGGGGGGGGGGGGGTGAAGGGGTGGTGGTGGGGGGACAATATTTTCATTTTATTTTTATAATTAGTTTATACTATTCTGTTTTGAATACTCTACGACAAATTTTTGTTTTTAAATATTTTGATTATATTGTATCATTATTGATTATAATTATGTTTAGTTCAAGTTATTATTTAATTTTCTGTGCCGGTATTTCAAACCTCAGAAAATAAACTATTTAAGGTATGTGTCATGTGCTTGTATGGCTGTGTTGATACATAAATAAGCTTCATCTTGATGAGATAATTATGTCTCGGGGGGGGGGGGGGGGGTCTGCCAGTTGGTGTTACTAAACGGGCACTCGGGCAGTAACTCTGTCAATTCTGCTCCGATTTTAAAAAAATTGGTGTTGTTACAATGCTGAGATGTGTAGCTTTGGGAAAATAACAAGGTTATCGACAACAAATTAATATTTAAAAATAACTAGTTCAAGTTTACGTAATTATTATTATTTAATCTTCTGTACAGTTATTGCAAACATTAGAAAATAAACTTCCCGGGCTATGTGTAATGTGTTTGTATGATTGTGTTGGTGCGTAAATATCCTTTATTTTGGTGAAATAATTATGTCTCTACGACCTTTGGTTTCAGAGATATGAAGTGGGGTTGAAAATTGAAGCAAAATGAAAATGGCCAATTTCGCGAACAACAAGAGGTCTGCCAGTTCGTGTTACTAAATAGGCATTAACACAGTCTCAGTCAATTCTGCTCCGATTTACATAAACTTCTGAAGAAGAAAATAATATTTAAAAATAGCTGCCGGTCGCTAAAATAATTAAAATCATTAATAATATTAGATTTAGATCTACTGAGACTACTCTAGTTATTACAGGCCTATTTTATTCCTGGAATTGTAAACATTTGCCACGATGCAATACATTTTTTTTTTCTTTTTAACTTTTCAGTGAAAAAATTTCTGGTTAAGAAAATCGACCACGATTTTTATTACACCAAAGTAATACCTGGATTCTTAGACAAATTAGAAACAACTGGTCTCAAAATTTGACACAGCCTGGACGCCATTTTCGACCTTCAAGGACAAGTCATTGATATTATCAAATTCCATATCAAATTTGGTTAAACAGGGTTAGAGAGATATATTGAATTGAGTGATATTCATCATTATAATTTAGGTTTTTACAAACTGCGACAATGATAGTGCGGACCTGACATTAGACAATATATTATGTAATCATTAACGGTGGTTTTTTTTTACAAATAATAAATGCTCTTTAGTACCATTTATGTCTCAAAAGTTGAAGGTCGTAACAAGGGGAGCTACTCTTATAAGAAACCATTGTTTTTATTCATTCTCGTTTATTTATTTTTTATGATGACAATTTTGTTGATGTAAGTCTATGAGTTAGTATTTACTGTCAACCTATAATGGCCGATGACAGAGGAACTAGATCATTTAGCCAGGATAGACAAAAATTTGTCTCCATTTTATCTGGGGAATTAATGGAAATTCCTGAAAAATCAAAGGTAAAGTATTGGCTGGGGCTATTTGCCGGCACATGTGGTAAGAAAATCTGCAAGTTTTATTGCAATCGGTTGGTAATTGGGGTCTGTAGCCGTGCCACATTAAATGTGTGGTAACCTGATATCTCCGAAACCTCTAACTGGAAGTGATCAAAATTTTGCCTACTCTGAGATATTATTAATAATGTAATTATAATCTGCAAGTTTCATTGAAATCGGTTGGTAATTGCAGTCTGTAGCCGTGCCACATGAAATGTGTGGTAACCTGATATCTTGTAAACCGCTAACCGGAAAGGGCCGAAACTTTGCCTACTCTGAGATATTATTAATGTAATTAAAATCTGCAAGTGTCATTGAAATCGGTTGGTAATTGCGGTCTGTAGCCGTGTCAGATGAAATGTGTGGTAACCTGATATCTCGGAAACCACTAACCAGAAGTCGTCGAAATTTTGGCTGCTCTGAGATATTATTAATGTTATCATTTTCTGTAAGTTTCATTGAAATTGGTTGGTAATTGCGGACTGTAGCCGTGCCACATGAAATGTGTGGTAACCTGATATTTCCGAAACTGCTAACCGGAAGTGGTCGTAATTTTGGCTACTCTGAGATATTATTAATGTTATATTCTGTAAGTTTCATGGATATCGGTTCATAATTGTGGTCTGTAGCCGTGCCACATGAAATGTGTGGTAACCCCCATATCTCGGAAACTGCCAACTGGAAGTGGCCGAAAGTTTGGCTTCTCAGAGATGAATATTTCGCTCTTCTTCACCTCTGTTTTAAGGCTATTTTGGAATCCTTACCTACTATTTTTCACCGTGATTCTTCAGTGTTCGCCAAAGGAATCATTTCTTTCTGTATTTTCATATTGCAGCTATATTATATATAGGAACGGATAGGAACTGTCAACGTACATTGTCTGATCAGAGACAGTTCCTAAATGAACCAATAGTTCGCAAACAATGTGTTGCAATAAAAACAAACTACGATAATTTTTTCAATCACTTGAGTTTGGGCAACGAAAAATTTCAAGTGAGCACTGTTACATAGAAGATTTATATTAAAACAAATGATCACCAGTCAACTAAATTGTAATCACAGTGAATATATCACTGGTTGCAAAGAAGATAACAATAAAGATATAAAGATAAGTCATATATAGACAAAAACATTCTCATTAGATCTTTAACTTTTTAATGTCTCTGAGCGTTAAAATATTTGAGAGATACACTAGGAATATACTTGCTAACTATATACAATATTGTAAAAGTTGAATCTCTAATAAGAATATCAGTCCAAAAATGATTCAATTTTGTTCAGTATTTACCTGTACAGAGAAATCGGAAAATGGAAAATCATGACATAAATTATGGGGTGTATTTCAAACTAGCAAAACCATCTAAAAAACACATGTCAGAATTGAGATTTGATATTTGACCACAGCCTTATGAATTGTCCAATCTTGTACAATTATATTCTACAAATATGACATACGTATGTACATGTAAGCTTAGAGGGTAGAATTTGGTCATAAATATATTTCAAAAGATAAAGCAAAAATGGGAAGTTTAAGATAGAAAAGTACAACAGACATGAGACTAATCTCATTTCATATACAATACTTCTATTGTTGTAAAAGTGACATAAATCATAGATTTAACATACTGTCAGCCCTTTGTATGAATTGATCTATCTGGACAAGTATCGGTAACGTAATTAGCTTCCATTTTTTCAAGAGAGACCATTTTTATTGTACAGTGGGTTTTATTTTATCAGAGGTGATTTCAAACATATGCGTTAGTTTTTATACGCCCACATTTTCATGTGGGCATATATGGTTGTCGCCCCTATCCGTACGTCCGTCCAGATGTCCGTCCACAATTTGTTTGTGGAAACTCTACAGGTCACAATTCTTATCCGATATGGACGAAATTTAAAATATAGGTTTATCTCCAAAACATCTCAGTTCCCTTCGATATTGGCATTTATTGAATCAACACTTCATGGATTATGCCCCTTATTATATGAAAAATCACGTTTTTAGCTTGTGGACACTCTTAGAGGTCAATTTTCATCTGATTTTGATGAAACTTGAAATGCATCTTTATAACCCATATTTGCGCACGTCAGTTCCTATCTTCCTGAATTATGGCCCCCGATTGTACAAAAAATCATGTTTTTAGCTTGTGGTTCCTCTAGAGGTCACAGTTATTATCCGGTTTAAAAAAAACGTTCGAATATATCACAGCAATAAATCCGACCAAAACTGCCGGAAAAATGGCAAATAGTGTAAAAATATGGTTTATCAAGGTTGTGGAGACTTTAGAGGTCACAATTTTGATCGAATTTTGATGAAACTTGAAATACATGTTTATTACCCAAGGATCTTGGTTCCTTTCGATAGTCGCGCATATCGGATCGGAACTTCCTAAATGCCTTGATTGTACAAAAAATCACAATTTTAGCTTGTGGTCCCTCTAGAGGTCACAATTTTTATCCAATTTAAAAAAATGTTTGAATATATCACTGTTACACCGTAATTTTGGTTGAGTTCGATTTTCGTGAAAATTGGACCAAAACTGCCTGAAGATGTGGCTGCCCCTTCTATGAAATTAGTGTAAATATATGGTATATCAAGGTTGTGGACCCTCTAGAGGTCAAAATTTTGATCCGATTTTGATGAAACTTGAAACTCATGTTAATATCACAAAGTTTTTATCCGATTTTTATGAAACTTGAAATGTATGATTATAATATTTGTGCATATCGGACCGTAACTGCCTGGATTATAGCCCCTGATTGTACGAAAAACCACATTTTTAGCTTGTGGACCCTCTAGAGAACACAAGTTTTATCCGATTTTAAATTGTACATCCTAATGACGGTTGAGTTCGAATTTAGTACGCATATAGTGTAAAAGTATGTAATACCAAGGTTGTGTACCCTCTAGAAGTCACAATATTTATCCGATTTTGAAATATATCTTTATATCCCAAATATCTCAGTCCATTTTGATATTCGCGCATTTTAGACCTTAGCTTCCAGGATTATGGCCCCTGATTGTACGAAAAATTGCTTTTTTTTTAGCCTGTTCTCTATCGATCTCTTGCAAAATGTGGGCGTATCTTGTCTGGCAACTGCTGGTTTGATAACCATAAAACACAAGCACTTTATATTTTGTTATGGCTCAGAGAATAGACCTACATGTAAGACTGTAAGTTTAGATACACAAAATATAATTATTTTTCTGTGTGATTTTAGGCCAAGTCAGTGATATTGAATAAGGCTCTCTATAAGATGACCATGTAAATAAACATGTGAATTATGGATAATAAATTTATATACATTTACATGTTATCTAGAAATTTAGCCATCCTTATTTTTGCTATTTCAGCTCGGAAAATGTAGAAGTGTGATAGAGTTTGAAAAACTTAACCGTGTTGGTGAAGGGACTTATGGAATTGTTTGTTAGTAATTATTTTATATTATTTATTTTTTAACAAACAGTATTCTATTCGCAGGAAAGGATTGCCTATATTACCTGTCTCCTCGACCTACTGTGGTTTATCATAATAATTACATCATGTTTGTGCATGAACTAGTATATTTAACGTACAGTTCCACCATTCTGGTGACCACTGAAATTAATGTGTATGTAAACTACTTACTAAATTATGTCAATTGGTGGGTTAAACCACAGTATATTTCTTTTACACTTTTTTTTTCCAGATTGTGCTCGGGATACAAAAAGTAACAAAATAGTAGCACTTAAAAAAATGAGAATGGAAAAAGAAAAAGATGGTAATTTGAAATGTAGAATTTATGTGAAAAATGAAAGTGTTGATTTGATTGTATTTATTAATTTATTTTGTGCTATGCAAAACTTGCAGCTGTTTCAGCTATCTATAATTGAGCATTGACTGTTAAGCCGCGGTCACATTTTACGGTCAAGCATGTGGTGGGTGTTATTTGTAGTTAACTGTAGTTGACCGTAGTTAAATGTAGTTAGGTGTAGTTCACCATAGTTATAAACTCTACTGTGACCGTAGTTTGAACGTAGTTGACCCTACTTGAACCTAGTTGACCGTCAATGACCATATTTGACCGTAAATGACCATATTTGACCATAGGGTCAACTACATTTAATCCACAGTCATAGTAGGGTCTTTTGCTAATTTTGAACCTACTTCAACCTAGTTGACTGTAATGGCACTGTGGTGAACTGTGTTCAAATTAACTACGGTCAACTACATTGGTGACATGAGATGTGACCTCGGCTTTAGTGATTTTGATGATAACTTCCATAATTATGTTCCTTGTTTAGTTGATGTTAGTCTACAATAATATAGATACAATAATTCATATATCTTTTTGAAATTGATATCGGTTGTCCATATCATTTAAACAAAGACATTTAAACAATGAAGCCTTTTGATTTTCAATGTTTTTTCCAAATTTATACACAATGTTTAAGGTCATGAGACGAAGAATCCTATTGATTTTCAGCGATTTCTGATGATTATTGCAAGAGTTATGGCCCTTGAAATGTGGTTGTATAAGGTCATGAGACGAAGACGCCTATTGATTTTCAATGATATCCGATAATTATGGCCCTTGATCACTTTGAAATATCTTGTGGACGCTCTAGAGGCTAAAGTTAATATTCGATTGACTTTAAATATATACACAGTGTTTAAGGTCATGAGACGAAGAAGCCTATTGATTTTCAACGATGTCCGATAGTTACTGCCAGAGTTATGGCCCTTGATCTCTTTGAAAAATCTTTGTGGATGCTCTAAAGGCTACAGTTAATATCCGATTGACTTTAAATTTATACACAGTGTTTAAGGTCATGAAACGAAGAAGCCTATTGATTTTGTACGATATCCGATAATTACTGCCAAAGTTATGGCCGTTGATCACTTTGAAAAATCTTGTGGACGCTCTAGAGGCTAAAGTTAATATTCGACATTAAATTTATACACGGTCTTTAAGGTCATGAGACGAAACAGCCCAGTTATTTTCAATGATTTCTGATAATTACTACCAGAGTTATGGCCCTTGATCACTTTGAAATACCTTGTGGTCACTCTAGAGGCTAAAGTTAATATCTGATTGACTTTAAATTTATACACAGCGTTTAAGATCATGAGACGAAGAAGCCTATCTTTATTGATTTTTGTTAATATATATTAGGTTGGCATGAAGAAAGATGTCTTTAAACTGCATTTTACACTAACATCTTTTATTATCTTATCTTACAGGTTTACCTATAAGTGGATTAAGAGAGATAGATATTTTATTAAATATTCGCCATGAGAATATAGTTGAGATGAAGGAGGTTGTTGTAGGTAAAAGTTTAGACAGGTAATTATTCATTTGATATCTATATACATAGCATTTTCAGTGTCTCTTTTTCAAGCATATTCTCATGCAGTAGGTTTGATGTATATTTAGTGATATTACCATTTACCAGTCAGATATTCATGCTTTGTTCACTATATTATGTTACCATGAAACAACAGGAATGAATAGTAACAGAAGTTTATAACCTTCCTTACCTTACAATTTTTAGAAAATTATCAGAGAACTAGGAGAGGTTAGACATTTTGGACTAGCATTAAAAAGAACAACCATTAGCTTCAATAAAATGAATTAATAAACTGTTTTTATACACCCACATCAAATTTATAATTACTTCATGAGTTGTTACTCTTAATCAGATTTTAGTGTATTATAAATGCTTCATTACCAAAAAAAGTAAAAATATACGACAACACTTGTTGACTGCCCGGACGATTTAGCTGCTGTGGGCGTATGTTTCGTTGCCTGGCAACCTATCTTTAGTGCTTAGGTTGTTTTTGCAAAGAAAAAATATAAACTTAAGAGTTAAAAAAAAAGCATCCAAATGTGACTCAAACATTGGCCTTGTCATAGTAGGTAAACAGTCATAACTTATTGTCATTTTACAATTTGAAGAATTCAGTTTAATAAAAGTTAATCAAAAGTAATGTATGTGAATTCTTTTGATAAAAGAAACATAAAAAAAAGAAAACGATAACTTATCTATATATGTGTTTTATTTCAGTATCTTCCTGGTAATGGAATATTGTGAACAAGATTTAGCATCATTACTGGATAACATGGCAGCTCCATTTTCAGAATCGCAGGTGCAGTAACTTCTTCATCTAGGGAATGTTGGTGTGCAATGAAACACATCTCTAATGCATTGAATGGTGCAGCCTCTTTTGTAATAGATATACCACAGCTTATAGACAGAATGGATAGAGAGAATAATATGGATAATATTAAATGAATTCCATGTAATAATGATATGTGTAAGGAATATATCCTACACATATTCTTTGTGGTATATTAGTAGAAAATAGAATTCAAAGTACCACTATTACCCCCATATGTAACTGTGACAAAGGGAGCAGGGGCATTTTTATTTTTGAAAGTTCTCATTTATTTTTTATGATTATTTTATTCAGGTGTAGCTCACAGTTATTTATAAATTCGTTGTTTCTGTTTCAGGTTAAATGTATAATGCTCCAGTTATGTAAAGGGTTAAGATACTTGCATGAAAATTTTATCATCCACCGTGATTTAAAAGTTTCCAATTTACTCATGACCGATAAAGGGTGTGTTAAAATAGGTAAGAGCATCACCTGATTTTTAAATGAATTAAAAAAGAATAACAGTATTCACATTGATAAACAAATAGAAATCATGTGTCCATGGATATTGATACATTATAACTACTGAATGGTACTAAAAATAGTTCAGTTTAAAATATCTCCTGAATTTGAAGTTTGTCAAGATTAATTGAAAATTTAATAGAGTTTGCTAACAATCAGTACACACTTTTAAAATAAAATAGCGTTGTTTTCCTATTTCAGCTGATTTTGGTTTAGCTAGAAAGTATGGTATACCTACAAAACCAATGTCTCCGAAAGTAGTTACTTTATGGTAAGTTTATATTAGCACCCTTACCAGACAGTGTTGTATAATTGCACTGTGGCGTTCCTACCAACCCATTGAAATGATTTATTGAAAATGACCAGAAATTACTACTTTTGTACTTGCATTTGGAAGCAGTTTTACCCAGGGAGCCTAGAGTAAATTATCTTGGTCTGGGGCCTTGTTTGGCATTGATCTGATACATTGTTTCAATTAATTACACACTAAGGTCTATACAGTTAAATATTTGTTTCGAAAGATTGAAGTGGAAGCCCGCTGGTTTATATTTTGGCTCATTGTGTAGACAGTGGAACATACAATCAGTTATATCTAACACTGATTAGATCCAGTAGACGTGGTACAAGGGTTAATCAGCGAACTGGATGTATGAGATGTGTTGTTGACGTTTGGGAAAGTAGGACGAGGGGAAATGTGTAGGGAGTGAAGTGCTGTAAAGGGATAGTTAGATGTATTATGAATGGTTAGAGTGGCTGTGGTGTTACGGTGAAATACTATGCCGCCACCGTAACACCACAGCTTTATGATTTGTTAGACAGGAGTGATGTAATGGGTGTCAACAACTGGGTATGCTGGTACCGTCGCAACGTAGCCGTGAAATATATATTGTGGGGGGGGGGGCGGAAACGGAAAAATATACAATGTTGACAGTTTGTGCCAGGCATGAGGTTGCGCAGACCGAGCGGCAGCTCGATAGGGAGTGTGTCAGTTTTCTGTAAGCAGTGAAAACACTATTTTGGCATTGTTTGCGGGGTTAAACCTAAAAATCACATTAATAAACCTATTGCACGATATTGTGAAACTAGCTGACGAAGACAGCTCGGGCGGCGATTGTTCGACTCGGGGCTGCTCTGTCAGTATCTAACAAACGCATTTAGTTCGCGTACAACTTTTAAAAACCGAATGTCAGTATGGTATTTCTAACATAATTGGTTATCGCAAAAACAGAGTAAACTCGCCACCGTAACACCACAGCTTTATGATTTGTTAGACATGAGTGATGTAATGGGTGTCAACAACTGGGTATGCTGGTACCGTCGCAACGTAGCCGTGAAATATATATTGTGGGGGGGAAGGGCGGAAACGGAAAAATATACAATGTTGACAGTATTGCAAGGCATGAGGCTGCGCAGACATAGCGGCAGCTCGATAGGGAGTGTGTGGGAGGGTCACCCTCATAACAAATTTTTTTTTTAAATTTCAGTTTTCTGTAAGCAGTGAAAACACTATTTAGGCATTGTTTGCGGGGTTAAACCTAAAAATCACATTAATACACCTATTGCACGATATTGTGAAACTAGCTGACGAAGACAGCTCGGGCGGCGATTGTTCGACTCGGGGCTGCTCTGTCAGTATCTAACAAACGCATTTAGTTCGCGTACAACTTTTAAAAACCGAATGTCAGTATGGTATTTCTCACATAATTGGTTATCGCAAAAACAGAGTAAACTGAAAGCGAGTAATCTCGACTAGTCTATAGCCTACTTACAGTACTACACTGGTCACTAGGCTTCCTATATTGTTGTTTGTGGATGGTTTACTACTCAGTGATAAGCCTGCGCCGCAAAAAGAGGTCTCGCCTTTTATTATTAGTATAATGACTTCCTCATGTGCGGCAGGTTAGTTTGCTTCTAAAAACACTGTTTTCCGTTCCAAAAAATACAAAAGTAATTTTCTACCAGATGACCATGGTTCTTTTCACCGAGACTAGATAATTTCTCTCGGTGTAAGGATATAGCTATGGATAAGTTCATACAAGGTCAATAAATCCGCGGTCACTTCGGGTCACACTGTTGAGAAAATAAACCGATGGGTTTGTTTAGTAGCAAATCGAGCGTGAATCAACTGAGTTTGTACTGAAAAATTTTTGAGTGATATGTATGAACTGTCTTCACACATTCGGTTTATAATTAGCGATACACAGCTACAGTGGCAAGTGTTGTACTTCACAGACTGTTTACCTCCGAACTACCTCCGCACGAAATCCCCGATTTGGGTACTTGTTAAAAGAAAAAGAAATAGTACCTGTGCGCGTGCCAGTAAAAAAAAAACTAAGAGTTTGCGCATAAAAGTGCCCGAACGTACCAGGCGCCAGGTCATCTAGAGATGTAAAATTTTAAATGAAGACAATTTATCACCCAAAAAAACCAAATCATCATGACAAATCCAATGAAAGTTACAAATTTGCTGCTTGTGACTCAAATCAAAATGGATATATTATTTTTGACAAACTAATTGCAAGATTAGTTTATTCCAAGTTAGTGGATGTACATTATTTAGAAGTTAGTTGTTGCTTGGTGTGGAAAAATCTCAGTTGCTGCTTGTTGCATTGTATTGTATATGCAATTAAACACCCACCAGTTTATAAGATATGCTTATGGATGATTTGGATAAAGAAGAAATTTCCCATGTCATAAAGCCACATGAAACTGATAAACATATTATTAAAATTGATATTTTTGTAACAAGCTTCATTTTATTTGAACTTTCTTAACTTGAAGTGGCATTAGGTAAGATTAGATAAAGAGCTGACAGTTCTCGCTATAATAGTTAAAAAAATAGATAGTGAAAAGAAAATATGCTGAAAATTTCAGTGAAATTACTTCATGGTGATACAATTTTTGTCTAGCCTCGATTTTCATTACTACCATTGTTACGATAATAAACAAAGTCTTGATTATCCATTTTTTATGGTTATTTTATCAACCACAAAACATATTAATAATAATAATATATATTGTTTATAGACTGTTAAACACAAATTGTCTCAACCGTCTTTACATGGGCGTACTACACATAGTATATACATAATAATAAATGAATAAAAACTATTAATAACTCCTAAAAAATCTCAATTAAAGATATACAAATGTATGCCTATAAAAATATTAGTTTGACTAGTAGTATTATTGCCTAATTGAATAAATATGTTTTGAGGTTGGATTTAAACAGGCTGAATTTTGTGAGTGATCTAAGTCTTAGTGGCAGCTCATTCCAGAGAGTAGGCGCGACACGACTGAAGGCGCGATCGCCATACAACTCACTGGATTGTTTTCCATGTGTTTTTTGGGAAAAGGGTTGCAACTTCACCTCATCACTGCTTCTAGTCCGATAAGATCGAACTTGAATACTAATGATATCAGTGAGGTAGCAAGACGCTGACTCACTATGGCGTATTAACTTGAAAATTATACATCACAGTTTGAAATGAATCCGCTTCTCAACTGGGAGCCAGTGTAGCTCTCAAAGTATGGGCGGCATCTCTGCGTGACGCTCCAGCTTCCTTCGGATCACCAGTCGAGCAGCAGAATTCTGAACATGTTGTAATTTCTGTAACTTGTATTTCGGGACACCATAAAACAGACTGTTGCAGTAATCCAGCTTTGATGTCACAAAGCCATGCACCAATTTCTCAGTACTGGCCTGGTCTAACAAATGCCAGATTCTCCCTATACGCCACAGTGAGCGGAAGCCTTGCTACACACACTCTTGATCTGAACATCCATCAGTCCAGCCGAGTCCATCATCACCCCCAAGTCACCAGCGGAAGCTGATGGCGAAACAAGCACCTCACCAACTCGTACATCACCCGCGACAACCTGCAGACTTACATTTTTCTTGCACGATGAGAAACAGACAATTTCAGTCTTATCATCATTGAATGCAAGTAAGTTTGCACGCATCCAGAGACGAATCTCATCTATACAGGCCTCAATACAACCGGCAGAAATCGAGTCCATTTGAGAGTCACAAGTGATGTAGAGCTGGGTGTCATCAGCGTATATCACAGCATTTAGACCATAGCAGCTGATGCTGTCCTCGACTGGAGTCATGTATAATGCAAACAGAACCGGTCTTAGGACCGAGCACTGGAGAACACCAAATTCTAGAGGATGGTCCTTCGACACCACTGATCTAACTGACGCTCTTTGTGTTCTTCCTCAAAGAAAGGAATTGATCCAATCGTAAGCCTGACCACAGACCGCAAAACGTTTACACAGTGAAAAGTTCGCAAATGTCTCTGGAAGCATAGAAATCTCAACATTATTCGGAAGAATGCCAGCTGATGTTTTCTTAGAGCCTGAGATACTGTCAACAATATTGAAAAGTTCCTTTGAATCAGCTGCCAAAATATTGCGATGAAATGACGCCTTTGATTCCTCAAGTAGCCTGTTGTAGTTAGCCCGAGCAGCCTTGAACATTTGAGGATGAACTTCCAATTTAGTGTCCAAAAATTGACATTCAAGCTTTCTGAGCGCTCGCCGTTCTGCCAATAAATCAACAGTAAACCATTCTGCTCAGGGTTTGTTCATTTATCACATTTGTCATTTCAGAATTATAGGCAGTCGCGAGTGAATTGACATCGACAATAGATTCCACCTGCTTTAGTGAATTCACTATTGAGGCCTTCAATGCAGGGGGTCGGTGAATAATGGTTGTGAAGTGGACTACGTAATGATCTGAAGGCATTGTGCGAACGGTTACGAAATTTCCAATCCATGTATCAGATGCACGAGTGAGAACCAAGTCCAATGTGTGGCCTGCTTGGTGCATGCTCCTGTTCACGTGTTGTACGAGGCCGAGTGAAGAAATTAAATCAAGAAATTGCTGAGCTTCAGAACACCGCGCATGTCCATGTGTAGATTGAAGTCGCCGACAATCAATAGGTGGCCCGACGACACTATGAGACCTTCCATAAGTTCGCCAAATTCTTGTAGGAACGCTGGGACGCCGAACTTGTGTTTTTCTGAATACCCAGGTCTGTAAATGGTTATGGCACGAATCAGTGTACTACCAGCGTGAATACTTGCATCCAGCACTTCCATTGATTTGAACTTGTCGCATGGATTCCGTTTTTTCTTCAGGTTAGATCTGAATAGGAGAGCAACACCGCCGCCTTGGCGCTTGGAGCGTGGAACGTGCAATGGTTTGTAGCCGGCTATTGATGAAGTGAAGTCCGCATCTAGTAGTGCACCATTCTTCTCGGTTATCCAGGACTCAGTTAACAAAAACACGTCAGTTCTATTGGTTATAATAGACGCCGACAATGCACCGATCTTCCTATTCATCGAGTGTGCATACCATAGTGAAAAGTTCAAACACTGAGTAAGGTTATGTAACGGATGATAAGGAATCTTAACGAGCGTAGGAATACGGTTATTTTCTACGGGTAAAAAAGTTCACTATCGGACGAATAGGACGTTGAAATTTGGAGTAACCTCCTCGCTTACCCTGCGGTCTTTTCCATCTTCTCCACCTTGTTGTTACAAAACCAGTGGAATAGTCCAGATTAAGTCTGATTGAACAGACTGAGGAAACAATTTTGTTTCCATGTTTGGATTTACCACCTCTAGTTCCTCTAAAGGGTCTAAGCAGATCAAGGTCATGTAGCACAGATTGATTGATATATTTTTTAGAGAATTTAGAATACTGTCTCTTTAATTCAAAAAGTTGTTGACGTGAGTAGGAAATCATTTTATAGTTCAGGAAAAGCTCACTTTGAAGATGGCTCACATAACACTCAAAAAAGTTCACATGATAGTGGCCAACAGGTAAATTGTAACTAAAAATAGCACAGATTATCCAATTTATGATAAAGTTTACAATCTAAAATCTAAAAAACATCACAACACCAAAATTAGAACATTAGGAGACATTAATTTTCACAGTTTGGTCCAGATATCCTTATCTTGATTTCATACAAATTTCAATTATCACCAAAAAGTAATTACACAGAAAATTTAAAAAAAACCAATCAGAGCAAATTAACACAGCTGCAGCCAACAAGGGTGCAGTATACTAAAATCTACTAAATATCAAGTGGCATCAAGAGATAATTATGATCTTGGTATATAATGTCTAATAAAATTAATAATTTATATAACATTTCTGTCTATTTCAGGTATAGAGCACCAGAGCTACTTTTTGGATCCAAAACACACTCTACAGCCATTGATATCTGGTTAGTTCAATTTTTGGGGGTTATATTAATATAAAGCCAGATACAACACATTATGTTAGAGAATTATGAGTGACTATATCAGAGGAATATTTTCACACATTTGAACTGCTTACATTTTAGGAAAATTCTGTTTTTCAATCAAGGAAAGTAACAGAGTATAACCCATAACATATGGATATAAGTATATATATATATATTGCATAATCCTAAAGAGATTTCCCATTCAAATATCCAATCTTTTTCTTTTTAATTTGGATTGGTAATGTCTTTTTTTTTTTTTTTTTAAATTTCAAATGTCAAAGATTGTAAATAACTTAAAGATGCATTATGTAAGAATTAGATAAAGAGCTATAACAGTTAAAAAATAGTTGATGGGAAATGAATATATTGAAAATTTCAGTCAAATTACTTTATTCTGTGCAAAGTTTTGACAAGTCTTGATTATCTATTTTATCGTTAAACTCTTAAATGGCCCTGGTGTTCTAATCTACTTAAATCAGAGCCATCCGATGGCTTAGAGAGTTAATTAAGGGCTTATGTTAAAGTCACATCAACACTTTATACTTATGTGTACTGTGCAAGAGGAAAAATTTTGCTCCGACAGTGGCATTTTCGCCAATTCCTCTTTGAATTCCAACTGCCAAGGGACTTTATCAATTGTACATGTAACCTATGTTTGTGTTCTATCCGAAAGACTAGACACTCTTTCCTTGAAAGTCCATATGACCGAAGCACACAACCACCATGGCTCCCTGAAGACTTAGAAAGTTTTATGGCCTTTTTATGTAGTAAAATTGGAGATTGCTAGGACGAGTTGTTTTAGTCTTCCCAACTGCGCACCATATATGTTTTACACAGTGATTAATTCTCAAAGATCAGTTGACCTTTATTTTTGGATATTTAATCAGTTCTACAGAATGATATAATTTGTGTTACAGGTCCGCAGGATGTATATTTGGTGAATTGTTAGCACATAAACCGTTACTACCGGGTCGATCAGAACTACATCAAATAGAATTAACTATACAAATGTTTGGAACTCCTAATGAAACAATATGGCCGGTATGTTTACAATTCTAATTTTGAATTAGGTTAGATTTGTTAATGTAGGCCTACCCTAAATTGTTAATATTAAAAGAAATATTTATTCAGACTAGATGGTGTTAATTTAACACCTTAATATTGATCTCATTGCGACCAGGTAAATGAGATAATAAGTGTAACAAGTTTAATGGGGTTTTATATGCAAACATTGAAATGTCTGTTTGTCTCTCCTCCTTACATCCACAGTTATGATGCCACCAAATTTTTATTTAGACACAGTGTTTAAAGTCATTAGATGAAAATTCCTATTGTCAATTTAAAAAATCTTGTGGATGCTGTAGAAACCAAGTTATGATCTGATTGACTGTAAATTTATACACAGTATATGTTCATGGAACAAAGAATCTGTTTGATTTTCAGCGATTTCCACAACTTGAACAGCTAAATTCTTGATATTACATGGTTTGTATACTAAACATCAGCATCAGGCACAACAAAAAACCAAACAAATTGTAATGATATATTTGTTATTGTTATTTAATGGGTTAGTACTTGATGGGTTTTTAGTGTCTTATAAATGCTTTCATTACCAATAAAAGAAAAAATATGTGACAACCTTTGTTGACTGTTCAGGCGACATAACTGCTGTGTTCATATATTTTGTTCCCTGGCAACCCATCTTTCAATTTGGGGTTGAGCAAGGTTTGAGTTGGAAATGTGGTGGGAGAGGGGGACATCAGCCCACTGTTGACTAGTAAATGAAATGAAATGGGGTTTAACGTCCCTGTTGAGTAGTAAACATTAGCTTCTTGAAATGGAAAAAATGGATATTTTGTCAAATATGAAGTGCAAAATAAATTAGAATTCCATTACATGTTGCTATGAAATTACTACTCTCAGATTGCTTAATGGGAGTATTTCCCACTAGCAGAATTATTTGAAGCTCTTTAATTTTTTTAGGATTTTCCACAACTCCCTGCATTAGAACAGTTTACTTTAAAACAACAACCGTAAGTAGCTCTCACTAAACGTTTATAATTACAGTCAAAACCAAGTAATATAAACTTTGCACCTGTGCTACTTCTAAGGGTAGAGTCTCATCAACTCATTGACAAAGAGAGGATATTTAAAAATGAAGATACAATGGAAATGATTACAAAATGAAAGTAGAGGCTAAATTTCTCATGTGATTGAAATGCATGAACTGTCTTTGTTTGCATGAGGTGAAGAATGCTATTGATTTTCAACAATTTCAAATAATTCCTGTGGCAGTTGTGGCCCTTGCTCAAATTACCGGTACAGTTATTATATAATTGATATTGGCACAAGATAAAACTGGAAACTAATTAAAAATGAATTATTCCTGATAATTATTTTATGGTTTGTTACTCTTGATCAGTTTTAAAATGTTTCCATTACCTACACAAAAATAAATATGTGACAACCGTTGTGGACTGAATAAATAAGTTTATCTAATGTCATTCCTGATCCCAAGCTTTTTGTGCAATCCACACAACCTGAGAATTATCCATATGAGGATCAGTTATTAATATTTATTTGTCTTTTCTTTCTCAGATATAACAATATAAGGCATACATTTCCATGGCTGTCAGAACCAGGCATTCGTCTGCTTAATTTTCTCTTCATGTATGACCCCTTAAAAAGGTAGAGTAGAACAAGTAAATCTTTTGTAGTAACTAACAGAAAGATATTGAATTGTTTTTCTTTACATTTTTGGTTTTGATAATTTAAAAGATTGGATTTATCAAATTTAGAAAAATTAAAGAAAATAATTGCTAATTTTAGCTTAAAGATGCATTATGTAAGAGCTAAATCTTCCTATTGCAGGTCCTTTTTTCTGGTTTCAAATGTTATATTATATTATATAAATTATTATTAGTAGAGTAAAGATAAGCCATATGGAGTGAATACCTGGAACAAATTGCAACAGAATTTTTTTCGATGGAAAAGATAGGTTTTCGAGTAATAAGCATAAATCCAATATGGCCGCCATTGGCACCTTAAAACTCCAATATCTCTGGAAAAGTTGTGTTTGGAGGGTGTAAATGTATTATGGGTAGATAGGAAAGTGGTACAGATGGCTCAAAAAAACAAAGCGAAATCACGTCCGTTTGACGTCACACGGCCAACAATTTGCATAAATCCAATATGGCCGCCATTGAAACTTAAAACTCCGATATCTCGGGAATGGTTAAGTTTGGAGGATGTAAATGTATTATGAGTAGATAGGAAAGTGCTACCAAAGAACTAGAAAAAAAACTATGCCAGGTGACTTCCGTGTGACGTCATAACGTCATACGACAAAAAATTAGCATAAATCCTTCCTCAGTAGTGATTTAATGGAGCGAAGCGTACGGTATTTAGATGGAGTGAAGCGTAAGGTATTTATAGGTAAAATCATGCTAATTCATGCTAATTGTTGGCTGTATGACTTATGACGTCACAAGGACGTCACCTGACATTGTTTTTCTAGTTCTTTGGTAGCACTTTCCTATCTACTCGTAATACATTTACATCCTCCAAACTCAATCATTCCTGAGATATTGGAGTTTTAAGTTTCAATGGCGCCCATATTGGATTTATGCTAATTATTGGCTGTATGACGGTATGACGTCACAGGAACGTCTTTTAGCTATGTTTTTCTGGTTCATCTGTACCACTTTCCAATCTACCCGTAATACATTTACACCCTCCAAACTCAGCCATTCCCGAGATATTGGAGTTTTAAGGTGCCAATGGCAGCCATATTGGATTTATGCTAATTACTCGAAAACCTATCTTTTTGTTTTGGGTGATTTTTGTTTGGGAGACCTTCAGGGACCCCTATACCAGATTCCGTTGAGAAAAATTCTGTTGCAATTTTTTCTAGGTTATTTATTATTTTTACCAGACTATATTTAGACTTTTATTCACATGACAAGCCCTAATCAACACTCTAGACAATCTGTTGGATTGAATATTTAGTGGATTAGACAATGTTTGCTATATCTTTGTTAAACATTAAAATGTAAAATAGAGACTTTGTTTATTATAGTAGCAATAGTACTTTATCTAAATCTTATGTAACTTATCTCTAAGCTAAGTTCATAACTTTGGATCTGCTTGTTGAAGTTGTATGTGTTGAATTCTCTGAATTTACAGGGCTTCAGCCGAAGATATCATTGAGAGTTCGTATTTTACTGAACCACCACATCGTAAGTACATTTTTAATCCAAATAGTTCTATTGAAAAGCTGTGTAATTTTTATACAGTCATATTTTAATGGGGTCGTATGTTGCCATCACAAATGTAGGGCCTACATTGTCTGTTATTTCTTCTGGTGTAATTTTATTTTAATAATTTTCTTACACACAGGGTCTTTAGCAGACGAAACCTAAGCGAGAGAGAGAGAGAGAGAGAAATTGAGTTTAACATCCATTTGAAACAGACTAGGTCATTTTGGGACTAACATATGGTTCAATTTTATCTCAATAATTCGCTTATGCATTGGGGTCTCTAGCTGTAGGAGGAACTGAAGGACCCGGAAAAAACCCACGAGGTTGGACAGGCAATCCTACTCCTGGTCACGAACAACCAAAACCACACCAGTTGACTCAATGACAGACCTTGATTCAGCACACACACTATTCATTCGGCCATCCCCCCCCCCCCTGAAACCTTAGCATATCCATGTGATAAGCCAGGCAACACTGGTATCGAGTCAATTTTTGAGGCCACATTATTTATTTTTAATTTTAAACTCAAAACATGGTCTAGTATCATCGTCAACATTTAAGTCTTTTATTTAAAATTCAAATCATGCCAGAAACTTTGATATCAATAGTTTTATACCATCGTATAAGTGTTTTGTGGGAGGGGTGGGGTGTTGGATCATAATGTCTGTTATTGAGTAAACTGGTGTGGCTTCGATTCCCTCCCTAGTTGTATGTGACAAGGAGTAGGGTCGCCTGTCCAACCTTGCTGGTTTTCTCCAGTTTCCTCCCACTGCTTAAGACACTATGCGCAAGCGAATTATTGAAATAAAATTGAACCATGTTAGTCCCGAAATGATCTAGTTTGTGTGGAGTGGAGGTTAAACCCTATTTCTCTCTCTCAGATATCACTGTAGTACCGACGGTAAACACAGCAGACCGGGTCGTGGACGAGGCTCGAGAACAGCGGTTATGGACCGTTCGTGGCAGCTTTGGGCAACCTGAGAGTTTACAAGTTCCGGGGATAGTATGGTCGCAAGGCTGAAACTTGAAGGAATTGATGGAATGGCACCACAAGGAGTGGAGTCTGTGGCTTGATTTGACTGAACACAGGTCAACTTACCTGGTCCGGACATCGTCAGGATTGACAGATGCTCGTGCAGTTCTTTCTCAATTCGATGGGTGGTGGTGCATGGCCGTTCGTGGCGGGTGAAATGAAAAGTCTGATTTATTCCGCTAACGGGCGTGGCCTCGCTCTTTACTAGCCGGCTTGTGGTTCAAGACTAAGTTAATGATCAAGTTACCTCAAAATGTGAACGTCATTGAAACTGAAGTTCTATGTGTAATTGTATAGCCTATATAAGTTGAATTAGTCAAGTCGTCTTGAAAGTGACCCAACTTTGCTTGTGTAAGGAGATTTAAATGAAATCTGAACCAAACTGGGCAAATGAAGACGGACTAACACTTATATCGAATTCCAACTGTCAAGGGTTCTTTTATATGTACGCCATATGTACACTGGACCTCACTTTTTTGTCCCATCTGAAGGACTTTACATTGTCCCTTGCAAGGCCCTCTGCCCTGCATCACAGACAAGGGCGAACCTTGCAGAAAATTTCTGATGAACTTTCTCTGTCAATCCCAGGATCGAACATATGACCTCCAGGTCAGCGAGCTATTATCTTGCTCACCATAAGGAGATTTAAGACTAAGTACGAAAAAAGTTTGTGTTGTTAAAAATGTGTTTATTGGGGATGTTTTGGGAATACTGTTGGATGTGTTCATTTATTGTTGTCTATATTTTGTAGCTTGTGAACCAGAGTTTATGCCTTCATTTCCTCAACATAGATTAAAACGTAGACAAGCTGAAGAAAATCCTAAGGAAGAAGTGTAAGATTTACTAATTACGTAAATTAGAAAGCAAAATGAGCATTATAATTAGAATAATCCTTCACCACATACTCTCCATAGATATGTGCAAATGTTGTTGGTACTATTGCATACTTTGACAAATATTTTAGGATTATACAAAACATTTAAACTTTACCAGCAAAAGCTTTATTATTCATATATTTCAGAAAACCAAAACTTAATGATTCTTTTAAGGATTTTGGTAGCAGTTCATTTGAATCAGCAGTAAGTATTATTATATTATAAATACTTCATTTTGTTTTATTGTCATTCCAATTTTTAAGCTCTCACTTTTATCAGAACATTACTGGTAAGGACTGTAGTTTATATTGATGGTTGATTTTACATTAGTGACAGAAGGCTATGAACAACAGTCTCTTACTGACTTGAATCGGCGTGTCAATAAATGAATCTGTAGAACAAAATACACTAATATTCGATCAAATTAGTATAGTATCATGAGATAACAAATATTTGCATAGACTGGAGGTCAGTCTTATATAGTTACAGCAGGTATTGAGATTTAATTCTTTGACTTACATTTTAAATGGATTTTCTATGTACTGAATTTGTGTTTCATAATTAATTCTTGTGTTTGGAAACAAGTTAATTCTTCATTCTATTTTCAGACAAAGAAGCGAAAGCAGTCTCTTTGATTGCTAATTTATCAAGAAAGGTGTATGTCAATCCAACTCTTAAATGTGTATTCCTAAAACTATCAACAATATATTATAATTGGTATTGTGAACCAAAATACATGTATCAGTGGTAGATAATCTTACAGCTTGGATTGAATTGGATTAAAAATAGACCAGTCAAAATAATTTAGCCAAGATTATGGTTTGCACTGGCTTGTTTTGACCATATTACCTGTTGATTAATTTTCCATTTAACATATCTTTGTAAATACTGATACTCCTTTTAAGTGATTGAACTTTCACAATAATATTGAAGTTTTTAGCACGGGAGATTCAAAATCCCTTGAATACTGATCAAAGACTTTAATGTCATTTTGCCAACCAATTACCGGTAATTAGAATGGGATTTTTCTTTCATTTGAACAGATCTATCTTACCATATATATTTATTTTTTCTTGAGATTTATATTCCTATTTTAAAAATGCATTAGACATAAATTACTGAATATAAAGTTCATTTTAGATGAAGTAAATGCCCACAGTCGTGAGTATTTTTCATTTAATGTCATCTTTTTTAAGCCTCTAGGATAATTCGTATCAGGACTATTAGTCCCATAGGACTATTCGTCCCTTAGGGCTATTCATCCCCAGACAATTTGTCCTTTAGGAAAATTCATCCCCTAGGACAGTTTGTCCCTGGACAACAGTAATAGGAGTTCCATTACCAAAGATTGTTGCCAGCCAGGCAACGAAACATACGCCCACAGCAGCTAAATCGTCCGGGCAGTCAATAAGAGTTGTCGCATATTTTTACTTTTTTCGGTAATGAAACATTTATAATACACTAAAATCTGATTAAGAGTAACAACTCATTGAGAAATTATCAGAAAACCATTAGAATTTGTTTGGTTTTCATAAATTTCTGCCCCATGCTAACATTTAGTATACAAAACATTTAATATCATGGATTTAGCTGTACAAGTTATCAAAATTCATTGAAAATCAATATACTTGTTCGTCTCAAGACCTTAAACTCTGTGTATCAATCTGAAGTCAATCGGATGATAACTTTAGCCTCTAGAGCGTAACAAGATTTTTCAAAGTGATCAAGGGCCATAAGTTTGGCAGTAATTATCAGAAATCGTTGAAAATCAATAGGATTCTTTGTCTCATGACCTCAAATACTGTGTATAAATTTAAAGTCAATCAGATATTAACTTTAGCCTCTAGATCGTCCACAAGATTTTTCAAAGTGATCAAGGGCCATAACTCTGGCAGTAATTATCAGAATTCGTTGAAAATCAATACTCTTCTTTGTCTCATGACCTTAAACACTGTGTATAAATTTAAAGTCAACCGGATATTAACTGTAGCCTCTAGAGTGTCCACAAGCAAGTTTGGACGCCTAACCGACGCCAATATACGACCACATTTCAATGTGGGCGTATGAAAACTAATTAATCTTTACTTTTTATCCTAAATCTCAGTTTTGATGCTAGTTTTACATCGTTTTACATTTAGTATTAAATCTAGGCCTTAACTTAATGCTTCCTAGAGTTTTTTTTGGGCTAATTGATATGCATGTAGTAATAAGCTATGATCAGTGACACCTTTTGTGAGTAAGAGAATCCATTTATCCTTTCACTATGGTATTGTCCAGTGTCAATACTGCACTTGACTTATAATCAATATGCATTATTCATGATAAAACAGTGTAGACCAGACATCAGTTAGTTTCAACTTCTTCAATTTCTTTAGAATAGCTGTTGATCATAATTAGGGGACGAATAGACCTAGGGAACGAATTGTCCTCAGGGACGAATTATCCCAGGGGACGAATTGTCTGGGAACGAGTTGTCAAGGGACGAATTGTCCCGTGCCCCTTTTTTAATGATCATCTCATGTGTGCACATCAATGTTAGAAAAAGAAAACAAGAAAGATGGATTATATGGTGTATATAAAACTATGAAATTTTTTGATCAGAAAAGTAAAGAATGCCTTGGTTTTAGGCATGTAACAATTCTCAGACATTAGTAGCCCATTTCCCAGTGGAGTATACAGAGGTGTGCGGAGAGAATTACGCTAATGAGAATGACATCTACATTTCCTTGAGTATTTGAGGGCACATAGCGAACCCCCCTGGTTGGAAATATCATTGGATTTGAGCCTTATCAACCATTTCTTAACATACCAGTAAACTCCTCAGAGTTGTCTATTCCTTTTATCCACCATTCTGTATAAACAGAATCCAATAATTTCACCATAAAGATAGGTTGCCAGGCAATGAAACATACACCCACAGCAGCTAAATCGTCCAGTAATGAAACATTTATAATACATTAAAATATGATTAAGAGTAACAACTCATTAAGTAATTATCAGAAAATCATTAGAATTTGTTTGGTTTTTATAAATTTCTGCCCCATGCTAATGTTTAGTATACAAAATATTTCATAACATGGATATAGCTGTTCAAGTTACCAAAATTCATTTAAAATCAATATACTTGTTTGTTTCAAGACCTTAAACCCTGTGTATCAATCTGAAGTCAATCGGATGATAACATAAGCCTCTAGAGCGTCATAAGATTTTTCAAAGTGATCAAGGACCATAACTTTGGCAGTAATTATCGGAAATCGATGGAAATCAATAGGATTCTTTGTCTCATGACCTCAAACACTGCGTACAAATTTAAAGTCTGGCGGTAATTATCCGAAATCTTTGAAATTCAATAGGCTTCATCGTCTCATGACCTTAAACACTGTGTATATATTTAAAGTCAATCGGATATTAACTTTAGCCTATAGTGCGACCACAAGACGGACGGGGGCGACGACAATATATGACCACATTTCAATGTGGGCGTATAAAAATGTGTGCCCACACTGAAGATTCACTAGTAAAGCTTAGTGGCTATTGTTTAGGTGATCTGTGGACATTCAGATGTCAAATTAACAATATTGTTATAAATTATATATAACAAACAAGATCGTAGACTGCATTTTCAATTTATTGAGAAAACATACAGTAAATATATATGTAATTCTGTGGCTATAAAGGATCAAATTTACATGTAGCTCTAAAAATTGCAAAGCAAAGCATCAAAGATATTGGAACTCTACACAATGCCTAATCATGAAACTTGAATAAACTACAGAATTTGGGCAGAAAGAAAGCTTACTTAAAATGAATTCAGCCACCCATATACTTCGGAATACTTTCCCTTCAAAATCAGATACACTGATATCAAGATTACTATTATAATAATTAAAACAACATAACTTAATGGAAACCACATTAATACATAAAACTTATAATCAGTGACAAGTTTATTTTTTTTCAATGAATCTACATAACACTTAAATATCAATTTTATCTAAGCGAAAATTAGAAAATAAACAAAGTTAATATGAATAAGGAACGGAACAAAATATGTTATTAACATTAAAAGGATCTAGCACTAAGCATAGTGAACAGAGCGTAAGGTGGACATTGATAAATAAAACTATTAAATTCTCTCATCAAGATATGATAAATATGTACAAACATAAAATGAGTGGTGAACTTAATGGTTATATTTAGCTCATCTTATATACCAATTCATATAGATTACGAGTGTAAGAATGAATTTTAACTTTAATACAAACTCAGCTTTACAAGTTTTCTCGTATTCATATATATTAATATGTTAGGAACATCAAATCTCTAACCTAACAATTACCATGATTTCATATTTATCCCTTATCAAGTCTCTTTTGTCCTGTCTTCTATATCTCTTTCTGTATTTAATAGCAGGTATTTTCTGGAGGCTGTGCTAGTTTATAATTCTCCTTTTGTTGCATGGAACTTCTTATATCTTGTAAAATATCTTTAATTGTATTTGTTCTTGACCAGTTTTTTAATCTATCTAATATTTTTGGGTCAACCTATAAAAATTAAGAAAACATAAATGTCAAACATGAAAACAAAGGTCCTTTATTTGTAATAGTATCAATCCAAACTAATGATACCCAGCAACAAGAGACCAATATATGAAATATTTCTAAACAGTTTCTTTAGAACTCTATTACTCTATATACATATAGCAGTTCTTAATCAAGTACATACACTATATTTTCGATTCAGATAATTTATGTGCTTCTCACATTTTTTCAACCATGGCAGATTGTTAAGTGTCAAATTATATAAATGTATTATACTGGTAAGTAAAGCCTGTACATGTATATTACTTCATAAAATTAGAAATACTAAATTAATATAACTTAAGCTCAGTTTCCCTTTTGTTATACTAAAAGAAATAATTGAAACAAAGGTTAGATCTCTGTAACTGAACTGAGACTTGAGTTAGTATCCTCTATATACTGCATGTTTCGAGCAGTTCCGTGTGTCAAATAATATCATGTGATGCATCTAAATATTTTCAGCTATCCATGTTTTAACACATTTACTTGTCACATTAGAAGGGTTTTAGCAACATTATTATTATTTAACTGCTTATGACATTATCTGTTAGTTTATTTATAAAGCGGTGGATACATTAGCCGTATCATTCGGATGAACCAATCGACGCCAAATTTTAATCAGCCAAAAGGGCGGACACACTAGGCGAATCCTTCGCGCGATTCACCAGTCGATTAAATCACCTTTCATGTCACATGATTAAACATGGCGGCGACCATGTCTTTAAACAACCATGTGACTTCTCGATATGAGTGGATGACGAATGGGTAATGAATTCTTCAATCAGAGGAATGCTTCGTCGAGGTGAACACAGTAGGCTAAAATAATCCAGCCAAATATATCAAACATGTTTGATTCGGGCGAATCATTCGGCCGAATGACAATGCGCACACTAGGCAAATTTCGATGCCGATTAATTCAGCTGAATGATAAGACCAAATCATTCGGCTAGTGTTTCCACAGCTTATGGAATGTCAATAAAATATATGTGGACTTTAAAACAAACTTACCAAACCAGATTCTTTCACATTATTTACATGTATTTTAGTACAAAAGCGCACAATCGGTGCTTCTTCAGGATATCCGGCTCCACATGTTATCTTCAACTGATATATTCTCCCTTCAAATGCTGTCTGTAAAGAACAAAGCAAATAGACTTACATAATTTATAACAAAAAGAACTTAATTGCCCCCCCCCCCTCGAAGAAAGCAGGGGACCATTAAAATGGGTTCGCCTGTCTGTCCGTCAAAATCTTCTAATTGAGCTAGGATGTTCAAACCTGGTGTAGGTGTTTATTAGGTTGATGCCTTGATGGAGTTCGAAGATGAGCATTTTCTGCTTAGGATAAGCAGAGATAAGCAATTTGATTGGTTGATGCTTTGGGACACAATAACTTTAGATCTGATTAAGTGAGAGTGATCAATCTTGGTAAATAGTTTCATTAAATCAATACCGTGAATAAGTTCGATAATGAACATTTTCTGCTCAGGGTGAGCAGAGTGATAAGAAATTTGATTGGTCAAAACTTTGGGACACAATAACTCTCCTTCTACCATAATTTTTCACTATTTGCATACAAGGGGCGGCCATTGTGTCCGTCAGTTTTCGTCCGATTAGGGTGTAACGGTGATATACTACAGAGGTTTTTTAAATCGGATAAAAATTGTGACCTCTAGAGGGACCACAAGCTAAAATCGCGATTTTTCGTACAATCAGGGGCCTTAATTCAGGAAGTTACAATCCGATATGCGCGAATATTTAAAGGAACCAAGATCTTTGGGTTATAAACATGCATTTCAAGTTTCATCAAAATCAGAAGAAAATTGTCACCTCTAGAAGGTCCACAACCTTATACCATTTTTTAATGTTATTTGAGAACGAGGGACGGCCATTTTGTCTGTCAGTTTTGGTCCGATTTTCACGAAATTCGAACTCAACCATCTTTAGCAGTGTGTAAAGGTGATGTATTCAAACGTTTTTTTTAAATTGGATAAAAATTGTTACCTCTAGAGGAACCTCAAGCTAAAAACATGATTTTTCGTACAATCAGGAGGCCATAATTCAGGAAGTTACGATCCAATATGCGCGAATATCGCCAGGAACCAAGATCTTTGGGTTATAAACTTACATTTCAAGTTTCAACAAAATCGGATAAAAATTGTGACCTCTATTAGGTCCACAAGCTAAAAACGTGATTTTTTGTCAAATCAGGGGCCATAATCCATGAAGTTTCCGTCCGATACATGCCAATATCGAGAGCAAAGGAGGGAGATCTTTTGGAGATAAACCTATATTTCAAATTTCATCAAAATCGGATAAGAATTGTCACCTGTAGAGTGTCCACAAACAATTGTTGACGTCCAGACGGACAGGGGCGACGGCAATATACGTCCACATGAAAATGTGGGCGTATAAAAATTGGATGTTGGATTTGGAACAATATAAATACATGTAGGTACCACCCTGTTATTGAAATGATTGATATGCTGAACCAAATCTGTTAATCATAGCAACCTTAAAAAGTAGGTGTGGTACCACACCCTTGGGGGTCTGGACGGGACATGTACCAAAATAAATAGTTGCTATCCTTACAGGAATAAATATGCGAAGTTCCAAGATGATTCATTCCTTAGGGTATAAGGAATAAGTATACCAAGTTCCAAGATAATGCATTCAGAATGGTGGCATTCAGGCGCCAAACACATAAATTGGGCGTGACTCTGAGCCTGGCCTGGGGGCCGGGGGATGCACCAAAATCAATAGATGCCACCCTTAGGCTAAAAGGAATACATATGCCAAGTTCCAAGCCCATCCATTCAGAATTGCAGCTTGTATACGATAAACACAAAAATTGGGTGTGGTTCTGAACATGCACCAAAATCAATAGCTGCTGTCCTTAGGCTATAAGGAATATATATGCCAAGTTCCAAGATGATCCATTAAGAATTGTGGCCTGAAGGCAATTTACAGACACACAAAGAAAACGTGTGTAGCACTGTCCTTGGGGGTCAGGCATTCACTGAAAAACAATAGGGATCATCCTTAGGGTATAAGGAATAGGTATGCAAAGTTTCAGAAGGATCTGTTAAGAATTGCAGCCTGTAGAGAAAACACACACACAAAAATTGGGCATGGCTCTGTTCTACGGGCTGGGCATGCACCAAAAATAATAGAGGTCATCATCCTTAGGGCATAAGGAATAAGTAGGAAAGTTTTCAAGACAATCGATTAAGAATTGTGGCTTGTAGGCGACACACACACACACACACAATTGATCCGATTTTGATGAAACTTGAAATACATGTTTATAACCCAAAGATCATGGTTCCTTACGATATTCGTGCATATCAGAACGTAACTTCCTGAATTATGGTCCTTGATTGTAAAAAACGTCACGTTTTTCGCTTGTGGTCCCTTTAGGTCACAATTTTTATCCACGATTTAAAAAAAATGTGTGAATATATCACAGTTACACACTAAGAACTTGGTTCATTTTGATAATTGAGCATATCCGAGCGTAACTTCCTGGATTGTTTTTAGCTTGCGGATTCTCTAGAGGTCACATTTTTTTTTCTGATTTTAAAAAACATTTAAATATATCTCCATTCCATCATAATGAAGGTTGAATTTGAATTTCGGGAAAATTGAAATGAAACTGCCCAACAAATGAAATGAAATGGGGTTTAATGTCCTACTGTTCTGTTCCGAACTGGGCTATGAAGACGGGCATACGTTATACAGTGTGCTATGACGGAAATTATGCGCGGACAGCGGCACTACGGCCAGTGCTTAAAATTTACATGGGTCCGTCGCCAATAAATAACTGGACGGGTCAACATCTTTTTATTTCGAAGATGGTGGGTCGGCCCTGTGAGCCGACTGTTTTTGTCATGGATATTTTGTAGGGTTGTCACGATTAATCGGTTTAGTCATAGTCGATTCGGTTTCTAGCTCAAATCGATTCACATCTTGAAAAATCGGTAGTCGTTTCATCCAATTTATATTTATACAATTACATATAATGTTTGACTTTTACTGTCTGCTAAACACACTGCTGAATTGCTGCCTATTAAAACTGTATGGAAAGTACATCTTTTGGAGATATGGCTTACTACGAAATGTGTAAAATGGTTGATTTTGGCCCGAAATAGCTGTCAACAACGGACAATAACAGACATGATAATATCATGGGCATTATAATACATAGACTGTATGCATGCCGCACGAGACGGGGAAGTTGGCTATGCCTTTTTATGAGTGATAAACTGCCAATGTAATTTTAATAAAATACTGTTTTATGAAGAAGAAAACAATGCTCCAACAAGTATAATGGAAAGATTCCCTCAGAAATTCCTCCAGTATAAATTAATTTTAAATGCAGTTGTAATCTATTATTTAATTCACAATCAGAATCTGCAGTTACTGTGTACGAGACAACGAATAAACGAGTTCCCGACATTACCAGTCAGGAGGATTCACCCCCCTCGGCGATGTTGCTGCCTTTTTAAATGACACATGTTCTTTTCTATTTGTACCGTCTTCCGCAGCTATACTTGTTGTTTTTCGTCAATATGATTATTGCTATATATGTTAAAATATTATGTACGGGAATTGTTGTACTAGTGAATTGTAATCTATTGTCAGTATTGGATTTTTAATTAGATGTTAAAGCTGTAGAGGTAAGTCTTACTCACCTCAACCGCATAACTAAATATCAAAACTAATGACTTTGTAAATGTTTTTTATAGCCAATTTAAACGATTTATTCCAACATCTCTTTAGTACAAACTTAACGAAATGTACTACAATAATAATTAATATACTATTCAAAAAAAGTAGGGGATATTTGATTTTGGGGGCATAATACTAAAATATGCAAATGACTACGAAAAAAGTCACTATAGAACCTAACAGAAGAAACATTTCCAGTTACATGTGACGCCCAAACGCACCAATAGCTACCGCATGGAATGCAGGTGATGCTTGGGATCATCATGGGGGTCCAACCCAAGATTTGCACGACTCTGACTTTGAATGTTACAGTCATTGTGACATTGAATTCCAGGGTGGAAACATCAGTTTAATTGTTTTAGTGACCAGAAAACAAATTTTGATATGCGTCGGCTTACCCAAAATGAAAGGTTACGTGCCCTTGGCATGCTACAGATCGGCACAACACAGGCGGTTGTGGCGCGGACGATGAATGTTTCTCAGTCTGTCATAAGCAGGCTATGGTCCAGATACTGTGATACACAATCTGTACAGGACAGACCACGCTCAGGTCGACCAAGGGCGACAACTCAAGCCTAGGATTGATTTATCCGTACCTTGGCCTTGAGAAATCATGTCATCACAGCAAATCAGATCAGCGCTCGTCTTCAAACAGACACTGGTGTGAGAGTGAGTGGCCAGACGATTCGGAATCGACTGCATAGGGGTCACCTTCGCGCCCGACGTCCTCGCGTGATCCCTTGTTTGAGAGATCATCACATTCAGGCAAGACGTCGTTGGTGTAGGGATCGTCAACACTGGGATAATCGACGCTGGAGCAATGTGATGTTTTCAGATGAGTCAAGGTTCACTGTTGATTTTTTGGACAGACGTAGGAGGGTGTGTCGTCGTCGAAACGAGCGCTTCCAAGACGTTAACGTCATCAGACATGATCGATTTGGGGGTGGTTCTGTTATGGTGTGGGGAGGCATCACTGTTGCTGGAAGAACGGCTTTACATGTTGTTGCAGGGCGTGTTACAGGCCAGTACTACCGGGACAACATCTTGGCAGTCCATGTTGTGCCGTTCGCACGACGTCATGGCCGCCGTTTCATCTTCCAGGATGACAACGCAAGATGTCACAGGGCCAGGATCGTTACAGGTTACCTCCAACAACAGAACATCACCACATTACCTTGGCCAGCACTGAGTCCCGACCTCTCCCCCATCGAGCATGTCTGGGACATGCTTGGACAGAGGTTACGTCAACGTCAACAACGTCCTGCCAATGTCCAAGAACTTGCTGCTGCGTTGCAACAGGAATGGGACAATCTGGACCAAAATGACCTTAGACGTCTCATTAGGAGTATGCCACGTCGGATCAATGCTTGTTTGGCAAACAGAGGAGGATTTACCCGTTACTGACTTGGTTGTGATGCTGTGGTAACTTTGCTGTTTGACCCCGGGTATCATTTTACCCTTATAATGGTTAGTCTGTGCCTTACTTAGTCTAACGATCATTTGGAATAAATCGATGAATGTGAACTTCATTTCATTTTGTCATTTGTTTCTTCATCAGTTTCATTAGGTGACTTTAATAACACTTAAAAATCAAATATCCCCTACTTTTTTTGAATAGTATATACAATCAGCTATTACAGTGTTCAAGTGTCATTTTATAATTTACTTATCAACAAAAAATCACAAGAAAAAAACCTTGGAATGCAGTACAGACATTGCCATTATAGAATTTATACAGCATCCGATTATCGGCACCAATACGATTTTTGGCTAACCGATTAACCGATTCAAGAATTTTGTAATAGTGACAACACTAATATTTTGTTCATGGTTCTATCAAATTCTCCTTTGAAAATATTTATATTGCCCCTATTTATATCCGAAATATATTTCATCCAGATATTTAACAGTATTTCATTACCGGAAATGAAAATAAAATTGTCCATCAAGAGAAATTATCGTTGTAGGAGTGAGGTCGTGCTAGCAAATATCAGCACGATCCCAGAGTTTGGCAGAATATTATTTAACCATTTTGATCAAGTGTGCAGTAGATGAGTGTGTTTTCCGATAGTATGCCTTACTTACTGTCTTATTTGTCTTTATAAGATATTGAATACACATGCATAATCCGACACATTATTTTCCTTTAGTTTAATGGAGAAATCCAAACACCTATACTTCTAAACTAGGTCAGTCCATCTACTGTACTTTCTTTAATCCAACAATAAATGACGCGATATAAATCCTTTGTCTTGTAAAGATAGGTTGCCAGACAACGAAACATACGCCCACAGCAGCTAAATCGTCCGGGCAATCAACAAGAGTTGTTGCATATTTTTACTTTTTTCGGTAATGAAACATTTATAATACATTAAAATCTGATAAGAGTAACAACTCATTAAGTAATTATCAGAAAACCATTAGAATTTGTTTGGTTTTTATAAAGTTCTGCCCCATGCTAAAGTTTAGTATACGAAATTTTAACATCATGGATTTAGCTGTTCAAGTCATAAAAATTCATTTTTGAAGTGATCAAGGGCCATAACTCTGGCAGTATTTATCGAAAATCGCTGAAAATGAACAGACTTCTTCGTCTCATGACCTTAAACACTGTGTATGAATTTAAAGTCAATCGTATATTAACTTTAGCCTCTAGAGCGTCCACAAGATTTTTCAAAGTGATCAAGGGCCATACCTCTGGCAGTAATTATTAGATATAATGCTGAAAATCATTAGGCTTATTCGTCTCATGACCTTAAACATTGTGTATAAATTTAGAGTCAATCGGATATTAAGTTTGACCTCTAGAGCGCCCACAAGATTTTTTGAAGTGATCAAGGGCCATAACTCTGGCAGTAATTATCGAACATTGCTGAAAATGAATGGACTTCTTCGTCTCATGATCTTAAAGACTGTGTATAAATTAAGAGTCAATCGGACATTAACTTTTGCCTTTAGAGCGTCCACAAGATTTTTCAAAGTGATCAGGGGCCATAACATTGGCAGTAATTATCGGAAATCGCTGAAAATCAATAGGATTCTTCGTCTCATGGTCTTAAACACTGTGTATAAATTAAAAGTCAATCGGATATTAACTTTAGCCTCTAGAGCGTCCATGATGTTTTCATGATGCAAGAATGGCTGCACATTTACTTTCAGTGTTAATGACCTCATTTGACCCTTAACCCCGAAAAAGCCCCAATGATGGACTGATTACCACTTGGCAACGTATTCTACGCAAAATATTTGCCATAGAAAATTTGGGTTTAGCTCTCTGCCAATTTGATTGACCCCCCCGGCACTGAGTCTCCAGAATAATATGCCAGACTGTCCATCCCTAACATACCTTTGGTGGACCAATGATCATTCCTGTCCAATGAGTTAGTGTGTTGTCTTCATCTGATTCTAAACCCCAACTAATTGTACCATCCGATGTACCTTTCTGACCAGCTTCCAATTCATCCAACAAGACAAAATTTCGTGGGACTGTAATTAGATAGAAATAAGTATTGAATATATAAATAATTGGCATTAAAAACAATCTGTGGGCTCTCCTACATGTATTATTTACTCAAACATACATTTTGTTAATATCATACAACTAGTAACTAATTAACTTTCTGTAGTCAAAAAGCATTCATAGAATAATAGAAGTTAACAACTTAAAAGAGCCATGACATACGGTACATGTATATAGAATATAGAAGTTAACAATTAAGAGCCATGAAAGTTATTAACAGAAATTGTTAACTAGCGGCTGCCAGGCAGGATCCGCCCACATTTTGCAAGAGATGGATAGAGAACAAGCTAAAGACAAACAGGATTTTTTGTACAATCAGGGGCAATAATCTAGAAAGTTATGGTCTGAAATGTGCAAATATCAAAAGGGACTAAGATCTTTAGGATATAAAGATATATTTTAATATATCAGAATCAGATAAAAATTGTGACCTGTGGGGGGTCCACAACCTTTGTATTGCATACTTTTACACAATTTGCGAACAAAAAGAGGCCATTTTGTCGGGCAGTTTCATTTCGATTTTCCCGAAATTGATATTCAACCTTCATTATCGTGGAATGGTGAAATATTTAAACGGTTTTTAAAATCGGAAAAAAAATTGTTGCCTCTAGAGACTCTGCAAGCTAAAAATGCAATTTTTCGAACAATCAGGAGCCATAATCCAGGAAGTTACGTTCGGATACATGTATATGCAATTATCAAAAGGAACCAAGATCTTAATGTGTAGTAATGGTGATATATTCACATGTTTTTTTTTTTAAATCGGATAAAAATTGTGACCTCTACAATCAGGGGACATAATTCAGGAAGTTACTACACGATATGCCTGAATATCAAAAGGAACCAAGATCTTTGGGTTATAAATATGCATTTCAAGTTTCATCAAAATCAGATAAAAATTGTGACCTCTAGAGGGTCCACAACATTGATGTACCTGATGTTTACACTAATTGTGTACGAGGGGTGGCCTTTTTGTCCCGGCAGTTTTGGTCTGATTTTCATGAAATTCGAACTCAACCAAAATTACGGTGTAACAGTGATATATTTCAACGTTTTTTTTAAATCGGATAAAAATTATGACCGCTATAGGGTCCACAAGCTAAAATCGTGATTTTTCGTACAATCAGGGGCCATAATTCAGGAAGTTACGGCAGATATGCGCGAATATCGAAAGGAACCGAGATCTTTGGGTTATAAACTTACATTTCAAGTTTCATCAAAATCAGAAAAAAATTGTGACCTCTAGAGGATCCACAACCTTGATATACCATATTTTTTACGCTATTTGAGAATGAGGGGCGGCCATTTTGGTCCAATTTTCACGAAATTCGAACTCAACCATCCTTAGGATGTAACGGTGATATATTAAAATCTTTTTTTTAAATCGGATAAAAATTATGACCTCTATAGGGTCCATAAACTAACCAGCGGCTGCCAGGCAGGATACGCCCACATTTTCGAGAGATGGATAAAGAACAAAGCTAAAAAGAAAGATTTTTCCTACAATCAAGGGCCATAATTCAGGAAATTACAATTCGATATGCGCAAATATCGAAAGGAACCAAGATCTTTGGGTTATAAACTTACATTTCAAGTTTCAACAAAATCGGATAAAAATTGTGACCTCTATAGGGTCCACAACCTTGATATACCATATTTTTATGCTATTTGAGAATGAACCAGCGGCTGTTTTGTCTGTCAATTTTGGGCCGATTTTCACCAAATTCGAACTCAGCCGTCCTTAGGGTGTAACGGTGATATAATAATACAGTTTTTAAAATCGGATAAAAATTATGACCTCTATAGGGTCCACAAGCTAAAAACACGATTTTTCGTACAATCCGGGCCATAATTCAGGAAGTTACCGTCCGATATGCGCTAATATCGAAAGGAACCAAGATCGTTGGGTTATAAACTTACATTTCAAGTTTCAACAAAATCAGATTAAAATTGTGACCTCCATAGGGTCCACAACCTTGATAATGATATACCATATATTTACGATATTTGAGAACGAAGGGCAGCCATTTTGTCTGTCAGTTTTGGGTTGATTTTCACGAAATTCGAACTCAGCCGTCCTTAGGGTGTAACGGTGATATAAGGATACGTTTTTTTAAATCAGATAAAAATTATGATCTTAGGGTGATAAACCTATATTTCAAGTTTCATTGATATCGGATAAAAATTGTGACCTGTAGACTGTTCACGAACAATTGTAGACGGACGGACGTCCAGACGGATGGGGGCGACGACAATGTACGTCCACCTAAAAATGTGGGCGTATAAAAACGCGATTTTTCGTACAATCAGGGGCCATAATTCTAGAAGTTACGGTCCGATATGCGCAAATATTGAAAGGAACCAAGATCTTTGTGTTATAAACTTACATTTCAAGTTTCAACAAAACCGGGTAAAAATTGTGACCTCTATAGGGTCCATAAGCCAAAAACTTGATTTTTCATACAATCAGGGGCCATAATCCATGAAGTAACGATCCGAGAGGAACCAAGATCTTAGGGAGATAAACCTATATTTCAAGTTTCGTTCAAATCGGATAAAAATTGTGACCTGTAGAGTGTCCACAAACAATTGTGGTCGGACAGTAAATTCTAGGTTAACCTGGGAAGGGCTGGCGAAAAGTATCGATATAGCCGATTATCGTCGACGACTACGGAAAAATATCGATATCGATATTAAATTCTTGATATCGACACTCGTATAAAAAAATAAAGGAGCTTCAATAAAATGAAATTAACGGAATGCTTTGTGTCAAATAATTGCCGTCATATCATTCAAAACACGCTAAAAGTAAAAACACACACACTAGACAATGTACAACCACCGCGCCAGTAATTTTTGGGGTCGTTTATAAAAATGACAGTGAATAATTAATTAATTGTTCAGGGGAAATAACTCGATTTTAATAGAAATTTATTTATTGTTATAAGCGGCCGAGGAAAATTGTCAACAGCAATTGATGGCGAGCCCGAAGCTGCGATTACTATTTTGTTAATAATACTAATACTATAAGATAAGCTGTGAACAAAACAAACATTAAGAAAACATAGTTTGAGGATCATGGTTTCTTTTTTTATTTGATCAATAACACATTTACATGTATTATTAGCATACAAACAGTTATTTCTTTCAACTTTAAATTTTCCGATATAAGCTTATCGATATCGCCGAAATGGTTGCTGATATTGATATTCAAAATGGGTATCGATTGCCAGCCCTAAGCATGGGGGAAAAAAACTGTGATTTTTGAAAAAATTTGATTGTAAATTATTGTAATTGGGCTAGGCAATGAAATAAATGACTGAAGATTCTCAACTTTTCAAAGATTTCAATTTTTTTCTTCCAGGCTTACCTAAATTTCGTTTCATCTTATATGTCAGAGTTAGTAAATTTGTGCGTTACCCTATTTAGATTTCAATGAAGTCCGCCAAGTCAATAAGAAGGCGGGGACGTATTTTTTAACATGTTGTGTCGCTTATACTAGTTATACTGACTCTTACTAGTCTAGCGAGGTAAGCAAGGTTATTTTGTCACTAAGATGTTCCTTTACATTGTACAGGCGTTCACACGGATTGACACCCCACCGTTTAGCAGTAAAAAGTTGCCCAGTAAAATTGACTGGGAAGTGATTTCAGTTTCGACAAGGATTCAATAGGACGGTTCCTGAACGTACAGGGCGAGTGTAATAATGAGACCTACGTTCAGAGCTGAAACTAGGCTAGAGTGTAATGTGAGCAGAAGTACTGTAGTAGTTACTGACATTTGGTGGCTAACCCTTTATACCTTTGTGATTCACGAAGGTTATGCCAGATAGATCTATACTGTAGTACCCTTCTTTATCTCGATAAATGGTAGGCCTAGGCGGAGTAGGCCTACTTGATTTCTACGGAAAATCAAATTTTGCCAATGTTGTCGTTTTTGACGGTCGGCAGAAATCACATGATATGCTTTCTATTATTATTGTAGGCCCTATATAAAAATAACTGTGAAACCAAAAAGTGTAACATGTATGCACATTCTATTGGTGGCAGAGGTATGGCTTCTTCAAATATATATCCTTGATAACATTCTAGAAAAACACTTACCCACAGGACGACACGCCATGTTTGTTTCTATGAATTGGATAGACTGGTTTTACAGGACTTATTGTTGAAATGTACAGAACGCAGTTAGTCTTGATAACCAAGTCTAATGTAAGGAAAATATAAAACGGAGAAAAAAAAAAATGTTACGCGTAGCTTCCAATATCCTTCCAGATGTTTGTTTGGAAAATAATATTACATCGAAAACGATGAATAAATTTATTTTCTTCGATTTTTATGCGGGACTGTAAATCACTTCGATGACGTCACATGTAAACAAATTATATTATTAGTATTATAAGCACAAAAGTACCTGAAACATTACTGTTCTTAAAGAAAATTATTTTTAAAAAATGGATCTAAAATGGTTTCTGTGATTGTACAGCCAAAAAACTTGAAGATATTTTTATGCTGACAAACTGTACGTTTTGACTGAGTTTATAGAGACCCTTGAGTCTGAGGAGAGTGCTCAGTGCAGCACTGGCTGGACTGGAGGTACTTTCCTGATGAAAAAAAGGGGTAGCGCGATATACCCAAATCTACCCAAATCCACCCAAATCTACCACTATTTCAACTCATATCACAATAATTTATATTGATATTTGATAATATACCGTTCTTTTTGCCGAATTGTCATTTTTAATTTAAAATCGCAGCTTTTTAGTGCCCCTCAAAATGCGATTTCCGAGCAAGTTTGGAAGACGTAACCAAGGGACATAGTATATATAGCTCGTGTAATACACAACTCTACCCAAAACCATCATTATTTCCACATATATCACAATCATGTATATCGTTTTTAATATACTACCATTCCTTTAGCTAAATATGTCATAATTACTTTAAAATCACAGTCTTCTTGTGTTAAAATCCAACAATTCATGCTTGTTTGATCGTCGTATGGAAGGGACATAACTTGAGTATATACCAAAATCTTCTCTTTTTAAAACTCCCAATAATCTCATATCATTTTTGATTGTTTGGGATCTGAAAACAAGTTGGAACTTATATAAATTCATTTTCCGTCTGTAAGAATTTTATTTACAAAAATATTAAAGGCATGAATAGTAGGTTTATATTTTAAATGATGCAGTTAATCGAAAAGTTATCTCGGACAGATCGGAATTTAGATAAAAACAAAAGGTTCTATATACAAAACGGAGTGTATGGTTAGTGATTTAAAATAGTCCGATGATGCTGATAGGAACAGTAGGGTATGCGAATGTCAAGTTGTAGATTTACTTCAGTGCTATCGGAACGTGTAGAACATTTTCATATTTACAGCACCTTTGATTTGTATTATTATTAATCCCCCATAAAATGCTCAATATATAAAGAAAACTTTTAGAGCTTGGAATGTGATTTAAACTAGTTGTTTTCAGTCGTTTTACACTTACATGTACACAATATAATGTCTCCCAATACACAAACAAGCATAAGCTTATGTACATGACAATGCGCTTCAAAACGAAGGAAAATAATAAATTTGAAAAGATTCGAAAATAATATTGCAGATTGATTATAACAATCAAACAGTTATATATAATATATATATATACATATATGTACTGGTACATTAGGAAATAATAAGTACAGTATTTTTTATTTTTATTTTTTAATAGTTTATTTACATATGATATCTACATAGTATTTACAGAATAATTACAAATGAAATGAAATGAAATGAAATGGGGTTTAACGTCCTACTGTTCTGCTCCTATACTGGGCTAATGAAGACGGGCATACGCCATACAGTGTGCTATGAGGGAAATTTTGCCCAGGCAGCGGCGCTATCGTCTACTCTTACATCGAATTCCAACTGCCAGGGGATCTTTTACGTGCATTCCAATATATACACGAGACCTCAGATTTTCGTCTCATGCGAAGGACTAGACAGCTGTCCTTGTCAGGCCCCCCGTCCTGCATCACTGACAAGGGGGAACCACGCCAGAAAATCTGGATGAACTTTCTCGGCCAATGCAGGGATCAAACACCCGACCTCCAGGTTAGCGAGCCAGCGTCTTACCCACCTAGCCACATGATCCCCAGAATAATTACATGAAACACATATAACTCATTATATCTATTAAAACTTATATATAACCAGTTTTATAATCAGTTATATTTAATAACATACCGTATATATTAAAACAATAATAGTTTTATAATCGGTTATATTTAATAACATACTGTATATATATTAAAACAATAATGGTTTTATAGAATAGGTTTTGAGGTTAGTCAAACAAAGTGGAAAGATAATAATAATTACTACTTGATATTATGTGATAAACAAGATATTCGCGTCTTACTATATAGAGACACCAGATCTGACAAATCAGCTAATGAAAATATTGTATGTGTTGTTCATGATGTTATTAGTTCATAGTTTGTATTATCCCTGTTTACTAGTATTTCGATATTCTAAATTTATTACGGGTCTTACACTTTAATTTGAGTCCTGTGTACATTGGATCCCAACCCGCCAACCACTCCGCAACCCCCAATATAAGGAGCCACAGTGGCTCAGTGAGTAAGACGTTGGCTCGCTAATCATGGAGGTTTCGTGTTCCGATCCCTGCGTTGGCCGAGAAAGTTCATCGTGATTTTCCGTCCTGGTTCCTCCTTGTCAGTGGTGCAGGACCGAGGGACAATGTTTAGTCGTTCGGATGGGACGGAAAACATATGTCCCGTGTACAGATTGCTGTGCACGTAAAAGATTCCTTGGCAGTTGGAATTCGATATAAGAGTAGGCCGTAGCGCCGCTGTCTGGGCAAAATTTCCCTCATAGCACACTGTATGGCGCATGCCCGTCTTCATTAGCCTAGTCGGAGTAAGACGTTGGCACGCTAATCATGGAGGTTCCGTGTTCCGATCCCTGCGTTGGCCGAGAAAGTTCATCGTGATTTTCCGTCCTGGTTCCTCCTTGTCAGTGGTGCAGGACCGAGGGACAATGTATAGTCGTTCGGATGGGACGGAAAACAGAGGTACCGTGTACAGATTGCTGTGCACGTAAAAGATTCCTTGACAGTTGGAATTCGATATAAGAGTAGGCCGTAGCGCCGCTGTCTGGGCAAAATTTCCCTCATAGCGCACTGTATGGCGCATGCCCGTCTTCATTAGCCTAGTCGGAGCAGAACAGTAGGACGTTAAACCCCATTTCATTTCATTTCATCCGCAAACATACTAAAGCGTTTCTTTATGGTGATACCAATGAAAGTAACTCTTACAACGAAGTCATTTTTAGCCAAGTTCACAAGTTTTTAAACTAAATAAACGCTTTGAATGAATAAGGTAATAGGCCTCAGTAAATATGTTTTAGTGGTTTTATATTTTTTTTTAATTTTCTTTATATTAATTGTCAGAGCATTATGGCAAGACAATGGTGATTAATGTTAAAAGGTCTTAAGTACCTAATGATGATGATGATGATGATGGTAGTGGTGATGATGATGATATTAAGTTCTTTATTTCTTTATTTATCTATTTAAACTTTATTTACAAAAATTGGGAACGTCCGAAGATAACAGAAGTAAGATTTTATATATAATTTTCAACAGCAAAACTGGCAGAAAAGCGAATCGGAATTTTTAAGTAGAAAAGATGCTCTATGCCAGTATTTTAAAAAGGACAACAAATTTAAAAACTAGAAAATTTTAAGTAGAAAAGATGCTCTATGCCAGTATTTTAAAAAGGACAACAAATTTAAAAACTATTGGAATATATATAGAAAATAACATCAGAAAACATGTAAATTTACCACTTCGCGAAAATAAAATAAGTAAATTGTGGACTAACAATAATTCAGAATCAATTAATCACAGACTAAAACAGCTTACAGACTGGAAACAACACACTATCAATAATCTTATTGAAAAGCTAACCTTGGCATCTGAAATCCAAATTCTAAATTTACGACACTCTTTATATGGATACGGTAGCTACAAACTTAATCAAAAAGCTTCACAATTTTATAAATTTGATTTTGATATTTGGCACTCCAAAAATAAAAGCGAAAAAAATGACATATTTTGGAGATTTTTAAATGATAAAAGAACTTTAGCAAATCCAACTACGGGGCTTCCGGTCAAGGTGTATAATATTTCGACACTGTCATTGGCCTTGCTTACACGCTCTTTCGTCTTAAACACCCGCTACCATCCTCGGCTTTACTCAATTTTGTTTAAAACACTCTTCCATCTTCCTCTAGCGGTGGGAGATTGGGAGGGGCATCATAATTGTAATGGCCTAGGTCCTCTCTTCATTTAAATCTGGCACTGATCGTGTATTTTGATATGTATATATTTGTTTATAGTTGTTTGATCTTTTGCTAATATGAATTATAATTTTTTTTCACATAAATGTTCTATCACAGCTAATATGCTATTAAAATTTTATATTTTCCTTGAAGTGGTGTGGTTAATTCTTCCGATAAAGCTGCTAATATTAAGTAATGATTAAGCCCCCCCCCCCATCCTCCTATACTTTACCCTCCTTCCATGAGCCAACTTTTGCCCTATAAAGCAAGCATGGTGGAATTGGGTAGATTTGGGTAAATCGTGCTACCGAAAAAAAAAGTGTTGCTGGACTGCATGTATGTGTGTGTGACAGTATATAGCCATATGCAATTGCGTGGATTTGTCATAACTTTTGGGGGGCGCGGGCGAACTCTGGAAACTGGAACATTTCATTACCAAACAAAACAAATAATTACCTGACAATCACACTCTAAACATTAAAATTGTATTTTCAGATGCTTGTTTGAGATGGTAGAGAATTAGAGTATTCCACCATAATGCAAATATGACAGACATACAAACTAAAACATGTAGTATAGTCAATTGTTTAGTGTCAACCCAAAAGTTCAGTGTTCAAAAACAATCTTTAATTGATTTAACAGTTTTGTTCAATGAATCTGATCAATTTGATTCGAAACGGAAATCTGCTCATCAATCTGAACTTCTCTTGGCCTTAAATCATGGAACAGTTATCAACGAATTAAATCTCACATACAAGTTTTTGTTATATTTATTTCGAACACGATTTGAATGGATGGACCAAAATGATCAACACAAACCATTCCACTCAACATCAACAGAGAAGGCAGAGATATTTGACCAAATTGATCTGTTGTTGAAAATGTAAGTGAGTTCTAGTGTAAGAAATTTTATACATTATAATAAATATACTGAGACAATGAAAAATGTACCACTTTTATAAATGGATGATGTAAATCTTGTTTGAGAGTTACATTTTAATCTGTAATTTCTGAATGTAACAACATCAGATATGAGAGTGATGGTGGCTGAGAGGTCTAATGACAAGAAGCAGGGTCGCCTGTCTAACTTTGTGGTTTTTATACGCCCACATTGAAATGTGGACGTATATTGCCGTCGCCCCGTCCGTCCGTCCATCGTCATTATCCAATTGTTTTAAAATTGATATATGTTGTTTACATTAGTGAGATGAAGAACCCTATTTAATTTCAATAATTTCTGTTTATTACGTCTAGAGTTATGGCCCTTGTTTCACTTTGTTGAACCTTGTAAACGCTCTAATGCCAAAAGTTAACATCTGATCTTTATGAAATTTATATGCAATATTTAAGTTAGTGAAACGAAGAAGCCTATTGAAATTCAGCAATTTCTGTTTATTATGTCTAGAGTTACGGCCCTTGTTTCACTTTATTGAACCTTGTGAACACTCTAACGCCAAAAGTTAACACCCGTTCTTTGTGAAATTTATATGCATGATTTAAATTCAGCAATTTCGGTCAATTACTTCTAGAGTTATGGCCCTTGTTTCAGTTTATTGCACCATAGGAACGCTCTAACGCTCTGCCAATCTGTATGAAATTTACATGTGTCATTTAAATTAGTCAAGAGAAGAATCCTATTGAATTTCAGCAATTTCCGTTTATTACTTCTAGAGTTATGGCCCTTGTTTCACTTTGTTGCACTTTGTGAACGCTCTAACCTCTAAAGTTAACTGCTGATCTGTATGAAATTTATATGTGCCATTGAAGTTAGTAAAAAGAACAATCCTATTTAATTTCAGCAATTTTCGTATATTACGTCTAGAATTATGGCTCTTTTCACTTTATTGAACCTTGTGAACGCTCCAACGCCGAAAGTTATCATCAGATCTTTGTGAAATTTATATGCATTATTTAAATTAGTGAAACCACAAAACCTATTGAATTTCAGCAATTTACAATAATTACTTCTAGAGTTATGGCCTTTGTTTCACTTTGTTAAACCTTGTTAATGTTCGATTGATGAAAGTTATGATCTGATATGTATGAAATTTATATGCATCATTTAAATTTGTGAAACAGCTCAGATCCATTGAATTTCAGCAATTTCCGTCAATAATTTCTAGAGTTATGGCGATTGTGAACCTTGTGAACGTTTGAATGACAAAAGTGATCATGTGATCTGTATGAAATTTATATCCATTATTTAAATTAGTAAAACGAAAAAGCCTGTCAAATTTCAACAATTTCTGTAGATTACTTCCAGAGTTGAGACCCTTGTTTCAGTTTGTAGAACCTTTCTTGTAAACCCTTAAACGACAAAATTTATAATCTGATCTGTATGGAACTGTCTTGTAAAGGCCCCCAATTACCTACAAAGGGATAAATATGCGACAACCCTTGTCGACCACTCAGAAGATTTAGCTGCTGTGGGCATATGTTTCGTTGCCTGCCAACCTATTTTTCTCTATGTCCGACTTCTTCTCACTGCTCAAGCGAATAATTGAAATAAAATTGTACCAGCTAGTTTGTGTTGAGTGAAGGTTAAACCCCTTTTCTCTCTATCCATGTCTAGTTGTATGAAAACTTTTAACATGATTCCTTTTTTTCAGTATTTCTACAGAAAGTGTTTGTGTGAAATCTTTACAAGCTTTTAAACAAATTGGTCAAGAATGTGAGTAATGTCTACTGTCTCTATGTATTTTTATAAACATTAATGGTGTTTCATGGGATTTAAATTTAAAGATTTCAGAAAAATATATGTATAGAGTATAGACAAAATTTTCAAAATTTCCAGTATAGTTGTTTTATTGTTCTTAGCAACAACATGGTGTCATTTTAAAAAAAAAAAAAATATTTTTTAGTTTCAAGATTTCCAGTAGTGAGAAGTCAGTTAGCTGGTCATGTTATGGTGTGGTTTAGTAATGCTGGTTCACAGATTAATTCCCCTGAAATTTATATGTTAATTATGGTATGTTATTTGCTTGAAACAGACTAATAAAATGAACTAACAGTAGGCTACATGTAGATGAATTTTATCAAAAAAATAAACCAAAAGCACTATAGTTTGTGTAGAAAATTGTTATCTTCAAATGAATCAAACTAAAATTTCATTCCAAATCCAACTAGGTGTTGTCGATTGTAGAACACCTTGGTATGTTGTAAGAATTTTAGATATTGTAAATGTTAATAACTAACTGGTGCTTTAAAAGAAAGTACCCACTTAAACAAACGTGAACTTATAAAGGTCTGTCATTGAGTCAACTGGCGGGGTTTCGATTCCCCGGGTGTACGTGACAAGGATCTCGAGTAGGGTCGCCTGTCCAACCTCGTGGGTTTTCTCTGGGTCCTCCGGTTTCCTCCCACTGCAAAAGACCCCACGCGCAAGCAAATTATTGAAATAAAATTAAACCATATGTTAGTCCCGAAATGACCTTGTTTGCGTTGAGTGGACGTTAAACCCATCTCTCTCGCTGTGTGAACTTATAAAATATTATAATGAGGTCAGTCTTGAACTTGTGGTCTAAAGGGAGATAATTTGTGGTCATTACAGAGTTATCCACTATTTTCAGGTTAGCTAAGACTTGATACCAAAGTGTTTTGGGTGAATGAAAATCTGTCTAAATATGTGTTCAATATATGATATATTGCGTGGTTTAATTAAATCCACTTGTCTTCTGTCATAAATACCTATAAAAATTTATAAAAACTACCAGTAGTAACATGTTTACAAGCTAAAAGGAGCAGTGTTGTGGTGGGACGGTTGTGGCAAGTGGGGTTTAATAGTACCTGCCATAGGAAGCACCTAACCAAACAAATGTAGGTCGGAAGGTTGAAAGTAAAACAGTTGGTGGTATGGGGATTGTTGTAATCTGGACCAGGGAGGCATGGCCCAGTAAATATTTTGCAATTTTAAACCTGTTTTATTGTTGAAATTCTTACAGTTCCATCCCTAACTATTATTTGAAGGACCCTTTTAGAGTCTAGTGAACAAAATGAAATAAAACAGGATTTAACATTCTTCTATTCTGCGCTAACCAGTTTAATGAAGATGGGTATGTAGGAAATTTTGACCTTTATCAGAGTTTCCGTATATACTTATCTAATTCCTAAGTGCCAAGGGTTTGTTTACTACATGCACATAACACTGGACCTTGTTTTTGTCCCCCATCAGAATGGCTAGACATGACCAAACGATCCATCATGCACCACTGACACAGGGAAACCAGGCTGGAAAATCCCAAGCAACCTTTTTGCGACCTACACTGGGATCAAACCCTGGATCCTCTGGAGTGATTTGTTAGTAATGTATTATATTTATATTTCAGGACATATTATTATCAGCTATAACTGATGTTTGGTCTACAGTTAGGAAATCAACTTGTACTAGATTAAACACTATACTACAACATTTAAATCATACAAACCTACATTCTTTATATGATCAACTAATCCAGGTAATTATTAGACTAATTTAGAAATGATTGAAGTCATCTTTGTCGCCTAATTATTCTTTCAATTTAAATTTGATGTTTCAGATTTGTCTTGAAAAATCAAGTCCATGGCAAACTGTTGATGGTGCAATATTAGGTAATTGTTTTGAAATTTTTGTATAACTTTAATTATACATGAATGCAGGAATGTATGTTGGAATTTTATATCAATGCACAAAAAAGGTAAGCAACAAATCATTTGTGTGTTGAGTTTAATTTTTATGACAAGACAATAATTTTGATTTATGAATTGTAGGTATTACAGTGATATTAAATCAGTATGGTACTAACAATAAAGTAAGTAATTTTTAATGTGAACCAAAAATATAGCAACATTACCTGGTACATCCTCGGTATCTCCAGTGTTTTCATTCCCTTCTACTCCACTAACCCCTGGGTTAATCTATAGGGGGGGACATGTTTTCAATCCCATAAATCGTTAATTGCAATGGAAGTTGGCAAAGGGAAGTAACTCTTATCAGACAAGGTTAGGAGTTCGCCTATATGAGAGAAGTCCAAATTATTCTAAATGCGTATTTATTAACAACAAATTATATAATATTATATTAATGAAGACCGGACGTTTATGTACGTTCAAGAGTTTAATTGAGAATCGTTTGTTCGCCGAGTTTTACAGTGTGAATCAGATTGCCAAGTATAAGTTCAGTAATAATAAACATAACAGAATGAAACATTTCAGACAAAGAACGAATATTAATAATAATAACAAACTTCAAACATATAGATGTTATACATATTTGAAATCAGCGAAACATACTACAGATTTTGATAATACAATTATGTAAATATAAATGAATTAGAAATATATACATTATTTACATAAATCATTCAGTAAATGGACATAAATATGGTTATCTACCCTTATAAAAACGATGGCGAAATGACAGGTTTGTAAACTGTTTTTTTTGATTGGTCGTAGACCATAGCTGCAATCAAGGCCAGGGCAGATAATTTGAAATCGTGGAAACCCTATGGATTAACCCAGGGTATAGTGGAGTAGAACGGAATGAGTACTCTGGTGATACTGAGGATGTACCTGGTATAAAGTATATGTATTTTATATAGGTAATTTTTGTGGCAGTTTTATAAATATGTCGGTGGTTCAGGACAGAGGGGCTGGCAAGGAACAATGTGTAGTCATTTGGATGGATCGGAAATAAAACCCTTGACAGTTGGAATTTTACAGAAGAGTAGGCCGTAGCGCATGTTTATATACTTTATAGACTAGTCAGCGAGGCAGACATTTAGTCTCTTTGTTATTAATAGTGGCTATCCAGCAACTTGGAACATCTTTTCTACATTCCCTTATTATTTATGACTGGTTAATTTTTTAAAAAAACTAACACTTTTGGCAAGCCGATAAACAAGATTGATAATTTTATATTGATAGGAAGTAAATAACATGTAGGCATAATTTTATTTTTCAGGCAGATCCATCTCTTAATTTTATTAAGACTGATCTTTTATCAACAGTTTTTAGTTTAATATCACACCCTCAGCTTACTATTAGAGAAACAGCAGCCAAATCATTATTAGTTTACATTAGTTGTCTTGGTGAACAAGAGGCTTTAATAACATTTCAAAAAGTTCTATTCCTACTCAATAGTCAACACAACTGTGATGAAGAGGTAAATAGAAAATATTTCATTCTTCCATTCTTCCTGTTATTATTAAAAAAAACCCAAACCCTTTTTAACTGAATGTTTTTTTGCTCAATAGATGTGTAATTTTTAGTTGCAGTTGGAAATTAGACATATATTTTTTGGAAGATACATTATTCCTAGTAAAGTCTGAATCTGTCTTATTTTAGGTATCAGTCAGTGGTCTTGTGGAAGCTTACAAAGCAGAAGGTCTACTTAATATTTGTTGTTCTATGATAAAGGTAGGAACAAACAATGTTTATTTTTATGTAAATAGACAGTGTTGGAAAACAAAACACAAACAGCGCAAACAATACAATTTGCACAAAAGAGCACACAATTGTCAATATCAAGTATTGAAGAGAATTCAATTCTTAACACAAAAACATTCTTCTCATACTATTCACCAACCCTCTTTGAATTACCAGTAGGCAGTAGGCCAAAATAAAATATATAAGTTACTTTGATTAGTGAGAAGGCAAGCTCTACATATAAATTTGCTAATTTTAGTTCCATATTTTATTAAATCTAAACACTGGCTTTCCCTACTATTACAAAGACAGACTTACTTATATACTCACAAAATAAATTAACTTCTAAGTAAAATCCAAGGAAATAGACAAGTTCATTTTGGACCCATATCAAAGAGGAATAGCCATTTTAATTATAATCCACAATTTATTTTTTATTGTAAATTCTGTGTATTTTTACTTAATGCGAAAATTTGTGAATAAATTTTGAATATTTTACAGATATTACCTTTAAAGTGCCTGCTGCCGAAATTGTTGTCATATCTAACAGTATTTTTATCGTATTTATCCCATGAAGCCTCTACAGTTAGACAGACTACAAGTTCTGTATTTAAACAGTTGTGTAAGTCAATAGTTAAATGAGCTAAATTGCTAATATTTGGGACCTAGAAATTGACCCAAATGGGTCGCAACGCATATAATAATGTAATCTGATTGTATATGAACTGATTTACATTCAGTTGTTTCCGTTTTGACTCTTTAATTTGAAATCAGTTATGTCCAGCGAAATACGTCATGAGTCTCAACCGAATGGCAATTTCTAGCCTCTGGTTATTCCAGTCTATTGCGCATGCTCTCCAGATAGATATGGCGTGACCGTTTGACATGAGTTGTGGAATATGTCTAGCCTCGTTCTTTCTGGTCACTTGTTACAAATGACGCCGAAACGCACTAAGGTACACGATTCGTGTACCAATGGTAAAATGTTTATTATGTCTTAAATATTGGATATTAGAAACCTACCTTTTCCCGGTAAGATCACAACATCAATGTTGATTTGAATTGACAAATAATTCGCGTTTTCAACTTGTAAGACTTTGGATGATATTGAGTTAGAGACTTAGCTACTTTAAATGAAGACAATATCTTGAGTTAAAATCTACACTTTTGAATTTGAGGTTTAATTATTGGCAAAAACTATAACTCATGTAAAACAAAGAAAATAAATAGGGGATGCCCAAGTTCAGATTTTGTCGTTGATATCATATGGTTGAAAGGTTTCTAATCTTATAATCCAATGAAGTTCGATGGTACGTCTATTGGTAGTAGATTTATTGAGCTCAGGGTTTGTGCCAAGTGTCTCGGTAAGTGGAAGTGAGTTGCGACTGGGGTGTCTCTCTTGTGGGTAATGTCAGCATAATGTTCCTTCAGCCTAATGCGGAACAATCTTTTGGTTTCGTCTACATATTGTTTATGGCATAGATTACAAGTAAGAAGGTATATTACATTCTTACTGTGACAGGTCCAGTTGTTGGGATATTTTACCAAATCCCTGTAAAACAACCCCGACAAACTCTAAACCCCGGTAAAAATCTTACCGGAGTCCCGGAATAGTATAAGAAGAACCTCACCACTTGAGTTTAATTAGTCTGAAGAGTTCAATACGAACGAAACTAATCACACAAAATATTGGGATAACTGGAAGAATCGCCCATTTTACCTACTTTATAAGTATGACTCATGTAAATCCAAACACTAATTAGAACTCGTAACAATGTCATTGCTTCCGTATTTTCTTCATTCTAATTTGTTGGCATCAAATTTGAGACCTTTGTACATATATCTTCTGAAGAACTCTGATTTAATAATACAATTTAAGAATGCCTGCATAATGATTGCTTGAATTCAAGTGTTAAGTTATGTACATGATGTTTTGAAATTAAGTTTTTATGTCCAAGTTTTGTTTATTTTTGGTTTTATTTATAGTGTTAAAAGCAGACTCAAATCCTGTTTTATTTAAACTTATATTGACCAAATTAACATCTGATTGGATAACTTGTTACACAGGTAATATTATATTCACAAATTTTCTATATTTCCTTCTGGGGGCCAAGAACTGAGGTTTTTCTGATGTTGACAAATAATTTGGATAAAAATAAAAGAAATTAGACATTAAATTGTTTCCATTTCTAACGTTCCATTCTCTGTGTTGAGTTTATATATGCCCAGAAATAAAATGTTGAGCTTACTTTTTATAATCCCACATTTAAATGTGGAGGAATCTTACTTTCATTCCGTTGTCCATAGTGTATTGTGTACACACTAGAGTCAGCATTTAACACGCCTCTGATCTTTTTAAATTTGTGCATTGTTGATATTAGTGAGGTATTGGCCTTCATCGCTATAGAATTTTATAAATGCTTTAGTGGCAAAAGTTTTTGATCAGTCATTGGGCAACTTTGCTGATGTGTGGGTATATTTAGTTGACTAGCAACCATCATTAGTTTCTCTACTTTAAAGTATGTTTTATTTTTAGATTCAAGCTGTAATACTTTAAGTTTAATTAAGAGATGGGAAGGTAAAGAAGGACGTTTATTTGTATACGAACTTGTTTGTGAATATTTAGTGAAGAACCATTGGTTGAATACATTTGGACCTCTACAGCCAACTAAACATGGTGAATTACGTAGATTATCCACATCAACTTTATCAGAAAGGTGCCGAAAGTTAATTTATTTTACTTGTTGATAATCTTTATTTCACATAGTGCTTAATAATGTAATATTCAAAAAACTTTTTCAGTTATGTATAGTTTATGTCAGATTCTATTGAATTCCTGCCACCATCTTTTTTTTTTGTTAGTGCATAAAAACAATAATTATTTTCACATACGAACAGTTTTCTTCCTGTGTGTAAATTGCATAAATTTTCTTCATTCAATAGTCGTGAAACTAACGAGGTATTGAAGTATCGTGATACTTAAAACAAATTTCACCGAGAGTTATGGTTATTAAGAAAAATCTTGAAGGTTTAATTTTAAAGCAAGTAAATAGTTTATGGTGTAGTGAAAGTAACGATGCGACATTTGCATTTTTCGCTAAAATATCAAATTTCTCACTGCTTAATCCACTATAATAATACATTATGAAATCAAAATACCAATGTTAGATAACCTCCCAGCTTGGTTTCAGTCAGATTTAAAACAGGCCTATCACTTCTGTTCGCCCACAACAAAAGAGGGGCTGGCTTATTATATAGCCAGCAGCATAAATCAATGAAATTTCAGTTCAATTCAACATATCTTTGTACATGCTAAATGGAATTCAACATATCTTTGTACATGCTAAATGGAATTCAACCATTTTTAGACTGATATTTGTATTAGGGATACATCTTTCACAATATTGTAGTTGCAAGGTATTCTTATTGTGCTAAAATAATGCAATGAGACTATTAGTAAACAAATGCTGTTTAAAGTATTATGAGAGGGTGAGTTCTAATTACCTTCTATATAAAATGGCAGTTGGATACCCTGAATATGATATTCAACATGGTAATAAAATGAATTTTTCAAGAAAATGATTTTTGATAGGATGATAAGAGCATTATGATATTATCATTATTCCACTGCTCTAAGCTGATAAATAATGGTGGGAGTTTATATCTCTTGCGGGGATGCTTTAATCTTTGTTTTTATTGTATTTCAGTAAACTGGAGAATTGTGATGATAAAATAAAAGACAATAATGATACAGTATGGCATGAAGTAATACCAGAATTTAAAGATAAATCTTTATTAGAACAAACTAGACTTTATGATGAGTTCACTAAACAGGTAAATTTTATCTAATTAGAAATCTAAATTGATAACTTTGACTATATTTCTGCATATACATATTCTTCACGGTGTGGTGAGTTGTTTGCATCAATGGGGTCCAAGATTATGTAAATGCTCCCCAGGAAGGTTAAACGCCAAACCAAATTCAGGAATAAACCAGCTGTGGGTCTATGGAGTGTTTGAAATCCTGAAGCCCACAAATATTGTTCAATTTTTGACCTGTTTTGCTGTTTAAAGTTTTGTGTTATGAGCGTTTCTGCTGAAAAGTAAACCTAATATTTTATTGACCATAAAATAATTCCTCTGGAAGCTTTCCAAGGGGCAGAAAATGGTGCAAAATGAGTCATCATTGGGAAATTTGTTGGGTTTAAAGGTACCAAAATATTATTGATCATAGAATAATAAATATTTGGTTCGCATGGAGACTTTTCAAAGAACGACGAAAGCACGAAATATGAATGGGAAATGGATTTTAAGGAATTTTAGAGCAAATTATGTTCAAAACTGTAAAATCGAATCTGGGCGTCTTCAATGTTTATCTTATTTCAGATATTTTCAAAAGAATATGTAGGATCTGACTATTATTTGTTTTGAGTTTTCTTTTTAGCATGAGAAATGTGTTAATGATTTACCCTTGTTGTTTATGAAACAATGTAGTTTATATACTGATGGACATGAACCTATTAAACCATTGTAAGTAAAGCATAGTAAATTATTATTTGTAGGTGATCATAATCACTTCACCAAAACATACATGTAATTACTCTGTATTTTAATACTGCTAAAACAATTGTTGTAAATTAAATATTATGGCCACTTTTAATGTGGACCTATTTTGCAGCCCCCTTTGTCAGTTTCCTTTCACAATTTCTTATGACTACTCTACAGGTCACAGCAATTTATGACATATTGCATATTGTGGAGTTATATACCCTCCTGTTTACTTTAAAATTATGAAATCTTGTGAACGTAAGTTCCAGATAGAATTTTAAAAAATTGGTTTGTTTGTTCATTTATTTATAAATCAACTGATTTTCTGAAAGTTATTTTTCCAGTCATATTTTGACTTTTATAATGGATGCAGTTCTCAATGAAATGTTTACGTATTAGGTACTTGACATGCTATGAATCTAATTAAATTGGAATCAGATTATTCAATTAAATTCACAATGATATTAAGGATATTTTAAACCTTTTTTATTTAGAGAATTTATATGGTTAAAGAATATACGTATAGCATATTGCACTGAGTTATTAGAGACTATGTTACATCAAAGTATAGAATGTTTAACAGACGGTCAGTGGGAGTTAGCTAGAATAGCTCAACAGGTAATATACATTTTGTGATACATTACTATAATGAAGTCTTAGCTATTATATTCAAATTTAAAAGTAACAGTGAGTGATCTGAATTTTTCAGAAAATATCAAATTTTCACGACTTAATCCACACAAAAATGTACTCTGATTGATTATTTAACATTTGTTTAAGAAAACAAAATCAATATATCAACGCTAGATAATATCTCTGCTTATAGATGGATCAAATTTCAGTTAATAACATCTTTGTAAATACTGAATAGAGCTGAACCATTTTTGGGACTGATATTACTATGAGAGATTCAAATCTAACAACATTGTAGTTTGCTAGCTCTATATCGCTAAATCATACTCGGGGACTCTAAATATGATATTGTTTTTCTTCAGGTTTTACCTGTATTGAGTGAAGTTATGAGATGGTATAATATAGATATTAATATAAAGATCATAGATAAATTGATAGTGTGTAAAAATGATGATAGATTCATGTATGTGGGTATATATTTATTAAAAGAATCTCTAGAACACTGTGTACGTCTACTACCTCTACTTAAAGATCCACCCAAATCATGGAAGGTTGGTCATACTTTTATGTTATTATTTATGGTAACTGGAGGAAATAGAGATTACAACAAATTTGTGTATGATGCGATGTAGTTCATATGCATAAGGGCACCAGACCGACATACAGGTGCTTGGGAATCTTGCATGTATCTATTACTTCCAGTTAAGGAATACAAGAAATTTCTACAAACAGCCAGTTATTTTGATAATAATTTTTTGTAAATTTCTGTTTGTAAATTCCTGCATTTTGCACACCAGCATTTGTTGTGCCGTAATTTACAGCCAGACAGGCTTATCTGTGTTTTGTAAATTGCTTGTGTGTTCTGAGTTTGTTAAATAATTTCCTTTCCATTAGTCTCGTGTGACAAAATGGCAGCAGACTACACGACCTGTAATGGTTTCAATTTATGGTTCGTTGGCTCCTCTGCTTTATTGAAGATAAGGTTTGAAGTCAACGGTGGGCTATGTGTGTGTGGGGTTCCCCATCATAGATTAGAGTCTCATTCTGTTGCATGATTATTACGAGGAAATGACATCATAATTTTACACATTGGATCAAATGACTTCTCTTCAGCCACTTGCAATCCTGCTGGGGTAGCTCAGCATATTTTTTACTTTGCCAACTATGTGTATACTTCCTTCTCCCCATCAAGGTGTTTTATAGTGAGCCAAATATTGGCAAGTCAGACGGAACCCAATGTCTGGTGTACAAACACTATTTCTTTGTCCTGAAAGTGTGACGAAGTACCAAATGTAAATATTTGGTAACACATTTCCGGCGTGTAGAACCCTACAAGCCTGATTTATGCTTGTGCATCTTTCAAAAACTGGCAGCGATTTATATCGACTTGTACTCTATAATTATAGTTACATAGTGTAGGTTAGTTACATTTGGTTTATTGTCAGGTACCTCGCATTGACTATTTCTATCAGTATTTTTGTACTGATAGTATTATTCCCAAGATATTATTGATTTTGTGTGTGTGCGCGTGGGTGTGCGTGTGTGTGTGTGTGTGTGTATGTGTGTAAATATTACTTTATGAAAATTGTGATATTCAGATATAGATTATATTTTATTTCTTTGCATTATTATTGCTATGTATATACCTCATGAGATATACCTTATTCCTCTCATTATTTTTACTCAGTTGGTGGTGTCAGTATCTCTGCAGTTGGAGACACTACATTACTTGTGATGTGTCTGGCCTGTTTTAGTCTGAATTAAGCTCAACTGTTGTTGAGTAAGGAACATGAATTTTGGGTAACCATTAATTGTTGCCAATTTTAATATTCATGTTTCAGTAATTTAAAAGAACAAATTGACATTTTACACCGCCAACTTGAGTTCTTTTTGTATAGACTGGGTGGATGTTGTCGGAGACTGAAAACACAAATATTTTCTGTGTTTAGTTTGAATTTTTATTAAGAGTTACAGAATCTATATCCCTGTTTCCTATGGCAGATTAGAATAAAAACATGTACCATATCTATAATTTTGTGATTGTGGTAATCAGTTATGGAGATCCGAACCACTAAAATATCCACTCAATTTATTACCCATGGAAAAAAAAGTAGTTTTTCCAATTTATTGTCTATGCATTGATAAGAAATGCAAAATTACTTTGAAGTGTGCTTTTCTTTTACAGAATCCAGAAAGATGTGTTGAAACAATTAATGTGTTGATAGAAAAGTTAAAATATGAAACAGAAAGATATATAATATTATCTGAGGAGATGTTAAACAGGTCATCTTATGACAGATTTACATGTATGGCAACTGAAATAATCCTCATATTACATAATACGTTTGACGTTAACAAAGATAAGGTCTGTATACTTTATTCCTATTAAATACCTGTTTTTAAAGTTGGTTTTATTATTTTGATATTTCCGAATTATGTATGCAAAACAATCCATTGTTACTATATTGAAGGAGCATGGGTTGTAATACAGCAATCCTCATCAGTGATGGGATTTCAAAACTTTTCTTGTCGGACATTTTACCGAATAACTCTTATTGTTATTTAAGCAGAAGAATTTATACCACAATTAAATGTCACATGTCAAAATTAAGCATCTTCCTAATACATTGAATGAAAGCTTGTCGATCCTGCTTCGGCATCAAATTCACAACCGTAATATTCCTTCAAAATTATGTGTCTTTGTTTATACGGCAGCAAATGAATGCAGAACTTCCGAAATAAGAATAGTTTGTGATGTCAGAACATCGTTGTTTCTTTATAAAATGTCAACAAAAACAAAATATTCATATCCGTGCGTAATAAAAATATGAACACCTTGCTATTTTTCATATTTAATTCCTGTATGGTTATGGTATTCAAATGTATGTCAGTAATATTCGAATAAAATTACGTGTTTTCGTAATACGATAGAATAAAAGTTTGCCGATCCGTACCTGCCAGTAATATTCCTCCAAAATTACATGTCTTGATTTATACGGCAGCAAATGAAAGAAAAGCATTCAAAATAATAATACTTGTGGTGATGACAAAACACCTTTTCCTTCTTCATAAGTCGGTATTTTAATATTACATTGATAGTTAATAAATCACTCGTAAAAAGGCATAGCTAACTTCAGCGTATGGCGTACATGACTCACAGCACATAGCTTCATAGTAAGCACTGCCTTATATGTTAAGCAATTTTCGTGCTGTGCTCGAGATCACAGGAAAGTGCCACTGTGGATGAGAATTTCTATATGGAGTTTTAAACAAAGTAAAAGATATCGCAGACAAAATGACTGTCCATTGATTTAGGGTGTTATATACTCTTACGATATGTGACATCTATGACTAGTTTATAGATGCTGTCGGCTCACACCAATGCAATTAAAATGCCCGACAATTGAGAAACCACAAGGTAAACACATGGATTAAAATTATAATCACTCTTATTGGATTGATGAATAGTCCGACAAAGGGGAAGCGATGACTTCTGTTTAAAGGGACAATAACACTCTTGCTGGCTTGACAGCTCCAGAAAATAAAAAATAGCCTTATTCTAAGTACTAGATGTGTTAGTGTCTTACCTGTTGTGTAAATTATCCATTAAATCCTATTTTACTTGTCCAGAGGGTTCAGAAATATTTTTAAATCCAAGTCACATTTGAAAAGGTTAACGTCAGGCTTTTCAAATCATTTAGTTGAATTTTTCCAATTTTTTAAATTAGGTGTGTTAAGATGAAATTTGTATCGTCAATTAATTGGAATATTGTAAAATAGTACAATTTGTTGACCAGAATAAAGATTGAGACATATTATTCAGTTACAACAAGAGTGGTATTGAGCCTTTAAGATTAAGTCAGTCAATCATGGTAGATGAAGTAGTTAATCATGGTAGGTGTATGGCTGGTATAACACGATAAATACATTGATCACTTAATTACCAGCCTATTATCAACGATAATTGGGTTGAGTGGTAGTTATACACTCAGTACACTATATGTCCGATTGGGCATATTCCCGGTCGGAGAATTTTGGGCGTTTGGAAAATAGCATCGCACAAGTCCGGAATATACGGGCGAAATCCCATCCCTGCTTCATACAGATCTCAAAAGTCAAATATTTATACTATTTTTTGATATAAAGACTTGTTACATAATTAAACACATCTGAGTATTAAAAAACCTTCATGAATATTGGGCTTGTTGATATGAAAACAATCGAATTATTATTAATATATATATCAGTAATACTTATTTGAATCTTGATATTTCTTACAGATGAAGATTTTGCACCAGGCTATATTTAATAAATGGCAGATGTTATATCAGTTTTCTCACCCTACAACTCAAATATGTCATATACTGCCTGATATATCAAAGACACAATTTAAATCTCCATATACAGGCTATTTGAGGTTGGTGACTTATTTATAGAAATGATTTACATTGATTTGGAAAAATTTGCTTGAAATATTGAAATATTAAGATTTGAAGTGACTTATGAAAACATGTGAAAACTGTACTTGAGTTTTGAAAAATTGTGAAAATTTGATGTCAATCAGTCAATTACTATAAACTATAAAAAATTGATTTGAAGATATAAAAAATGGAATTCTATATTGTATAATATTTGATGATTTCTGTCATATTTTGTTTTATATTTGTAGCTGTTGTTTAGTTGAGCCAGAAGGAGATGTACAGTGTGCTAGACAAGTTGAGAAACATCTAGTCATGTCTATTTATGAATATTTGTCAACATACCTATCACATTATACTCAACCATATTACCTACCTATAATTGCTCATTATGTTGGACAATTTGCAGATGACAGTTTGATATCTAAAGAGCTGATACAATGGTGAACACTTTTAGTATATATATTTAATTGAATTTGTTTAGTTTACTGAAAGAAGAGGTCTAGCAAAGTTCAATATTTTTTAGTTACCGGTAATTAGTTCTAGAATTATGGCCCTTGTTATACTTTGTAGAATATTGTGAATGGGTTAAATGGATAAGTCATCATCTGATCTACTTATGTTGTTTAAATTATTGTGGTGAATAAATTAAAAACAGTTACAACAGTTTGTGATAATTATTTATAGAGTTATTGCCCTTGATTTTGTAATAAAATCTTGTCAACATTTCATTGATATTATTCAGTATGGTATAAAGATTTTGGTTTTTTATTTACTTAGAGATTCATAGTGCGACAAAACTTATGGACCCCTTTGACGACTTACCTCCTCTGGTCATATGTTTCTTTGTCTGGCAACCTATCTTTTAAATGTGATAAAAGATGATGAGGGAGCCAATGTGGCTAAGTGGGTAGGACGTTGGCTCGCTAACCTGGAAGTCCCGTGTTCGATCCCTGGATTGGCCTAGAAAATTCATAAGGATTTTCCAGCATGGTGCCCCCGGGTACACATTGGCATGCACGTAAGTTAACCCTTGACAGTTGTAATTCGAAATAAGAGTAAGCCATAGCGCCACTGTCTGAGCAAAATTTCACTCACAGCACACTGCATGGCATATGCCCGGCTTCATTAGCCCAGTAGGAGCAGAACAGTAGGATGTATTTTATTTCATTTCTTTTTCAAAAGATGATGACATAACTTGCTGTTTTATTTATTTTCAGTTTGATGGTTTTATGTCGTCAAGTTATAGAACCAATATTAACTAAATCTATAGAAACTGAAGATAAGCAAACTTATTTAAAATGTATATTTTATACTTTAAAAGAATTAGCGGCGGTAATAGCTATAAAGGTGAGTGGGGAATTTTAAAGTTTAAAGATACATTCTTGTGTACAAACTGGGTGATTTGAAGATATATTTGGCCTAAAAACATATTCAAACTAATTAATTTATCATAAATTTGCTTCAAATCCTTCTCAAAACATTGTATTGTAATTGTCAAGGAATACCCTTGCTATAAAAAATCGATGAAAAGAGGTCATGTTTGTGTCACGTGACTTACGGGTGCGAAGTCAGAGAAGAATTCATTGCATACACGAGACGATGTTGTCTTTAATCGCTGACTATTTATTACAAATATCGAATCTTAATTAAATTCTCGGATTATCCACTGCCCGCGTCTTTTTCCTTGATTTTTATCTCAGAAAGTGTTGTACGTCTAACTCTTCATAAAGTTTATCAACATGTACATCAAGCACTCAATCTCCGCGTGCAACTTTTGACGTCATGCATGCACATGTTCCTGATCGTCGGGCTGTTGATTAGGGGAACCCTGACATTTTTGTCCCGTATACGCTCCATGGGTGTTTTTCAGCGAATCCAGTATTTTTCTAGTAAGATTGGATATCTCTACTTTCCATATATACCAAAATTGCCATACTTTTATTGGAAATAACCACCCGACAAATACTTTTCTGGGAACCTATCTTTAATAATTCGTTTTAATTTATTGAATGATATAATAATTGTCCCCAGCCTTTCGAAGAAAGCAGGGGACTATTAAAATGGGTCCGTCCGTCTGTCTGTCTGTCCATCACACTTTTTGGGACACAATAACTCTCCTTCTAATTGAGCTAGAATGTTCAAACTTGGTGTAGGTGTTTATTAGGTCAATGCCTTGATGGAGTTCGAAGATGAGCATTTTCTGCTTAGGGTAAGCAGAGATAAGCAATTTGATTGGTTGATGCTTTGGGACACAATAACTTCAGTTCTAATTGAGTGAGAATGATGAAACGCGGTGTCAAGTTTCATTACAACAATACCTTGACTAAGTTCGATAATCTGATTGGTTGATGGTTTGAGGCATGATGACTTTGGTTTTAATTAAGTGAGAGTGATGAAACTCCGAGTATATATTCATTATATCATTACTGACTAAGTTCAATGATGAGAATCTTCTGCTTAGGCTAAGGAGCGATAAGCAATTTGATTGGTCAAGACTTCGGAAGATAACAACTCTGCTTTTAATTAAGATAAAATGTTTAAACTTGATGTAGATGTTCATTAGGTGAATGTCTTGACTGAGTTTAATGATTAACATTTCGAGCTAAAGCTAAGCAGAGCTAAGAAATTTTATTGGTCGATGCTTTGGGACAAGATAAATTTGTTTCTATTTGATAGAGAGTGATGAAACTTAGTGTATAGTTGATAATCAGTTTGATTGCTTGATACTTTTGAAAAAAATAAATGTGTAATTAATATGTGTTATCTATTTACTTTGGGATCTTGGTGGGGAACATCAGCCACACTGTTGGCTTGTTTTATATACAGTTGTGTTGCTTTGTATTAGTTAACCCTCTCAATACCACACTCAAAAATTGCAAGTGGAGTCAAAACTACTGATCCTTTTTACTATAATGTTGTCATGATATATACATGTATTTTACGTCTATTAAATTATATACTATATATATTAGGCTTTCAAATGCTATAAAAATTCAGATGTAAATGGATCACAAAAACATTTCAAGTCAGTAGCGAGCAGTTTAGTAATTTATTGCATCAAATTCTGTTGAAACAGTTTGTAAACTACTCAGTGAACTATGTATGGCATCATAATTTTTTCCAAGATTTTGCTTTACTTTTAGACATTTGATGTAACATTACTGCAGAAAGTATTATCAGCTTACCTTGTTCTCTGTAGACCCATCAATCCCATAAAGCATCTGCCAACTGTACTAAAAGCAATATGTTCTCGATTAAACAAGGTATGTATATTGGTTAACATTGATATTCTACTTGTATGAATAGTAATTCATTGAATTTAATTCTTATTTGCTATTTATTCAAATTTAAATATTACATTTATCTGTGTTACATAAATGATTTAAAGAATTCTGTAGGGACCATGATAAAAAAAATAAATTTCAGCAAAGGCGCAACACTGTAGAACTTTCACCTCGTTTGGGTTCTTCAAATGGAGGAACTGTATTTGAGATTCCACCGCCACAGTTTAATTATCAAGGGGAGCTAACAGCTTTAGAGATAGAAACAGACTTTTATACAGGTAAATTTCACAGTATCGGTATATGACTTTATCTTTTACACTTAAATATGTTGTGTATTAACACTTCATTGAAATTTGGGAAACCAATAATAGGTTGCCCAACACAGGCAGGAATGAGCTCAAAAGTGGAAAATCATGCAGTTGGCTTGTAACCAATTTTTGTCCCTTGCCTTTCTGAAAAAGCAGGGGACTATCAAAATGGGTTCGTCTGTCCATTATACTTTTGTAACAAAATAATTCTAATTGATGTAAATTGTTTACCTAGATATTCATTAGGTGAATGTCTGGAATGTCTTACCTTAGGCTAAGCTTATGTAAAAAATTTGATTTGTTGGTAACACGATTACTCTGAGTTAGAGTGAGAATGATGAAACTTTGTGTTTAGTTTCATTATATCAATACAATTATTGATATATTTGAAGATATTTTTTATTGCGGGGCACCTTACCAATAATGGAAAACACTTTCTCAGTTAGTTACACAAGGTATAAGTAAAATTATGTACACATAAGTTTTATTGAGTTGTAATATGTTCGACTTTTGTACACACATTTCACTATTTATTGTCATATTCCATCCTTCATCTTTCATAAATGAATCTGCCCCTCTATGATGACATAACCTGATCCTCCTCCAAGGACCCCATTGGAAATAAACCTAGTTTTATTTTAAGCAGGTTTTTATGGGTTATCCTCAAGAGGCTGGTCATCCATGACATCATTACTTTTTCTCTCATTAAAACTTTCTCATCTTATTATCATGTAACTTCATATGATCATCTATATTGTCATGTATGATATGCCTCTTGGAAGAATAAATAAATAAATAAATAAATAATTTTAATGGATGCCTTGGGAAACAGGACCCTGAAATGGAATAGTTTGTTGTTTAAAATTGAAGCCCTTAACAATAATCAAGAAATGAAATATATTTAAGTAAATCAAACTTCAAATTATTTTAATACTGTATATTGAAATAAACTGAAAAATAATACATGAAAAAAAGTTGCACACATTTAAACTTTTGTGAATGGAAAAGATTTCTCATATTTAAGCAGAAATATTTGGTGTTGTTTTATTAAAGAACGGGACACTGATGTTATATATACAGAATGCTTAAGTTTAAATGGATGTATCGGTGGTAGTAGTAAAAGGAGAGCTGTTAATTTATCTTTTGATGAAACTGGTGGTGATGATGATGATGATGATTGGGATAGTTGGAATGAAGAAGAAGAGGTCAGTTTCACCATTTATAGTCATGGGTAAACAAAGGTCTGAGAGAGAAAATAGTTAAAGTAATGAATTAATGAAAGACAATAATGAAGTAAGAAAGAGTAGGATCCCAAAGCAAGAAAAGATATATGGTTGTGGCTAAAAAGAACATTTAATTCATTACATATTTCCATCAGTTTTAGTGCCGTTGTTATATAGGTTACTCTTATCTACAGTTACTACATTTTATTAAATTAAATGTTTGTAAAGTCATTGCCATTGATCATAGTTGACAATTATATGAGGGGACAGGAAAATATGATAGAATCATCTTGATAATGATAATAGTAATAAATCTACATATGGTTGTATTGTATGGAAGACCAAACAGCTCTTTATTCAGTGGTCTTAATTATTAGTTCTTAATTCACATTCCTTAAAGTGCACATTAGATGGCTGACATTACTTTTCGGTACGTATAGCCTATGGTTACTTTACGGCAAGTTCACACCAATCTGATTAAAATTAATTCAACTATTAACATTTAAGTATCCTACACTCCAAAACACTTTTCTATTTTTCAATTACGACCTTAATCCGGTTGCTTGGCTGGTGACGTCACAGGGACTACACATAGTATATACATTATCTATACAATATATTACTGTCTGTGCAATATATCACTGTCTGTACACACCACCAGTTGACAAGTGTCTATTGAGGGTCCAATTAACACATGACTGGCCAAATCATAATCACCTAATTATCGTCTTGCATTATTATAGATTACTGTCTGAACCATCGTAAATTATAAATGGATTTCTTCGATTATGAACAAACTACTTAACTTGGTTATTATAAATTTACCTGTGTGTTTGAAATCAACTCCTGTTCAATAAAATCCAGTTTTCTCTTGACAAATTTGACTATTTATTTTCCACTGAGTGGAAGACAACTCCCCACATGTAAGGCGAAACCAATGCAGCTGTTGCGGTGGTGGTTTAATTTTGTCTGATAGTTTGACAACCACGTGTTGCAATGAAAACAAAGCGCGATCATTACGATCGTTTGAGATTTATATTGAAACCAATGATCGCGATTCTATCAAATTTTATTCACAATGAAAGTATCACTGATTGCACGGATACTTGTAAAAATAAAGTCATATATATATAAACTAAAAATTTTATTATCATTTTTATACGCCCACATTTTCATGTGGACGTATATTGTCGTCGCCCCTGTGGACCCTATAGAGGTCATAATTTTTATCCGATTTAAAAAAACGTATTATTATATCACCGTTAAACCCTAAGGACGGTTGAGTTCGAATTTCGTGAAAATCGGCACAAAATTGACAGACGAAATGGCCGCCGTTCCTTCTCAAATAGCGTAAAAATATGGTATATCAAGGTTGTGGACCCTATAGAGGTCACAATTTTTATCCGATTTTGTTGAAACTTGAAATGTAAGTTTATAACCCAAAGATCTCGGTTCCTTTCAATATTCACGCATATCGGACCGTAACTTCCTGAATTATGGCCCCTGATTGTCCGCAAAAACGCGTTTTTTGCCTTGTGGACCCTATAGAGGTCATAATTTTTATCCAATTTAAAAAAACGTATTATTATATCACCGTTAAACCCTAAGGACGGTTGAGTTTGAATTTCGTGAAAATCGGCCCAAAACTGACAGACAAAATAGCGTAAAAATATGGTATATCAAGGTTGTGGACCCTATAGAGGTCACAATTTTTATCCGATTTTGTTGAAACTTGAAATGTAAGTTAATAACACAAAGATCTCGATTCCTCTCGATATTTGCGCATATCGGACCCTAACTTCCTGAATTATGGCCCCTGATTGTACGCAAAAACACGTTTTTTTGCTTGTGGACCCTATAGAGGTCATAATTTTTATCCGATTTAAAAAAACGTGTTAATATATAACCATTACACCCTAAGGACGACTGAGTTTGAATTTTGTGAAAATCAGCCCAAAACTGACAGAGAAAATGGCCGCCCTTCGTTCTCAAATAGCGTAAAAATATGGTATATCAAGGTTGTGGACCCTATAGAGGTCACAATTTTTATCCGATTTTGTTGAAACTTGAAATGTAAGTTTATAACACAAAGATCTCGGTTCCTGTTGATATTCGCGCATATCGGACCGTAACTTACTGAATTATGGCCCCTGATTGTACGAAAAATCACGTTTTTTGCTTGTGGACCCCATAGAGGTCACAATTTTTATCCGATTTAAAAAAACGTTTGAATATATCACCGTTACACCCTAAGGATGGTTGAGTTCGAATTTCGTAAAAATTGGAACGAAACTGACGGACAAAATGGCAAATAGTGTCAAGGGTTGTGGACCCTCTGGAGGTCACAATTATTATCCGATTTAAAAAAACATTCGAAATTATTACTGTTACTCCATAATTTTTGTCTGAGGTTGAGTTTCATGAAAATCGGACCAAAATTGCCAGACAAAATGGCGGCCCCTCGTACGCAAATAGTGTAAACATCTGGTATATCAAAGTTGTGGACCCTCTAGAGGCCAGAATTTTGATCCGATTGTGATGAAACTTGAAATACAAGTTTATAACCCAAAGATCTCGGTTCCTTTCAATATTCGCGCATATCAGATTGTAACTTCCTGAATTATGGCCTCTGGTTGTACGAAAAATCGCGTTTTTAGCTTGTGGTCCCTCTAGAGGTCACAATTATTATCTGATTTAAAAAAACGTTCAATATATCACCCTTACAACGTAATTTTTTCCGAGGTTGAGTTTCATGAAAATCGGACCAAAATTGCCAGACAAAAAGGCCGCCCCTCGTACGCAACTAGTGTAAACATCTGGTATATCAAAGTTGTGGACCCTCTAGAGGCCACAATTTTTATCCGATTTTGATGAAACTTGAAATGCAAGTTTATAACCAAAAGATCTCGGTTCCTTGCAATATTCGCGCATATCAGATCGTAACTTCCTGAATTATGGCCTCTGGTTGTATGGAAAATCGTGTTTTTAGCTTGTGGTCATTATAGAGGTCATAATTTTTATCCGATTTAAAAAATCTAGAGGTCACAATTATTATTCAATTTAAAAATACTTTCGAATATATCACCGTTACACCGTAATGTTTGTTGACTTTCGAATTTCAGGGAAATCGGGCCAAATCTGCTAGACAAAATGGCCGCCCCTCGGACGCAAATAGTGTAAACATCTAGTAAATCAAGGTTGTGGACCCTCTAGAGCACTCGGCAAACCTCGACAGATTCTACGCATCTAATCTCGGCTGTATGACGAATTCCGCCATATTGGAACTATTTTAAAGGTCTCGGATGAAAAATGGCTGCGCCCATGGAGATTTCTGTGGAGAGTGTATTATATCAACAAACGTCAAGTTTGGCATTGGGTTTGGGGAATTACCAGGGAATTATATCAAACCAGCAGCCTTGAGACAATATCTCTGCTCGTTTAGTTATATACACTCGACAAAAGACGCCATTTTGGGACTTTTTTGTTAAAGTAAACCAGTAGTCGCATCGCAAATGTATGGGCATAGGTACATATCAATTACTATCATACAGCCGAGGTTAGATGTAGGGTACCGGAATCTGCCGAGGTTTGCCGAGTGCCTCTAGAGGTCACAAGTTTGATCTGATTTCGATGAAACTTGAAATACATGTTTATATTGGTTCCTGTCGATATTCGCACATATCGGATCGTAACTTCCTGAATTATGGCCCTTGATTGAACAAAAAATCACTTTTTTAGTTTAGCTTGTGGTCCCTGTAGAGGTCACAATTTTTATCCGATTTAAAAAAACGTGTGAATATGTCACCATTACACACTAAGATCTTTGTTCCTATTGATAATCGCGGATATCCGAACTTAACTTCCTAGATTATCGCCCCTGATTATTTGAAAAATCGCATTTTTAGCTTGCGGATTCTCTAGAGGTCACAATTTTTTTCCGATTTTAAAAACCGTTTAAATACATCACCATTCCACCATAATGAAGATTAAGTCGTATTTCGGGAAAATCGAAATGAAACTTTGTATGCAAATTGTGTAGAAGTGTGTAATACAAAGGTTGTGGACCCTCTAGAGGTCCCATTTTTTATCCAATTTTGATGAAACTTAAAACATATCTTTATATCCCAAAGATCACATTTCAGGCCATAACTTTCTGGATTTTTGCCCCTGATTGTACAAAAAATCGCATTTGCTTTTAGCTTGTTCTCTATCCATCTGTTGCAAAATGTGGGCGTATCCTGCCTGGCAGCCGCTGGTTATTTGTTGGGATAATTAGTTGCGTAATGGATTTTATTTAACGGGAGTTGATTTCATATACACAGGTAAGTTTATAATAACCAAAGTTAAGTAGTTTGTTCATAATCGAAGAATAACGTTTTAAATTTACGATGGTTCAGACAGTCGACATTTGTGATTGGAATATTTTAGAGTGAATTTAAAATGCTGTATCATGCCATAGATCCATTAAAGCTGCCTTTATTTAAATAGGCTATGTGGCAAATGAAGACAGACCCAAGCAATTAGAGCATTTGCCGGTAATTTCGATAACTCTGTAATATCCCAAACTATTCTTTAGTATAAGTACAGAAATAGAAATGGTGCCATTCATTTGTCGATATATTCATTATTAGCTATATATAATAATAATAACCATTTCTATACACAAAGAACAACTTTTATTGTAAATCAATTTGAAATTCACAGCAAATATGGAATTTTCCGATGACTATGCATAACAATAGATCGCCCTCATTTCTCAGTCAATCAACGTTAGGAATCTTATTAGCCTGTACAGTTTCATGCATACTACGGGCGTAGTAACTGGGGTTCAATTTTGGAGCGAAAATTGCATGGGATTCATGGGCATGAATATTTAATACAAGTTATCATACATGGAGTTCCTGATGCCGTTTGGTGAGTGATTAAACCGTCAATGTAATTGTAAAATACCTTTTTATACGCCCACATTTTCATGTGGACGTATATTGTCTTCGCCCCCGGATATCCGTCCACAATTTGTTTGTGTACACTCTACAGGTTACAATTTTTATCTGATTTTGACGAAACTTGAAATATAGATCTCGGTTCCTTTTGATATTGGCATGTATAGGACCATAACTTCATGGATTATGGCCCCTGATACTCACTGATAGTATGAAAAATCACATATTTAGCTTGTGGACATAATTTTGATCCGATTTTGATGAAACCCAAAGATCTTGGTTCCTTTCAATATTCGCCCATATCAGATCATAACTACCTGAATTATGGCCCTTGATTGTACGAAAACTCGCATTTTGAGCTTTTGGTCCCCAGAGGTCACAATTTTTATCCAATTTGAAAAAAAAAACGTGTGAATATATCACAGTTATACACAAATGATGGTTGAGTTCGAATGTCGTGAAAATTGGACAAAAATTGTACGCAAATAGTGTAAAGATATGGTATATCAAGGTTGTGGACCCTCTAGAGGCCACAGGTTTTATCCTGTGGTTTATAAAGAAGTTAAATGATGTTATTGTTGTTGTTTAAAGAATTAATGTCCATGATATTATGGACAGGTTGAATTAATTAAATTATTTACACTTAATGGGTTGAAAATTGGTAACCAGCGGCTGCCAGGCAGGATACGCCCACATTTTCGAGAGATGGATAGAGAACAAGCTAAAAAGAAAGCGATTTTTCGTACAATCAGGGGCCATAATTCAGGAATTTACGGTCTGATATGCACGAATATCGAAAGGAACCGAGATCTTTAGATTATAAACTTACATTTCAAGTTTCAACAAAATCGGATAAAAATTGTGACCTCTATAGGGTCCACAACCTTGATATAGCATATTTTTACGCTAATTGAGAACGAACGATGGCCATTTTGTCTGTCAATTTTGGGCCGATTTTCACGAAATTGGAACTCAGCTGTCCTTAGGGTGTAACGGTAATATAATAATGCGTTTTTTTAAATAGGATAAAAATTATGACCTCTAATGGGTCCAAAAGCTAAAAACGCGATTTTTCGTACAATCAGGGGCCATAATTCAGTAAGTTACTGTCCGATATGCGCGAATATCGAAAGGATCCGAGATCTTTGGGTTATAAACTTACATTTCAAGATTCAACAAAATCGAATAAAAATTGTGACCTCTATAGGGTCCACAAGCCAAAAACATGATTTTCGTAATCCATGAAATTTCGACCCGATACATGCCAATATCGAAAGCAGCCAAAATTATTTGGAGATACACCTATATTTCAAGTTTTGTTAAAATCGGATAAGAATTGTGACCTGTAGAGTGTCCACAAACAAATTGTGGACGGACGGACGGACGTCCGGACGGACAGGGGCGACGGTATAATACGTCCACATGAAAATGTGGGCGTATAAAAACATAAAATAAAAACGTCTGTGTATATCAAAAGTCACCTTAAAATTATTAGAACCACAATACTCTTCTGACGGAAGAAAACCTTTGGTATATTATTTTCAGTGATTTTCATTTAGAGAACCCTCAACTAAACGTCGCTTTAATTAAAATTGTAATTGTGTTCCATATTATGGTTTTGTGTTACCGTATTACCTATTTCAATTGCTAAATTCTGTTCAAAGAAGAAAAAATTATTCCGTATAGTCAATTGTTTTATTTTATTATGGGATTAAGGAATCAGTCCAGCATTAATTAATACACACCCTGACTGTATATACGTAATTAAGGAATAAACACTCCAAATATGCATTTGGTCACTGTGACGTCACTGGCGCCTAAGGGGATTAAGAGTGTTTTCGATAATTGGTAAAGTCGTTTTTACAGGAGGTCTCTTTTTGCGACTTTGAGTGAAGATTGCTGAATTAATTTTAATCAGATTGGTGTGAACTTGCCCTAAAGTGGATATAGTAGGCCCTAACCATTGGCTATACGTACCGAAAAGTAATGTCAGTCATCTTATGTGCACTTTAAAGATACAATATGGGAGATTAGATAAAGAGCTGGTAGTTCTCACTATAATAGTTAAAAACTAGATAATATAAGGCAATTTGCTGAAAATTTCAGTCAAATTGATCCACCCTAAACCAAGTATTTAGCGATTGAATTTTGGGCCTAGCCGAGATCATCATTACTAAAATCGGTACGATAAAAAACACATAGTCTTGATTATATTGTTGTCGCCCCCGTCCGTCCGTTAGTTTGTCGGTTCGGCGTCCACAATTGCTTGTGGACGCTCAAGAGGCTTATGTTAATATTCAAATGACTTTAAATTTATACACAGTGTTTAAGGTCATGAGACGAAGAAGTCTATTGATTTTCAGCTAGAGTTATGGCCCTTGATCACTTCAACATATCTTGTGGACGCTCTAGAGGCCAAAGTTAATATTCAATTGATACACAGTGTTTAAGGTCATGAGACGAAGAATCCTATTGATTTTCAGCGATTTCCGATAATTACTGTCAGAGTTATGGCCCTTGATCACTTTGAAAAATCTTGTGACACTCTGGAGGCTAAAGTTATCATCCGATTGACTTCAGATTGATACACAGAGTTTAAGGTCTTGAAACGAACAAGTACATTGATTTTCAATGAATTTTGATAACTGAACAGCTAAATCCATGATATTAAATGTTTTGTATACTAAACGTTAGCATGGGGCAGAAGTTTATAAAAACCAAACAAATTGAAATGATTTTCTGATAATTACTTAATGAGTTGTTACTCTTAATCAGATTTTAGAGTATTATAAATGTTTCATTACTGAAAAAAGTAAAAGTATGCGACAACTCTTGTTGACTGCTGTGGGCGTATGTTTTGTTGCCTGGCAAGCTATCTTTTGATTTAATCAAAAGCAGCAGACCGATCTCATCGAGAGTTGATTATGGTCTGGATAAGTTAATTAATGTCTTGTTAATAATTTAGATAACATTTCAGGCCTAAGGAAAGACCTGCAATTGGCAGATTTAGCTCTTGCATAATGTATGTTTAATTCTTATTTCTTCATTTAAAGTCGTATATCGACATTTGTATACTAAAATTAACATTTGTGTCTTAAAATCAATATTTGTTTTACAAATTAGACATTAATATTTTACAAATCAGACATTCATTTTACAAATCAGACATTTGTCATATCAGATTTGGAAATTTGTATGTTTGTTTAATTTAATTGTATTTTAATATAATGATAAAATTTCTTTTAGAAAATCATAAAAAGTACATTTACATTTCATCAGAAACACAACAAAAAACAAATCTCAAAAACAGATTTTCAAATACAAATCTCCAAATACCAATCTTACAAAGCCATTTTCAAAAAACATTTCTCCAAATTCCTCTAACCTTAATGTTATGACGACAAAGGACGCTTGTGGTGGGCTGGCAAACGGCTCTACCAAAAGATGGAACAGTAGCTGCACTATACTGTTTTATGATAATGTACATTCTTCCTTGTAATTCAAACTCTTTATATAATTATAATTTTAAACAATTTCACTAAATACAGCATTGGTTATTTCAATAACCGTTCATGTCGTTTAAATATTTTCTTTTATGTAAATATAATTTGTTAATTTTCGAAAATAAATTTTATCATTATATTAAAATACAATTAAATTAAACAAAGGTACAATTTACAGATCTGATATGACAAATATTAATTTGTAAAACAAATATTGATTTGTTAAATAAATATTGATTTTAAGATACAAATATTAAGATACAAATATTGAATTTAGTATACAAATGTCGAAATACGACAACAAATGAAGAAATAAGAATTCAGGACCATGAATTAAGAACTGAGAGTTAAGAACACCAAATAAAGAGCTGTTTGGTCTTCCATACTATTTTCACTAAATGATGACAGTCAATGATACAGAATTGTAAACTTTACAAGAAAGTTTTATAATTAAAATTATTATGTTTTTTATTTAGAGTGACACTTCATTATCAGATTGTTTTCGTAATTTTTTTCAACAGTTGAAACAAACAAGAAATAAAGGTAATGAACTTTAAAATTATATTTTAATATGTAAAACAATGTATTGGTTGGCTGATTTAATGTTAGAAATATTGGTATTCAGTAATAATTTACTCTTCCAAACTGGATAGGATAAACAAGACTCATGGAAGTGCTCGTAATTAAGCATACATTTACTTTCATTCAGCATTCACTAATGAATTATTTTTTTCATTTAATCTTTGGAGGCCATCCAGCAGATAGAGGCCCTTGGGCTGCAACCCCTAAAGTCCATGCCTTAATCTGGTAAAAATTGTATTGTAAATTTCCATGCTGTACAATGAACATTGTAAGCATGAGTAACAGAGGCTAATAGTGATAAATACTTAACAAATTGTGTACCTCTGCATCAAATCTAACAAACCCCAGTACATATGAAATTTTGTGTCATGTATGATTTCTTCTTATTTTAGACAGTAAAGATGTACTTCGGGAAGAAATCGACAAATTAAAAGAGGTAGATGTAGATGTTCTAAATAAATTATTAAATTGATTTATGTTGCAAGTAAAATGGTATTTAAAGCAAAATTAATGACCTTTCTATGATATGCGGACAATATATTGTAATGTGATCATTTATTGTTGTCACCCCTGGGTCTGTTCCTGGTCCAAAATTTCTTGTGAACACTGCTAACATTATAATTATTTAGAATTATACCTAGCATTAAATCTTAAAAGTAATATTTAGAACATATGTGATTTCTTCACAAAAAAGAGTTACCACATAAAGTTTATTTGCTGTTAAGCATTTATGTACATGTAAAAAATTGTAAATATAACTAGTTACAAAACACATGTACTGAGTTATTCAAAAGAAACATATCTTGCATTTGAATTTTTTCAAATTTTCACATATATATATATCCTTCTGTAGAAGCTATTGTCAATATTAATTTCTTGTATATTAGTAAATTTTACTCAAGATTAAATATGTGAAATGGCTTCTGTATAGACTGTAATGTGGAGTTGTAAACCTCAATGATACTAATAATTTATTTCTAAATTATTTTATTCTATTGTATGTTGGGGGGTTGGATGGCTGAATGGTTAGAACGTGCTGTATCAGAAGGCCTGTTATTGAGTCAACTGGCGTGGTTTCGAATCCCCGGTTGTACGTGACAAGGAGTAGGGTAGCCTGTCCAACCTCTTGGGTTTTCTCTGGGTCCTCCGGTTTCCTCCCACTGCTAAAGACCCCTACGCACAAGCGAATTATTGAAATAAAGTTAAACCATATGTTAGTCCCGAAATGACCTAGTTTGTGTCGAGTGGACGTTAAACCCCATTTCTCCCACTCCCTCTATTGTATGTTACTATGTTTGTATGTAAACCAAAGAAATGCTTCTGTGGCCTTTTCAGATTCCTTGTTATTTTTGTATGAAATGTCTGAGAATAGCATTATTATTGTTTAAACTTAAGCTTTAACACATTATATATGCATGACTTATTATTTAAATGGAGACTGATTAGAGCATGACTCAAATGGGCTATAACTATGATATGGTATGAAGAAAATTCCCTAAAATAAAATTGCTTTGAACGGAGATCATGCTAGCTAGATCTTCAATATTTATTAATTATACATACTTTAATTAATTGTCATTAAACTATTTGTGGCTTTCAATTTGTGTGCAGATATTATATGTCACACATTAGGTTAGGCTGTCTATGTTATTTACTGTACTAGTACATCATATGCAGGCACACATCATCTTGCTGTCTTTGATATTTACTACTACATCATATGTAGGCACTTAACCCTCCCTGTTGTATTCAAAAGGTTGAAGTGCTCTTTTATTACCTTTTGAGGTCTTATCTTTCATGCTTGTGGCAAAAATCATATTGGATAAAAGAAAATGTTTTGTGATGTTGAATGTGTCAGCTAGTTAACCTTAATAGAAAACCTTTTTAAACATAAGGTGACTGATTTTGTTTTATAATGTTATTTATGTTAATTATTCAACTTCAAGACTAATTATATATAATTACAAACTGAATAAACATTTCCAGGTATTCTATTCTGACTCCTTGTAATAGCAGATTCAAAGGGGAAAATTGGAGTATTCCAAGGCACAGAAAAAAATTATGAACTATATGAATAAGTTAGTGAGAATATAAATTTGATGTCTATAATCATGATAACCATCACATTTCAGCCGTATTGTCTCACAAACACTTCTAGTCAAAAATCAGAGGTGGGTTTTCATTGTGTCTTTTAAAGTACATCAGTTAAGTACCCTTCATTATTATTCCATCCAAGATACTTTGTGATATTGGCCTGCATTTTAAATACATAAGATTTATCTATTTGTGATGTTGGGAACCAAAATATTATGTAATTTATTTGTTAGTATATGAAAATGTATTAAGTTGTTATTTGTAGTTATTAATGTTTTATTTGAATAAAAAGTCTAAAAGAGTCATTTTTATACGCCAGCATTTTCATGTGGACATATATAGTCGTCGCCCCTGTCCGTCCGTCCACAATTGTTTGTGGACACTCTACAGGTCATAATTTTTATCCGATTTCAACAAAACTTGAAATATAGGTTTATCTCCCTAAGATTTTGATTCCTTTCGATATTGGCATGTATCAGACCGTAACTTCATGGATTATGGCCCCTGATTGTTCGCAAAATTGTATTTTTAGCTTGTGGACCCTATAGAGGTCACAATTTTTATCTGATTATGTTGAAATTTGAAATGTAAGTTTATTACCCAAAGATCTTAGTTCCTTTCAATATTCGCGCATATCGGATCGTAACGTCCTGAATTATGGCCCCAGATTGTACGAAAAATCAAGTTTTTTTAGCTTGTGGACCCTATGTAAGTCACAATTTTATTCCAATTTAAAAAAAACATTTGAATATATCACTGTTACACCTAAATGACGGTTGAGTTCGAATTTCGTGAAAATCGGACCAAAACTGTCGGACAAAATGGCCGCCCCTCGAACGCAAACAGTGTAAGAATACGGTATATCAAGGTTGTGGACCCTCTGGAGCTCACAATTTTGATCGGATTTTGATGAAACTTGAAATACATGTTTATAACCCAAAGATCTTGCACATATCGGATGGTAACTTCTTGAATTATGGCCCTTGACTGTACGAAAAATTGCATTTTTAGCTTGTGGTCCCTCTAGAGGTCACAATTTTTATCCAATTTAAAAAAATGTTTGAATATATCACCATTAAACCCTAATGATGGTTGAGTTTGAATTTGTGAAAATCGGACCAAAACTGCCATACAAAATGACTGCCTCTCGTACGCTAATAGTGTAAAAATATGGTATATCAAGGTTGTGGACGCTCTAGAGGTCACAATTTTCACCCAATTTTGATGATACTTGAAATGCATGTTTATAACCCAAAGATCTTGGTTCCTTTCGATATTCGCGCATATCGGATCGTAACTTCCTGAATTATGGTCCCTGATTGTACGAAAAATCGTGTTTCTAGTTTGTGGTCCCTCAAGAGGTCACAATTATTATCTGATTTAAAAAAACGTTCGAATATGTCACCGTTACACCGTATTGTTGGTTGAGTTCGAATTTCGTGAAAATCGGACGAAAACTGCCAGACAAAATGGCCGTCCCTCTACGCAAATAGTGTAATCATATGGTATATCAAGGTTGTGGACCATCTAGAGGCCACAATTTTGATCCGATTTTAATGAAACTTGAAATTCATGTTTATAACCCTAAGAACTAGAGGCCAAAAGTTAATATCTGATTGACTTTAAATTTATACACAGTATTGAAGGTCATGAGACAAAGAAGCCTATTGATTTTCAGCGATTTCCGATAATTACTGCCAGAGTTATTGTTATGGAATGCTGAATATTCATAAGGTTTCAACCTCTCATGACCCCAATACTTCCCATGTGGGCGTATCAAAAAGGCTGCAGAATGTTAACTATTGATAGGGTTCGTCCTCTCATGGCCACAATGTTTCACACAAAATTAGAAATGAATCCGCTGAAAACTGTAGCCTATAAAGCGTTCACAAAGTTTTCAGCAAACGGGATAACTCTGGAAGAGAAGGTCGTAGAACGCTGAAAATCACAAGGGTTCATCCTCTCATGACTAAAATGCTTCACACTAAATTGGAAAAGAATCTCCAACCTCTATCGTGTTCAGAAACCAATTGTTGAAGGACGGACCGGTGGACAGTGTATACGTCCAAACTGTGAGCGTATAAAAATGTTTTTAGAATTTAATTTGCAGAAGAAAAAAAAGTTAATATTGAGAGCTATTTCTTGCTTCCATGTCATCCAAAACTGCTGAACAGATTGCTGTTGTGTAAGGAACCAAAGAAACTGTCAAACCTACAACAATTTGAAAGATTACTCTTTATTATCAACAAAATCAGATTCACTAATGCTGGTAAAATAGAAGACACGTACATTACATACATAAAACAGTTACATAAATATGGCACTAAATATATATAGTACAATAATACTTTAACAAATCAATATGGCACCAATCACAAATTAGAAGAACTTGGAATGATTACATGTACAAAATTTGAAAGAAGTCAAATTTCCTACAACTCTAAAAAAGATGATTATAAGCAGAGAAAATTATACCAGTTTTAAGAAAAAAATACTTGCTGAGAGAATAGAAAACGTCAACAAATTTCAGAAAATACAGACTTGGCTACAAATTCAATATTAATGAAAAATAATTTTGTTTCTAAATAAGTCATTAAAATAATATGACAATTGAAAATATTTTTTTTTTCCTGAAAAATGACAAGATTTCATATAAGTTATAAGAAACAGGGTTATGCTGAAGCTGATGGACTGACTTTTTCTGGTGCCTTGGCTGTGCAATAATATTTTTTATGTGCAAGAAAAGACGAGAGATAGGTAAAACTTATATCACAGTTACGACAGTATTTAGGACCTTGAGGTAAGGAAGGAGCAGAAAGTAGAACAGGTGAAGATAATGAAGATGTATTTGGAATGATTAAATATGGTAACATATTTTCTGATGTTGACCCCACATCACTATTGCACATCTCTGAAGAGGAGTCTACACTCTTTGGTCTTGTTGGAGATTCCTTGGGTTTTTTAGCAGATGGACTTGATATTATTTCTTTAGCTTCTAGTTTTATAACTGGAAGACTTTCTGTAGCACTACTTTCCTTAGTTTCTTCTGACAAAGTCTCAGTCTTTTTGATGGCAAGTTCATAATCCTTATCCATCACTTCTTGTTTGATAGGAATAGGTCTAGGTGATGGTGGGGTAGGTGATGGTGTTGAGTTAGGATCTGTGTTCTCCTGCCCGCTATCATTAACATCATCATGTTGAGCCTGATGACAAGCCAGATCTTTAACCGTTTTACCAATAAAATCACACTGTTCACATTCTAGTTTAGCTTTAGTACATGTAGCAGAAACACTGTGAGTTTTCATGTGCACACTGAGATAGTTTGAGTTGGCAAACGTTTCACCGCACACACTGCATTGCTGAATCTGTAAACCCATGTTTTCACTTTTCTCAAATGATTTGCGTGATCTCCTGCGTTTGTAAGGTTCATTCTTGATGCGCAAGAGTTCTGATTCTAAATCGAGATGAGAAGCTGCTACATTGTGTCCATTAGAATCAATAGGAACTAATGGAGGCTCTCTGTATTCTAACATATTGTCGTCTGTGAATTCTTCACCATTATCTATATGTGTTTTTCCATGCATACGCATTCCTCTTATAGTATTTCCTCTGTAACCACATATTGTACATCGGAAGGATCGAGTAGGCGCATGAACTTTCATATGATCTGTCATGCGTGTTTCTGTTTGGGTCACATAATCACAATGAGCACATCGCAGAAAAGACAATTTGGATTTGTCAAAGGAGCAGATGTGGAGTTTTAGCAAACGCAAGGAAGCAAATGTATTATCACATTGGTCACATTGCATATCAATTGATTCTGATTCTGGTGATGACTTAACTGGATTCTCTTCTGTTATGTCACCTACTGATGGTGGTTGAGCAACCATGGTCTTTTCACTGTCCTTCCCATGTGGACAATAAAATTCTTTATGGGCCGATAAAGTGCTTACTGAACTGAATTTAATTTTACATGGAACACAAAAATATCTGTAAGTGATGTCATCAATTATATCATTAGTTGTTGTTTTATCAGGGGAACTGCTGGTTGAAGTTGTGTTAGTTCTCTTTGGTGACTTTAATTCTTGTTTAACCTCAGGGACAGCAGGCGGTGGAGACTGTTGTTGGGCAACTTTTTTACCTGAACAGTAATGTTGTCTATGTATAAGATAGTTTTCTCGTTTATAAAACACAATATTACAATCGGTACATTTACTCACACCAGGATTAGGCAGACTCATAGCACTAGTCGATGGATTTAATGAAAATGGGAAGAAGTTTGGCATGACATTGGACAGAAAAGCTGGTGGTGGTAAGGGAGGAATCATGGTGCTTGGTATACTAGCAGTTCTTGGTGGAGAAGAAGACTTGGAAGAACGATCACTTAAAGGTGAGATTCTTTCTTTATTTGGACTTTCACTTTTTAAAGGACTCTTCAGTGTTTTAGGTTTGACCTTCAGAGGTTTGGGTGTGGTCAGATCCAAGGGTTGATCTTCGGTAGTACTAGCAGGAGATACAGATCTATCTTTATCATGACAATGAGCAGCTTTAATATTTGGTAACTCTGGTAGTCGTGGTACTGACACAACAGGTTGAACTAATAAAGTTGGCATCATGTTGGGTTTGCCATCGGCACCAACCACTGGTGTATATATAACAGTTTGTTCTGCTAATACAGGACTGGTACCATTGATTGAAGCCGGTAGCCTTGTTTTAGAAGACATCATGAGTTGATTTCTGGGAGACAGCATTCTATGTTGGTCTGCAGATGATATTTGTGGAGAAACAGATGACTGAGAAGAATCATCTGAATTTTGTTCTGTTCTAATTTCCAGGTTCTTCAGAGGTTTTGGTGCTCTTTGAGAACAGTAGAATTCTTTATGAGCTTTAAATGTATTAAAGGAAGAGAACTGTATGTTACATTGTTGACAGTAAGTGTCAGCAGACACCATAGATGGACTTGGTTGTGGAGACTGAGGACTCTGGGGAGGACGATTATGAATCCTACGATGTCGATTGAGACTGGAGATTTTATCAGCTGTATAAGAACAGGAGGTACACTGATAGGAGATTTGTTCTGGTTTTGGAAACTTGGCCATTGGAGTTTCAATTGAGGAATTAGAATCGTCATCTGCTGATCGTTTCATTGCCGTTGATTCCTTTTCTACTTCATCTTCATTTTCTTCAGGAACCGTTTCTAGTTTGATTGGTTCTGTGGAATCTGAAATTACAATAAATGTAAAGGGACATGAAGAAAAACTTCTGTTTTGTAAAATAAAGGTCAATGCTGTAAAAAGCTGTGAATAACACTTAAAGATACATTATGGGAGATTAGGTAAAGAGCTGGCAGTTCTCACTATAATAGTTAAAGATACATTCCCGGGTACAAATTGGGTGATTTGATGATATATTTGTACTAAAAAAATATTCACACTAATTAATTTATCATAATTTTGCTTCAAATCCTTCTCAAAACATTGCAATTGTCAGGGAATAGCCGGCTATAAAAAATCGGTCATGTTTGTGTCACGTGACAACGGGTGCAAATCGGAGGAGAATTCATTGCATACACAAGACGATGTTGCCTTTATCGAAGCCTAATTAAATTCTCGGATTATCCACTGCCCGTGTCTTTTTCCGTGATTTTTATCTCAGAAAGTGTTGTACGTCTATCTCTTCAAAAAGTTTATCAACATGTACATCAAGCGCTCAATCTCTGCGTGCAACCTTAGACATCACGCGTGCAGACACTCCTAATCGCCGGGCTGTCGATTAGGGAAACCCGTACATTTTTGTCCTGTATGCGCTCCATGAGTGTTTTTCAGGGAATTTAGTATTTTTCTGGTAAGATTGGATATTTCTACTTTCCATATATACCAAAATTGCCATACTTTTATTGGAAATAACCACCCGATAAATACTTTTCTGGGAACGTAGCTTTAAAGACTAGATAATGTAAAGGCAATTTGCTGAATATTTCAGTCAAATTAATCCAGTACGAACCGAGAATTAAGCAATTGAAATTTTGGTCTAGCCTCGATCATCATTACTAAAGTCGGTACAATAAAAAACAGTCTCGATTATCCATTTCATGATTAAATCATGAATGAAAGTTGAGCAGCAAATCGGATCATAATCCAGTAAATATCACAAACTAGTGATGGCATCAAGAATTGATTATGGTCTGGATAAGTTAATTAATGTCTAATTAATAATTTAGATAACATTTCAGGTCTAAAGAAAGACCTGCAATAGGCAGATTTATCTCTTGCATAATGTATATAATTTATTCAGAAATTCTTATATTCAAACATGAAGGGAATAATATGAATAAATTGGATACAGTAACAAGCAACTTAATGCTTATATAAAACTGCTTCCAGAAAAGGGTGATATGAATATATGTATGTTTAATTGAAGAATAATGTCTATCTCTGAAGTTTTATGTGTAACAATACTTTATCAAATATCAGTGCCACAATTACCTTCTTGATGAGATTCTTGCGGAGGTTGTGACGGAGGTTTTCTTGAACAGTAAAAAGCAATATGGCCTTCTAAAGTTCTTGGACTACTAAACCTCACCCCACAAAATGGACAACCAAAGATCAAGGCAGCTAGAAGAAAGATAAGGCACAAAATATAAATATTTAATAGCATTTACAGATAAAATACAACAATCAGTTTTAATATCTTTCTAACCTGGTCCACCTCTTATCACAACATATTATTTTCACTATAGATGTTGTTTATTTTAGGTAGACTGCAGTTATTATATTTGATAATAAAGATAACAAACTATGATAGTGTATCTAAAAATATAAATTAATGTCACAATCATTGGATGTGGAGAGATAGAGTGGGTGGGTGTCAAATCTTTTGTCAGGCATTATCCGAACCCAGAGTAGAAATATTTCATCAGAAAACTACTCAGCATTCATATCATTGGCTAGTTATTTCAAATAGGACCATTTCTTTCAATGATAGAAAAATTAATGGTGATTAGTTTTGATCAATTTTGCGTGGATAGCGACACTACAGTCTACTCATATTTCGAATTTCAAATGTCAAGGTTTCCTTTACGTGCACGCAAATGTGTACATGGGACCTCAGTTTTTCATTCCATCTGAACGACTAGATGCTGTTCCTTACAAGAAAGTAAAGACAAAATAAACTAACCATGACCTGATGTAGATGTAGGTTTAGATGATGGTTGTTTTATTATAGGTTGTGATACTTTAGATATAACAGGACTAGAACATTGTTCATCCTGACTATTACAATCAGGTGATTTATTTCTTATCTCATCCTCCCCTTCTACATGAAACGTAAAGGAAGCAATCAGCTCAGATCCAATATCTAAATCAGATTCCACTTGACACCATATTCTTCCACCTTAAAACAAAGAATAAAACAAAACTTAGAAGACAAAAAATAAAAAATAACAAACTTAGAATATAATAAAATAAAACAGAAATTATTAAATCTGAACATTGCATATCATAATACAATTAAACAAAGATATACAAGCCTTATTCAAAACCTGAAAAAAAACTTGTTTACATATTACTGAATTTATTATAGAGTTTTAGCCCTTTGTACTGCAGAATGTTCTAGTTGTTGGGCTTCTCTCCTTTTATTCACTACACATTATTTATTTTTACCTATTTATTTCTATTTCTAAATTGTTAATTCTAACCATTTTTAAGGGTGTTTTCTGAAATTCTATTCAGATTACCACTCATATAATATCAAGTAATATCATTCACATAGCCATTGGAGCTGAGATTGGCGCCCTATGATCATTCAGCAGATGACCACACCGCCAAGACTGGTCACATCATTTATTTTCCTTATTTCTTGTATTCATTCCTAAGTTTTTCTCTGTTTTATTTTGTATTATTACAGGCCCAGGACTGTACACTGCAGCGAATGTTTACAGCTGTCAACCTCCATTTACTTGATTTGATATATACTGTACCTTTGTTTAATACTTGTAATGTCTTGTAGTTTGTATGTATTGTTTGCATGTTCAGCTTATGGGTTTTGTTTTTGTATGGTGCGTTCCTCCTGCACTTCCTAATAAACGTTCAGATGAAATGACTTTAATCATTATAAAAAAAGAAATGACTTACCATTAAGATGAACTTGTGTATTACAACAAGATGAATCTGTTGACTGACGTAATAAAGTTAACCAAGCACCAGATTGATTAGATACATTAACAAAGGCTTGTTTACCTCCACTACTTGTAAACTGAAATTAGTCCATCATATAACAAATGTTTACTTCAATGTGGGCAGTTAGGGATTCAGTAAATTTATTGAGTTCTTGAATGAACTGAAGACTGTTAATGTTGCAATTTTTGAGTGGGTTTATAGTGTTGGTGATAGAAGTAGTATAAAAATGTAGCAAACTCGAAATTTTTATGAAAATGAATGATTTTTCAAGGAAAATTCAAGAGCAGTTTTTAGGAAGTCGCAGACATAGATCCACTGTTTCCATCACAATTTCACTTGTGGTCTGAAACCACAAACAAATTAAGATAACCTTTATTTATATAAAAAACCTATCTTAATAATCACATCGCAACCAGCACACTAAATTTATTGGCTCATTTTCGTGAGAGTTACTTTTTCTGTGGGTGCAGAGAAAAATTTGAGTATGTTAGATGGAAAGTAAAGGTAACTACATTACATTCATGTTACGAGGACTGGCTGAAATGTTCTAAGCCTATCTGTGAAAGACCTGTACCAAGTTTTCTTCAGCCACCCTAAAAAAGTTGTTCACAGCTTACTTGACATTATCATTACTAGGAAAATGACGACCAGCTAGTTCCTTTTTCATGTTTGGAAACAGGTCTCTTCCATTGTTACAAATCTGGCCATATCAGGATTCGGCTTAAAATGGTGCAGATAGTCACGGGGCGTCAGGAATCTGAGACGTTTCTGATCTGCTGTCAAGGGCTTTGGCACACATCTTTCAGAAACTTTTGTCATTCCTAACTCGGTGATAATGAGCACAACCCTCTCATGAGATATGTCCACAACCCTAGCAATATATCGAGTGGTCAATTGTCAATCAGCCATCAACATGTCATGAACCCGGGTAATGTTTTCTTGAATGGTTGCTGTTGTTGGCCTTCCAGGAAGCGGGTCATCGTCAAGGCTCTCTCTGCCATGCTTAAATTCCGCAGCCCACTTCTTTTCTGTGGAAAAGGAAGAGGCATCATCCCCTAAAGTGGAGACCATGTCGACATGTATCTGTGTTGGTGGGTTAGTCCTTTCAGTTGAAGGTAGTTGATGACTGCCTTCAGCCAGTTTTGTCCATTTCTGGTGATTTCAATGGGTAGGTTCACAACATGGTATGGTACGAAGGCTATAATAACACTACAGTTGTAGTTCTTATGTCTATGATTCATTCAATTCAATGATTGTACATGTTGGTGGCAAAAGTTTGTTTCAACCCAATTGGTCTATCCTTATCAGGCTTAGAACTTTTCAGCCAGCCCTTGTAAATAAAGATCATCTGATTTTAACAGATCAACAAATTGCAGTTTGATGGAGATAGTAGATACCCTACCCTACTGTTATGAGACATAACACGCCAACTATTTGAATTGGAAATTGAAAGATATTGCAGTGTAAATCATGTGGGAATCTCCAAATTAAGACACTTTCATGTGAAGACTTACCTGTAAAATCAGATCTCCCATTTGAACTTTTTCAGTTGAGATTATGTCTCCTTGAAATGGACCGAGACTACTACCCTTTGGTAGAGGGATACCGCTACACACCACCCAACCATAGGTAGGATTGTTATCGACATTAACCTCAATACGTTTTAGATGTAACACATCACTAGGTAGTTGGAGATGACTTAATAGTCCTTCCATCATACAATTTGGTGATGTTGGTACCACTTGATTACAGTTATCAGATGTCGCATTGTTTTGTAAGCTTGCTTCACGATAACCATTTTGAATTTCATAATCAGGTGGTATAGAATCAGTGTCGATCTCTTGCTTGATTTTGATTCTTTTTGGTTTGGGCTCTTGATCATCTTCATCATCCTCACCATTATCACTTCTTGCATCATCCTGATGCTTAGTTTCTTTATCTGTGACATCATCACTATCATTGTCTGAAGTACATAAAATAAACATATTTTTATGTTTTTAAAAAGAAAGAACCATGTATCAGTCTATTATCATTTATATTCATTGTTCAATATTTAACCAGGGAGTTATAGATTGATATACTCCCTGATTCAACATTATGTCCATCAACATTTAACTTACATCTATCTAGCAGGTTGTTCATCAGGTCTTAAATACCCCTGAAAACGATGGCAAAAGATAGGTTGCCAGGCAATGAAACATACGCCCACAGCAGCTAAATCATCCAGGCAGTCAACAAGAGTTGTCGCATATTTTTACTTTTGTCGGTAATGAAACATTTATAATACACTAAAATCTGATTAAGAGTAACAACTAATAAGTAAATAAAATCATTAGAATTTGTTTGTCCCATGCTAAAGTTTAGTATACAAAACATTTAATATCATGGATTTAGCTGTTCAAGAATCATTGAAAACCAATATACTTGTTCGTTTCAAGACCTTAAAGGGACAATAACACTCTTGCTGGCTTGACAGCCCCAGAAAATAAATAATAGCCTTATTCTAAGTATTAGATGTTTAAGTGTCCTACCTGTTGTGTAAATTATCCATTACATCCTATTTTACTTGTCCCGAGGGCTCGAAAATATTTTTAAATCCAAGTCACAGTTGAAAAGGTTTACGTTAGGCTCTTCAAATCATATAGTTGAACTTTCCAATTTTTTAAATTAAGTGTGTTAAGATGAAATTTGTATCATCAATTAATTGGAATATTGTAAAATAGTACAATTTGTTGACCAGAATAAAGATTGGGACATATTATTCAGTTACAACAAGAGTGGTATTGAGCCTTTAAACTCTGTCAGTCTGTATATCAATCTTAAGTCAATCAAAGTGATCTAACAGGCTTCATCGTCTATTAACTTTAACCTCTAGAGCATCCACAAGATTTTTCAAAGTGATCAAGGGACATAACTCTGGCAGTAATTATCGGACATCATTGAAAAATCAATAGGCTTCTTCGTCTCATAACCTTAAACACTGTGAATAAATTTAAAGTCAATCAGATATTAACTTTAGCCTCTAGAGTGTCCACAAGATTTTTTCAAAGTTATCAATGGCCATAATTAACTCTGACAGTAATTATCTGAAATCACTGAAAATCAACAGGCTTCTTCATCTCATGGCCTTGTATACTGTGTATAAATTTAAAGTCAATCGGGTATTAAATTTAGTCTCTAGAGCGTCCACAACTGAAAAGCTTGTGAGCACAATAGAAATCTGATTTCTTGAAGACATAAAGGATCTTCGTTAAATTTGTTCAACATCCAAGTTACTGGGAACCGTGTTAGTTTATATAGACATGTACCTAAAGTGTTAAAGTTTAAATGAATACTTATTATTTAAAGTCATGATGCGCCATTGGCAACTGTCACTAAATAACAAATTTCTCACTGCTTAATCCATACTAATATGTACTCAGATTGATTATTTAACATTTAATTAAGAAAACAAAATCAAAATACCAACGTTAGATTCAATCAGATTTAAAACAGGCCTATCATTAAATTTTCATGGACAACAAAATGTTGGCTGGCTTATTGGAGCAAAGTCTTCTTCAAGCAGAAGAACTCTTATACTTGTCGTTTGACAGGAGTCGATTTTTGTTTAGTTATGCCCAACACTTTGTCAGTAACAACGAAAATTATTTTATCCAAAGACCTTTAGCAACCATGGATGTAAAAACAATAATGAAAATATTAATATGATTTGATAAACTATTGTAAATTAAGAATTCATTACAACATCCCCATTTTTATTAAAAAAGAAAATTTTTTATCTTAGTGAAATCTTTTTTTTAGGAAATGTATTCATCTAAACATATCATTTACACAGACATTATAAGTTAATAGAGGGTTTCATTTCATGGTTCACGTACCATAGATTCAAAAAAAGGTTTCTGAGGAAAATATATCAAAAGCTTTGATCAAGTTTTCATATTGCATTAAATATCACGTATGAAATTTCATATAAGATATCAATCTCGAAGTGATTTTAAATTCTATAATGGGATGCATAGTGAAATATGTGTAAAAGATGTTTTCTTTGATAAGATAATAGCAGACGTAAATGTATTTGAGATTATAAAGGAAATAAGCGGAAGAGACAGACACAAATACATCTGCTTGTGCAAGATATCAATTATAAATGTGAAATGCCCTCCTTTTTACTAAGTGCCCTTAACTAACATGTACCAGTGTTTTTTTTTATAGTGTTTTATTTTCTGTGTATAATTATTATTATGAAGCATAATCTGAAACCTAATAAAGGTAACATATTGCACAGGATAGCAACCATGAATCGCTTTGTTATCATATTATAAAATGGACTTCATCATCAAGATGTCTTTATTATAACAGTAAATGTATATTAAGTTGTTAACATAATGAGTGGCAATTAACATGGAGCAGTCCATAAATTTGGTCACATTGTGAACCTTTATGTAAATAAAAGGGTAATAAATGACGTAATTATTAGAAATGGTTGTAATTGTTATTCATCACTATATTCGAAGCAACAGATGACGATTTTTGTTGTTAAAGCATTAACAATTTACTACAAAGTGAGCAATAAGTAACATTAATTGTTGAAATTCAATCGGTTTCTTTGTTTCACTAATTTTGGCAATGTACATAAGGGGCTATACTATAAACAGGAAAACACCGAAAAACAACCGGAAAACACCATGTTATACTGAATACCGAAATACACCGGAAAAACACTAAATATCGGAAAACACCCTAAATAGGTAACCCGTAGCCTGGTCCTCTGGAAAACACCGGAAAAACCTAACCCTAACCCTAGTCCTCTGGAAAATCCCGGAAAAACCTAACCATACCCCCCCCCCCCCCCCCCGCACACATAGGACCATGTTCCGGGTTACCTATTTAGGGTGTTTTCCGGTACTGGTATTTAGGGTGTTTTCCGGTATTTAATGGTTTTCCGGTATTCAGTATAACATGGTGTTTTCCGGTATATAGTACTGCCGTATATAAGTTACAAAACAGATCGAATGATATAACTAATGTAAACAACATGTGTATATTTTAAAAGTCTGAGAATGCTTTGTGAACTCGGGGCCAGATAAATGTAGTGTTTTAGAGTTTTCACAAGAAATTTTGAATGACGGACAGGAGAAGGGTGATGGCAATGTTGGTGTATAAAAACTAGGTCCATTTTTAAACACAGACCTACAAAAGTGACTTACAAAGAGCTCAAATATTTGGTTGGCTATCCTAAGTTTTTTAATAAAATTCACTGATTGTTGTATAGATATATCTTAATTTAAACTTGATAAACATGATGTCACTTTATCTAGAGATCATATGTACAAATGAAACATATTAAAATGGCAGGAGGCAACATTAGTTTTTTAAAAAGAAATATTTAACGATGATGAGAAGTGATAAACAGGAAATACATCTAGAGAAACATTTTTTTAAACCATGTTTTAATGGTCCTCTACAATATGGCTATTTTATCAACATAAATAAAAAGTGTTCACAGGAAATAAAATCATTAATTTTATCAAAACTCCTTTTCTATCTATCACATGATATGATAAATGATGGCAGATTTTCAACTACAAAAATATATATTCTTATCGTTGCAATTTTTTTTTCATTTTTTTTTTTTATAAGAGATACTTTCATTTTGAGATATTTTAACTGCCAAGTGTATTCGTTCTTTAAGAGTAATTTTATCTCAGAATAACTGGTAGTAAGATAGGAGAGAAATGAAATAATCAGGAAGACTGTGTGATAAGGCAACCTGTGTGTATGTCATATCTTATAAAACCGCCAGCCTATCACTGCAATATGATCGCTTTATATGATACCATTGTTAAGACTTTCAATTAAAGCTTATCAGGATGGGCAGGGCTTGTTTGCTAATCTCACTGACTCATAATGGTTGTTTTTATCTTATCCTACCTAGCCAGAATTCATGACTCTTATCTCCAACTTTATCTTGCAACTTCTCTGATAAGAGGTTTCCATTTTCTTTGCCCAGTGAACTTTTAAGAAGTGGTTATTATATGATGGAGTTTTCCTTGCCAATGCAATAAATTATTAGAATTTATTTATTCAAATATGAATTAAATATATTAGGAGAAGCCTAATGGTTTAATATGAAATTATAATGAAGTCATTATTATAACTTGGACGTTAAGTGATATAAGGTCTGCTATTATATGGGTTATGCATAATGTGTATTATTATTAAAGAGATTATCATTTTCAACACAAAAGTATATGTTCTTATGTTTACACACTATAATATTCAGTAATACTAGACTTTTGCATGCATGTTGAATGAATTCTTTAGAATTCAGTCAGAAACCACATTAAAATGTATACGACTGATGAAAAGAATCTTACAACATCTTGGTGTCTAAGTGCATTTGCAGACTTGTCTTAAATTTTGCACACAATCTAATTTGGACTAGATTGAGCTGTATAGTATAGTCAAATCAAGTCAAATTAACGGCCACCTAACAGAGAGTATCTCTTTAAAGCTATATTGGGGTAAATTGGTATTAGTGTATTATGCTTAATAAACATAATAATTATTTGAATATAATTTAATCATGATCATAAAGATATGGTCATCAGCAGAATATATGGCTGTGTTATATATAATATATAGGTATAATAATTAATCTTATCATTTATTTGAACAATAAACATAATATATATACATATCTTGTTTAAACCTACACCAAAATATTATTTCTACAAAATGTTCACAATCATACATAGCCAAAACTAAGAGTTTTAATTAAACATTTCATGTTCAGTAGTTACCAATATATAATGGGGGGTTGGATGGCTGAATGGTTAGCACGTGCACGTTGTATCATACGGTCTGTCATTGAGTCAACTGGCGTGGTTTTGATTCCCTGGTTGTATCTGACAAGGGTTTTCTCCAGGTCCTCCGGTTTCCTGCAACTGCTAAAGACCCCTACACGCAAGCAAATTATTGAAATCAAAATTGAATCATATGTTAGTCCCGAAATGACCTAGTTTGTGTTGAGTTGAGTTAAACTCTCTCTCTCTCTCTCATCATTATTTAATATATGCCAAAATCCTTCTATTAGTATCATCTTTTTATCAAAGTTAAAGATCCATTATGGGAGATTAGATAACGATTTGGCAGTTCTCACTATAAAAGTTAAATACTAGAAAATGTAAAGGCAATTTGCTGAAAATTTCATTCAAATTGATCTACTATGAACCGAGAATTAAGTGATTGAAATTTCTGCCTAGCCTCGATCATTATTACTAAAGTCAGTACAATAAACAGCACAGTCTCGATTATCCATTTAATCATTAAATCGTGGAGGAAAGTTATGCAGTAAATCGGCTCATAATCAACTAGCGATGCCATCGAGAGTTGATTATGGTCTGGATAGGTTAATTAATGTCTAATTAATAATTTAGATAACATTTCAGGCCTAAAGAAAGACCTGCAATAGACAGATTTAGCTCTTGCATATACCAAATTCATACAAATTACAAAAACATGTTTATTAAAACAATTATATTGTGTAAAAAAAGATTTCATCTGAATTTAACCTGCTTTTCTAAGGTGCAGTAGAAGTTTTGTAGACTAAAAGGACATTTATTTTGGCGCAGAATATATTTAAAGAATATTAATATATAATCACAAATGTACAATTTATATTCTGAATAGTTTTAAATTGGTTTAAGCTCTCAGATATTTTGATTTGCTTGATGTCATAAACTGATCCAAAAGGTCTGCTCTCATCATTGAGGTGTCTTAAACATTTCTATTGTCTTTTTATGACTAAAATAAGACTAGGAGATTCATTATCTATTGAAGCATAATTTCAAGACAATCTGTTGATAAAAACAAGTGATCAGGGAGAGTGATGATCTAGATGAAAAGATTTCCTATCTTTTAACTTGAGGCTTGAAAGTTAATGGAGAAAAAAGGAGAATTGGATTTTGGCTTCCCCAGCTGACAATTATATCAGTTAATCTTGGTAGTTAAGATTTAATCTCACTTCAAAGCTCAAAGATAAAAATTGCAGGGTAAAAACAACATTAATAAAAGATTGTTATCAATTATGTCTAAAAGCTTCATACAGTTGAGTTTTAAAAATAACCTAAAGGATATGATAAAATCAAATACAGCCAGGTTACTTAACATGTTTTTTAAAACTGGAGACACTATAGATTTGACATTGTTTATTTGAACCTGATGACAACAAATGTCTTAATAGAAATGGGGGGTTGGATGGCCGAATGGTTAGCATGTGTGCGATGTATCATAAGGCCTGTCACTGAGTCAACTCGTGTGGTTTCGATTCCCTGGTTGCACGTGACAAGGAGTAAGGTCGCCTGTCCAACCTGGTTGGTTTTCTCCGGGTCCTTCCCACTGCTAAAGACCCCTTCGCGCAAGCGAATTATTGAAATAAAATTAAACCATATGTTAGTCCCGAAATGACCTAGTTTGTGTTGAGTGGACGTTAAACTCCATTTCTCTCTCTCTCTTAATAGAAATAAATTGAAAAACACTACCTGGTAAAATATATTTCTTACCAATAACAGTGTATCTTTTGGGTGGTTGAGTAGTCTAATGCATATGCTTTAGATCATAAGGCCTATCATTGATTTATAATTAAAGACGCAAGATCGGAAGAGCAAATAATGAAATATGTATATGTATATTTTAACACTATTGACGATTATGACTTGGGTTTTTATGACGTCAAACCTCTGGTTTATTTAAGAGTTAATAATTATAAACTCAAATAACTTCACCCTGTCGAATAGTTTCATTCTGGATGGTACACAGTCTTATTGAAGTCCTTTGTACATTGGATCTTCGCCCCGCATGCCCACCAACGTCGGTTACACCTATCAATAGCCGTCCACAATTTTGAGTAACGAACTAAAACTCAACAGTCTAGTATTGAACCCTTCTTTGTCCTGATGCTAGCTAAAACTTGATTATATTCTTCCTGTAATCTTATTATATGAGCACTTTAATACTCAATATATATTGATAATTATAATATATGTTTATATCATTTATGTATCTTGCTTTTGGGAAGCCGATGTATATAAGCCTTTGGCTTGTTTCGGTATCCTGTGAATAAAATATTGTTTAAAAAAAAAAAGTGGCGTGGGTATGATTTCAAGCTTATATGTGACAGGAAGAAGGTTCGCCTGCCTGCAGTGCCCAACCTCTTGGGGTTTCTTCGGTTTCATCCCACTGATAAAGACCACAAACAAATTATTAAGACAAACTTGTACCATATGTTAGTCCCAAAATGACCTGGTTTGTGTGTGTGTCTCTCTTGATATACTTCAAGGGAAACCTTTTGACAATCTACAAGTTTTAGCAAAAATGATCAATGGATAACCACTAGCATTATATAACTTTTGACTGAGGTATACACTGAGATGGCAACATTAGATTCTGTGGTTGACACTCTGTAATTATTAATTTGTTTAATTTACTGTGGGTTTATTATTCAATTTTGGTTCAAAATAAGTTTAGAGGGTCAAACAGATGACCCTATATTATGCTCAAGTGAAAATATCTTTAATATACTAACTATCGTTATGTGAAATTCACAAATTTAACAAAACCTATGTAGATTTTGAGATATATCTTTTGGGATTAACTAATCATCTAGCTGGTAGAAGTTAATTCTTTTTAATTTCTGGAATTAGATCTTAAAAAGGATCATGTTATATTTATAAATCTTCCAACTCTGGCTGAATGGGACATGATTGTAGTTTAATTTTTCTGTATTTTGTTGGTTTGACCAATTTAGCCACGACTGGTCACAAAGGAAGTTACATAGACATAAAATTATATACTTTTAGTTGCTGAAAATCTGGTTGGAAAAACATGGCTGTATATGCCACATATTATAAATCATAATAATTTATAAATATCAATTTCGAAATTCGAAAAAGCACAGTAAAATGAAATGTGTGCCTATGATGAGAAATAGATAAGAGAATATAATAACTGCAGAGATGTCATTATTTACTATTCACATAGTCATTTTATTAACTGCATTTATGAACAATTTATTTGTATTGTTCATCATGATTATCAAAATTAATGGTATTTCATGTTAGATAAATAAAATTCAGATAAGATATTTTTTTTTCATGTAAAATACTTTTGCAGTGAATGAAGAATAGCTTGTTGACAGATAACATAATTTGTTCAAAGCCTCCTAGTATATTGACAGATAAAATGAGAATTTATATGAATATGGATGTATGCTTGAATAATCACTATTTCTAGTTTATCTTATGTAAAATTGTTATTAAATATCTGACACATATGAGACTGTAAAAAAATAGACCCAAACAATGGAGACAATAACTTTTATCCCTCATATTTATCTTCTATTTGTTTAGATAAATATATAAACATATCAACATAATTATGTGTATCATAGATATATAATTTTGTAAAATTTGATGAAACATATCACTAAAATGATGACCAGCCAGGTAAACCCCTCTCAATAGGCTTACTGTCTATTGTATACATCATTAATAATTCAAAAAATGTTGTAGTTGCAATAATATTTTATATTTGTTCTGAACTGATATTTATGGCAATTTTATGCATTTGTGAGAATCATTTTTATTGCATACTGTGACCCGGATTCTAGGTGTTTCCTGGGATTATTGCCACAATAATTGTCATTTGAGAGAAATAAATGGGGTTTAACATCAACTAGACACAAACTAGGTCATTTCGAGACTAATAAATAGACAAATTTCATTTTAATAATTTGCTTGCGCATGGGAGTCTTTAGTAGATGGAGGAAACCGGAGGCCAAGGAGAAAACCCAATAGGTTGGGCAGGCGACCCTACTCCTAGTCACATACAAGCTTGGGATCGAAACAACACCACTTGACTCAATGACAGATGTTATGATCTAAAGTGCATGTGCTAGACCACTCAAGCACCCAACCTCTCCTGATTGCTGTTTGAGGGATTGTTAATCTTAATCTACAATATTGTAAATTCCGTTCAGTATTTACAAGGATGATAAACTGAAAAATTCATCAACATTCAGCATCCACTGCAGACAATATATAGGATATAGCCAATAGAAGCCAGCATGCACCACCTTTAAATGTCACTGAAATCTTTTGATCGGCCTCTATGGATTAAGTCGTAAAAAATCAGATATTCTTCAAATAATGCATTTAACAATCTGCGACTTTAATGAACGGTAACTAGATACACAAAATTACTTTATGGGCACAAAGAATGAAGTCCATACAGTTACTTGACATGTTATACAGTCAGCTTTCACTTATTTAAATTTATGTCCAATACTGCATATTACCAAGAATAGATTCATTAAACAATTGCACCATAAGTTCTTGAAGGGTATAGTTCAATTAAACTTTTTAACTTACCACCAGTGACAGCTATTCGGTTTTTGGATTGTGAATCTGAGGGACATTCTGCAGACACTGAAATGATATAAATTAAAAATATATCCATATCATTTTTTTTTAAAAATATGTTTGCACAATGAAGTGAGCTTTTCTGCTCACAGGTTATTTATAATAATGAATGACTTGACAAATTTAATTGAACAAAAGGAAATGATGAACAATGTGAATTAAATAAAAAATTATACAGGGACAAATTTTAGGAATTTGGAAATATATATATATATACCAGTCCGGTATATCATGAATAACCGTGCTTAAAATATTATGACTTCAAAGATGGAGCCAATAGGTGGTATCTACCTTGCAACTTAACCATTTTATCATAAATATTTAAACAATGTATAATGTCTTATCATTTTGTCATGAACAAAATCTGTTATCAATCTCCCACAGTACAAAGCATATCAAGCAATGACCAGTCAAATCTACAATCTGTGTATAAATGTATGACCTTTTATATTCTACTAGACATTTAGGGGAAATAAATTCCAAAATGATTCTTTTACATGACCACTGATAAGACAGGTCTTATCTTAAACTGTGTTTTGTTTTAACAGCAATTAGTGACATGTGGAATTTGTTTTCTATGCTTATCTCTCTTTATCTCAATCTGTGAGGCAGAGAGCAGGGAGGTGCCACCAGGGATAATCAAAGAGAGGCAAAAGGTGGCCATTTTCATTGTCTGAATCTTATCTCATATTTACAATGACGCAACTCAATTCATTTGCATCTTTTAAAAAAAATTCTCAACATTCCATGGGCAAAATTTACAGCAATGCCATGGGACCTTTGTCACAGATGCATGTTTGTTCATTTTATCTATGGCCATTCTCTTTTTTATTTTTTTACATAGCATCTATATAGTTCATAATTAGAAAGTATCTTATCTATTCATTTGAAATCAGAGTTCTATAAACACACTTTGAAAGTTATCGCATATTTAGAGCCGACAAATTTATGCGACAGTGTCAAAATTTATCTCCCTTGACACATTTTTCCCGCAGATTTTCTGGTGCCAACAATTTTAGAGAATGATATAATTACTTATCAAAGTACATTTTATGTACAAATTTTGTACCACAACACAATGCCTATGTCTGCCAAAATATTAGCGGCACACAAATGTGTACACATCTACATTTCTCGATCAAAACTGGAAATTACTTTGGCTTTTCACAAAAAAAGTTGTATGAAAAGCGCTACTGAAATGACCCAGGATTATCATTAATTCTCTGTGAAAAGACCGTTTTTCATTGTAGGCCTACTATAGATAGGCTTATTTAACTGGCTAACAAGATTCAAAAAGACTCTGGGAGTTTCTATCGACGATTGCGGGGGAAATTTATTGCATTATTACGTTTATTTAACAGTTAGTTTTTATGATTTACATTATGAAATGTATTTATAAATCGGCGATTATTACCTTTTCTTTGCGGGTAATTTGCCTGGTACAACCGTATCAGAAAGCCAAGCGTGTTGGTCACAAATACTATAGTATGATTAAATACCACAATGTTGAAGTATTAGCCTATTCTTTTTTATTAATTCTCTGAAAAGTATTTTACAAAAGGGTTTGCTAAAGCATAGGCCACCAAGAAAGCAGCTTATTCCAACTATTCGCTATTATATTAAACCGTGGACGAATTGCATCCTCGGAACATTAGTTCCCTTTCTTAAAAAAACATTGTTATATCCATAAGTGGTGTAGTCTATAACATTTGAATGAAGGATCTCTTGAGAATAAATCGATAGGGCCTATGGGTTTTATCAAAATAAGAATGGGAAAAAATACATTTTAAACATTGATCTTTGGCTGTTTATTCTCTCATTTTCCACTAAATCTCGCCAATATCTGTGCTTGTCAACATTTTTTAGATGAAGTGTGTGCAGTGATAAGGATATGAAATAATAGAATCTTGTATTAAAACTTATCTAGGTGCAGATCTAAATATTATTTCGTGCTAGGAAGAGCTATTGGCGTATGGAGTGGTTTGATAATAATGCCAGTCTCGGGAACTGAGAATGTTGTCACAAATTTACATCTAAATTCCATTTGGTAGTTAAAGATAAGAGGCTATTGAGTCTTGACTAACGTAAAGATTGCACGATATCAGGCGCACAATAATACAAGATTTTCAGGCAACCGTCTCTTATCGGGTGAACGCGGTGGATAGTTTCTGATTGTATTTGGCGAATCTTGGTTTATCAACTCTTATCGCTTTCCGAACAGACTTGGCCTCATAGCATCAAGTTATATTGATCAAATTTAACCCAAATCAAGCATGATTATCGCATAACGCAGATTACTGCCTCCCTTTTATAATTACACACTGTGTCTGAAGCACGATAAAAAGTTGTCCGTTATCATTCCTGCTTATCTCCCCTTATCGATGGTTCCATCGTCTATAATGCTCCCAGTTAAACAAAACCTATCATTGTGGAGCCGTGTTTATCTTTTTTCTTTTTACAGAAATTGAAAATATGAGCCGATTTTATCAAGGGAGACCTAGTAGGGTGAATATGCTTGTTCAAGATAACTCACAGTTTTACATACCACTTGAGCTACCCACAGATATCTGGCCTTATCAATCTTGAGCATATTCGTCAAGTGGTGCTAGACCCACCTTCACTCATAACATGTATATTATAGCCTCTACGGCTTATCTTGTCAAAATAAAAAGGAAATACATATTAGAAATTATACACCGATATAAATTTAGCTCGACCTAGACGGGAACAAAGATCAGAGAAAGGGCTTTTATTCCTATAACATGTGATATAAGATGGGCTAACCCCGATATTGAAATAGATTTCGTATTCTGGTTTCGCGAGGACTCGACTGATACCAAGATAAAGCCAGTGCTGTACAATAGTTGGCGAATTCAGAAGGTTCTTATCGTAAATATATTCCCGATGCTATTACAGATAGGTAAATATAAGCAGACAGGGCGATGGTATCGTAGCAAATATAGATTACAATATGCACCAGGGGATACACATCTGAAAAATGAATAATCTTTTTACTGCCATGGGAAAATATTGATAAGTATGTGAAACAGAAAAACTAAATTTGATATTTTTCCACTTTGATTTTTCTTCGTCCTTTTTTTTTAATATGTAGATCTTGTCGCTGAAATAACATTTATAAGACTCCATTACATTCTGCTAGAGTTTGAAAATACTATTTATAGTAGCTTGGATATAAACATAGAGATTATAAGTAAATGACTCCTAAGCTTTAAATGTAATTACTTCAAGTACAGACTATAGCCGTACTTGTCTTGTCGGTTTACGACACTAGACAAAAGACCAAAATGTCCGAGGTTCGGTTCTGGGCACTGGCCGAGACAAGCCTACAAATTTACCAGTCAGGTTTCTGCCTGCTCAGTGTCGTCGTTGTACTAGGTACCTGGTTTTGTTTCGGTGCTTTATTTTATTTTTAGCGGGACAAAGCCATTTGCCAGGTTTGTGGCGCTAACCCGTTGAAAAGATATCAGTAGTTATCCCTTACTGTGAGTACCAATATTGGTAGATGCTATTCAAATTACATCTAATATTCATGCAATGCGCATGATTCACAATTTTGGCTATTATTAATGCTATATATTAAAGTGTTAAAGGTCTCTCGATACTTTGATGTTATTATATATATAATAGAAGTATGTGAAAGACCTATATGTATAGAATAAAATAACATGAGAATAATATCAACCTTTACTTGATACAAATCTTCATGATGCATCATCAAAGGAGGGATCATATCGTAATCTCGTCTTGTTTCAAATTACTGTTTTCAATTTAGATAATGACGCTCGATTATGAATATTGATAAGAAAACTAATCACACATAATTAAAGCATAATTGTATACTGACAGACTGATGCTGGTTTATATGACGGCTTTGATCTCACTTTAAGATAACTCCATATTATTGCATAATTTAGTTACTGTGGCATTTTCCCCGTTATGTGGTGGAAATGATATCATTATATTTATCAGATTCTGTAAGTCCGCGTTACACATGCAATACAGTACTAAATTTTTATGCAGTGAAATCCCATAACCACTTCACGCTATGGCATGTGATTCTCTGCTTCAGTGCTAGATGAAAGTAATGGCTTGGATAAGGTCACACGTCTACTGAAATGAAATGAAATGGAGTTTAACGTACTACTGTCCAGCATCGACGGGTGCCTATATAGACAACAAAGTAACCATAAGATATACATCTTGTGATAAAAGACTGTCTGTTTTTTGTTCATTTATTAATTTGATATTGATGTCTCGTCGACTTCTAGCGAAATCAGAATATCATACCTAATTCAAAAAGGTTTAGCTCCTTAAATTAGTTTATATTCTTGTCTATTCGACTGGTGTTGGAAGTTTAATAACTACTGATAATACCCTTCCGATAGATGCCAGACGAGAGTAAAAAATAAAATAGTAGAGTAAATTCAATTAGATGAGACTAGGATATGATAATACATTATTATCGTCTGCATCTCGTGAAAATATTCATCCATTCTCGCCTACCAGAACAGTCGATACATTTCTAATACCCAAATAACAATTTTCCCTCTAGTCCATTCACTACGATGACGATTTTTTTATAAGACGACTGTAGACACATATAATGTACAAGGAATAAAACACTTATAAGTGCTTTAGGTGTTTTTAATCCTTATAAGGTCTTGGTCTTTTGTATCTATGACGCGAAGAATCACAAAACAGTGCTCTTGAAACCATCTTTCTGACCGGACAGGGGGACAACCTATACCCCAATGTCTCAATAGTCCGACATGCAGTGAATTCTTAGACGTCAAATTATTCCGACGCGTCCAGCGCCCGATATCACAAAAGCGTCCATTTCAATTTGCGAATTTCATGAACATATTTTCTATACTTTCTTCACTTTCCAATATCTGTACGTCCGTAAAATATTAAATTGAAATATCCGCTAGGTAGTCCAGCTTTCAATAATTATGTATCGATACATCATCTATAAGTGGTTTTAATTTGTACGTCTATTAAAACTAATATAGATCACACTAATATGCATGAATAAACTTTTCGGAAATGAATAGTTTATTTTAATCAAAGAGACAGTCGCAGAGAAATCTGGAGGTGAATTATCAAGTCGTTGCAGCAGACACACGACCCGATTCCTGTTTTTGCCTATTATACTCTTAAACTGATGTAACAACTGAATCTGGGAAACGATAACTAAATGTAATCAGAAATAACACATTCCAATAGTACTTGTAGCAATGGTTAATGTGCTGTTAATGCTCGTAACCACTGCTTCGGGAATCTGGGATACTGGCTTCGTGTCAGCCCTCTATCAAATCGTATCGATAACAGTTGACGATTGAGTTTATGGGGTGAGGTGGGGGTGGGGCAGATGTATTAAACCAAAATGCTAATTAATCGATTGATTGATTGATTATACCAGCGACTATACTGGACATTTTATTTCATGTTTCAAACTTGGGGCGTATAAATAACCGGCCCCGATATTGGGCATGGGAGTGGCTAAATGTTGGTTTCTTATATAGTAAGATAAGATAAGATAAATTTTATTGCATAATAACGCCTACGGGTAGCAGCATGCAATTGCATAAATTGCATTTATACAGCAGCCTACAATACATTGTGGCACAAATAAACTGGGAGACCTATAGGCAGTAATGACACTACCCTGGCAAATATATTGACCCAACAATCAAGCCAACTTTTTAAAAAATGCCATTAACTAAATTTTGTATTGTATGACTATTCATTGCTTTTTTATTTTTTATATACCTAATTGCGATAATTATTTGTGCAGTTTAATTCCTATTCTGTCACTGTATCGAAAAAATCATCTCATTGTAAAAAAAAATATTGAATAATGAAAGAAATTATGCAGCGTCACTCGCAGGTGTTAGACGGGTCACAGAAATACTCAATAAATAGCATCCAGGTCGTAGTGACAGACAACATTGTAATTAAATAATACGCATATTAGATTATCTCAACAAAACACTGACGCTCACAGTCACACCATCTTGAAAATAATTATATCCCTTTCGTCTTTTTTTTTACGTCCGCTTCCACCGAGGTGTTATCGCAGACAGACATTGAACTATAGAGAGTAAGAGATTTTTATATGGCAAGACAGATACCGAAACGAACCAAGGACATCCTCGATAACACAAATATCATATGTTGCATTATTTAGTCATAATTATAGGCTATATCTAAGCTTTTATTAATTATTTGCAGAATTTCCTTTGTCACACCAGTCGATGATAGCAATCAAATCTGTTGAATTTGTATATCTGAAGTGAGTATGTAAAATTTGTCTATAAGCCCACACAGAAGGCCAAGAACTTGAATGTATTTTTCCTGTACGATAATCGCGTAATCGAAAGACGTGAAATGATTACGTTGTCTCATGTAGGCTGTCTTTTTATGGACTTTGACATGTAGGCTATAACGTAGGCCTACTTTTGTCCTACTATTTTTTCAATTATTTAACATAGGGCCTATCTTATAATTGTTGTCAAGTAATAACAGACAGAAACTTCACAAGCCTCAACAGAAAAATCACAAGTTTACTGTACTGTGACAAGTGTCGTCTGCTAGTGATCATTATATATTTCATTCACAATGTTGCTTACCGAAATGATTTAATAATCTCAATCTGATATTTGATGAAAATGTAATAATAATAATAATAATACTTACATTTTAGCGGCTTTGGATTAGATTGTTTTCGTCTGGACATTCTGAAATTCTCACTGAATATGAGATTTTTCTTCCATTCACTATTATTATGTTCTATTGAATAACGTAACAACATATGAACACCGCTACCAAAGGTCAGTGCGCTGTGACCCCTTCAAACGCCTAATACCACATGCGCCATGACCTCTTCGGGTCAAAATATAACGGTAAATGAAAAGGTATAATCCACGAGCACAGGGCACAGGAGAAAGACACGGACCAGTTTTTAAATCCAAGAAACAGTGATATAATTGTTAAACAAAGGTTTAAGCTGGAGAGAATTCACTACACAGCGTCATCACTCACTGCTATTCTCAACTGAATGCTATAAACTTGCTCTATCAGTTCGCTTATCGATACTTTAATCTCCATGCTTGGGCGAACTGAGATTCTGGCGTACTGAAATTATATATGCGCGGCTTATCTCGGTTATCTTCCCTTATCTCAGACGATAAAATCTTATCGGTGACTCGATCGGGCAATCAATCTTGCTTTATCTTTCCAAGTGTCAGTCTAGCCTGTGTACCACATCGCCCATTACTAAGGTATTTTAGCAAAACAAAGCCTTTTACTGGCAAACTTTGTTTATCTGATTATGATGGGGGAATAGATAGATTTCACTGGCGGAGATAGTTTCTACAGATAAATATATATGAACGTACCTATTTCACAGGAGTGTTATTTTAAGCATAATCACGAACTATATTATAAAATATCGGCACGGGCTGTTAATTTATTGATTAATTGATTTTATCTAGTTTCGCTTTCAACTTGAAACATACGCTTATTTGGCTTTGGATCTTTATAAATAATTCTTTATGGGCAAATGTTGCAAATCTACTTAATATTTATTAAACGCCTATATTATTATAGTATATACATGTGCTGCATAAGTATTAAATTTATCTTATCATTATGACGGCTATAAAACAGACACAGGGGCGGTATATCAATATTTTATTGTTTAGATAATGTTCTCGAATCGTATATTAATTTTGTATGGTGTAGGTTAGTACTTGAATCCCCCAATTAAAAAGTATACCAAACCAACGATATCTAATCATAGATAAGATAACGTCGTGATATTTTTCTAATGACGTGAGATGTGTTATCATGCAATCGTTGTTATATTTCTAGTTTTTGTTTTAGCTTATCAGTACCAAGATAAAGAGATAAGGTTTTTTGATCGTGCAACTGAAAGATAAAATCTGATGAGATTCAAAAGATAACAAAATGTCGGTCGATAAACCTTATGTGACTTAATTAAAATTCTTCTTTTCTTTTGATAAAAAAAGAAAGAAAAGAAGAGAATAGAAATTATTGTTCATTAATATGCATGAAATGAGGTTTATCCATAGGCGTACGAGTCAGGGGGGCAGGCCCCCCCCCCCCCTAACTTTCGGGCAATCTGACTTTTCGGACAGACGGGTAGAGTGAAAAGAAAACAAAATATTTCATCTACTTGGCAAAATAAATTGCACGAAATCTAATAAAACACTAATGTTAATTTCTTTTAATTGAATACCATAAATTTGTACTGAATTGACAATAGATTAAAAAAAATTGTCTGGGGCCACTTTGTGCGACATTTGTCGGGCATCGATTATTATTTGTGAATGCAGCTGCAACAGTCTGATTGGATGGTTGGAATTCAGGTCGGCATAGAGTGGGATTTCGGTTACAAAACCATTGGACAACTTTGGAGTTACTTAACTCATGGGCTAGAATAAAAAATCCTTATACGGCATTTAGTAACTGAACATATGATATAAAACACAAATTTATATGGAAAACAATCACTGGGTTTATTTCACACTACGTTTCAACAAGTTCCTCTTGTCGTTCTCAAGTAAGTATCATGGGCTAGAATAGTAGAAAAATGCATTTGCGGCGGTTACGTTTTTAAAATTTTCTCTGGGAGGTCTTGGTGCCCATACCCCGCCACGATTGATTGGGATTCAGGTCAGCAAAGTTGGCTATATTATTGCTGTATTCACGGGCTGGAATAGCAGGAAAACGCGTTTGCGGCAGTTAAATTTTCAAATTTTTCTCCCAACGGTCCCATCTTCGTGGACTGTTGTGGCAGCTTGGGTCGTCTCTCAGATGTGGAGAGCGGACGATACACTAAAATCGGTCGCCACATACGGCGCATAGCCCATGCATCGTTTCTTATTACATATTTTGGAACAGCCATTGGTCGTCGATAGGTATTGTCTCTGGTCGCATTTGTAATTCTTTAACTGTTTAGAACGTATCTTTAAATGCCAACCTGACATTCCACATTAATGATAACTTCACATTGTGATTGAATGTACTGCATCATAAAATAGTATGATTAACAGACAAGATGACGGGAACTAAAGTGCGGTTTCTACAGTTTTATATCAAACTGGTTACACACCAGTTACAAGCATAGATTATAATCCAGATGTTGTCCATTAAACCTCAACAGTCTGTCCTACACTCCTAACGAATTTCTACATGATCTTTCCTCTCTCAAATCTTCATGATGTCTACCCTAATGCGCACATTCTATAAATTATATACCCTCAGATTCACAGCCACTACTGATTCTATTGGCTAATTATGATGCAATTAATCATGTGATTGGTCCCTCATGCCAAATATGGAATGGTAACTTTCCGATCACGTGCTTTTAGACATAGAATTCTCACAATATTTCATAAACAATTTAATTTTCGTTTTAAATAAACTCATACCATAGCTAATATTTTGAAAATGGAGAATAATTAATGAAGGCCATAACATTATCGTACATATGTGTTCTTTAACACAAATCCCGCCATCTATATTACTACACTGTAAACGATTGATTGATTTGAAGTTGCTTTCTCCACGGGCTGTAATAGCAGGAATACGCGTTTGCGACCATCAAATATTCCAAAATTTTCTTGGGGGTCCATACACGGTAAGTTCCGCTCCTTCGCCTCTCGCAGAAGGGCGGCGCCGCTGTCTGTAAACCCGAATTTTTTTCGGGCATTTCGGATTCTGCCCCCGTAACTGTCATCGAGCCCCTACGCCTATGGGTTTATCGTCCGCTAAACACAATGGTGGAGTCATTTTGAAACTGACCTCATTATAAAAACAAAACTGACACAGTTATATGGGACAACAATCACTGTATACACAAGCACAACGTTTCGATAAGTATTCTCTTATCGTTATCAAGCACAATGTGCTTGTGTATAATAAAACAGTGATTGTTGTCCCATATAACTGTGTCAGTTTTGTTATGTTTCCAATTGCTAAATGCCACTAAAGGATTGACCTCATTATCTTTTTTTGCATGGTAACGCGTGCAATGCGTTTTTGTCTAAGGGCTACTCGTTTTTTATACGTCTACATTGAAGTGTTGTGAACGCCCTAGAAGCTACAGTTATAAAGGCTCAATACCACTCTTGTTGTAACTGAATAATATGCCCCAATCTTTATTCTGGTCAACAAATTGTACTATTTTACAATATTCCAATTAATTGATGATACAAATTTCATCTTAACACACCTAATTTAAAAAATTGGAAAAATTCAACTAAATGATTTGAAAAGCCTGACATAAAGGTTTTCAAATGTGACTTGGATTTAAAAATATTTTTGAACCCTCTGGACAAGTAAAATAGGATTTAATGAATAATTTACACAACAGGTAGGACACTTACACATCTAGTACTTAGAATAAGACTATTTTTTATTTTCTGGAGTTGTCAAGCCAGCAAGAGTGTTATTGTTCCTTTAAAGATACATTATGGGAGATTAGATAAAGAGCTGGTAATTCTCACTATAATAGTTAACACAAGATAATGTAAAGGGAATTTGCTGAAAATTTCAGCCCAATTTATCCACCCTGAACCGAGTATTTAGCGATTGAATTTTGAGCCTAGCCTCGATCATCATTACTAAAGTCGGTACGTCGGTACGCTAAAAAAAAAACCATAGTCTCGATTATCCAATTTTTGATTTAAAGATACATTAGTTAAGAGTTTTAGAAAGAGTTGGCCACTCTTGCTATAATAGATGATAAAAAAAGAAAATGTTGAAAATTTCAGTCAAATTACTTTGTTCTAAACGGAATTGTCACTGTTGGAAGTTTGGACTAGAAATAGGCATCAATTGTGTCTGCACCGTCTATGAGAATTGGCGATCGTTTGATTGACAGACGATAACTCCACCCACATATTCTCGATTATCATGTAACATGCGCAATGGCTATGGTAGCCTCGCTTGGCAGGCCTTTCATCACCAGTTTCCGGTAGTGACATCAGCGACTAAAAGTAAACTTTAGCTTGATCCGCTATCTATTGATTTAATTTTAAATGGACGACTGTTTAAATCCAAACTGTATCCAAGCCATCCGTGGTTCTACAGTGTTGTTTTTTAGCTTGTCGTGTAAATAAGAGTCTAATTAATCATTTCTATAAGATCTGAAGCCTAAATAAAGACCTGCAATAGGCAGATTTAGCTCTTGCATAATATATGTTTAATCAGAAGTAGCAGACCGGGTTCTAATCCATTAAATATCGCAGGCTAACGATGCCATCGAGAGTTGATTATGGTCTGGATAAGTTAATTAATGTCTAATTAATAATTTAGATAACATTTCAGACCTAAAGAAAGACCTGCAACTGGCAGATTTAGCTCTTGCATAATGTATTTTAATGTCTGATTGGCTTTACATTTACACACAGTGTTTAAGGTCATAAGACGAAGACGCCTATTGATATGTAACAATTTCAGATAATTACTGCCAGTGTTATGACCCTTGATCACTTTGAAAAGTCTAGTTGAAGCGCTAGAGACTAAAGTTACCAACTGACTGACTTCAAATTTATGCTCAGTGTTTCAGTTCGTGAGACGTAGACACCTAGAGGCTATATCCAATTGACTTTATTTCATACACAGTGTTTAAGGTCATGAGACAAAGAAGCCTATTGATTTTCAAGGATTTCCGATGATTATGGCCTTTGATCACAATGTTTAAGGTCATGAGACGAAGAATAATTACTGCCGGAGTTATGGCCCTTGATCACTTCGATAGGTGGACATTCTACAGACCAAGCTAATCATTCGATTGAATTTATATTGATACATTGTTTTTAAGGCCACGAGACGACGAAGTCTGTAGATTTTCAACGATTCTGTTAGCATGGGACAGAACTAGAAGCCAAAGAAATTCTAATGATTTCTGATAATTACTTAATGGGTTGTTGTCATCTGATTTTAGTGTGTTGTAAATGTTTTCATTACCGACAAAAGAAAATATTGTTGAATGCCGGACGACTTAGCTGCTGTGGTCGTTGCCAGGCACACTATCTTTCAAATCCTGGCTGCAAACATGGAACTAGGTGATATCCGTAAGATTAGGCACCTTCTGTGCTAGTTTGGGAATCGGCTTTGAAAACCCAGGCCGTGATTCAAACCTGGGA